TCACTTTTGTCAGTTTGAGTAAATATGCTGTCAACTGCTTTTCATGAGGGCTGCAGATCACTAATATTTGCATATACAGAGTGTTGTCTGTCTATTCACTCACTCACACTCACACACACACACACACACACACACACACACACACACACACACACACACACACACACACACACACTCTGTGTCTATCAGCCTGCAGGTGTGAGACTACATTAAAACAGACCTGTGTCCTGTCAGGCCTTGTTTTAGTGTTATGATTTAGGCAGACACTGTTCCGGTATTACTGCTAATATTCATTCAGCCAGACCGAACAAATCTATGGAGGCATGACCTTCAGGAGGAGTGTGACGTCTTGAATTTACAGTGGATTTGGACTAGTTTTAGGCACTCTGCAAAAGGTACTTTGAATTTGGGTATACTGAAGTGTCTGTCAAGCAAAGCAGTAGTTGCCCATGTCCCATGATACCCTTTACAACTGCTGTTTGATGCTTTAATTCAGCGCTTGCATTATCTGACAAATTACTGAATATTGTTTTCAACTCAACCTGAAGGGTTGGGATTGAAAACTAGATCAGAACCAGTCCTAATAAGTTCTAACCACCAACATCATTCGGCCTAGCTTATCAATGCCTTACTTACGTTTCGTGCGCCACAAATTCACCATCGTTGTAATGGACACAATATGGCAAACTAGTCGTTGGGTTTTGTTGATATTTGAGGGACAGAGTTCAAAATTCAAAGCATGTGATTTTCTGTCTGTAACCCTCACTGCTAACTGGGTTAAGAATTCAGGAAGTTCAAAGTTAACAGCAGCAGAAATTCCCAAGCCGCTGGCCTGTTTTTTGACTCCCAAAGATGTCACTAAAATGTAATTACGCAATTGAGTCTGAGTCCGTTCTTTTCTGCAGATTTATTCCTGGACTGGAGTCCACTTTGTCACCCAAGCCTTTGAATTCACAGAGAACATCTCTGCCCTTCAGGCTTCCTGTAGAGGAACGGAAGTTTACTTCTAATATTTTGGAAGTACATTTTATTTTTAGTATCATTATTACAGCATCATGATGCAGAACTTTTCTGAGACCTTCCTTGAGGTTATCACCTCAAATACTGAGAGGACAGGAACTTTTAATAGCTGTATTATATATTAAGAAGCAACTTTTTTTAAATTTTGTTTTAGTTTCTTGCAATTTCAGACATTTTTTGTCATCCACTCCTGCAAAATGATGTTACATTTTTAGGCGCAAAAACTCTCAAACAGTCTCAAAAATTCTCCAACTCCTTCCAACAGTTTTGCAACTTATGTCAGCTTTGTAAATGCAGTTTAGGAACAATCTTTTGTCAAATTAAGGGAATATTTTACCCTTTTACTTTCTCAAAAATAGAAACAAAGGTTGCATAGAGACGGCTAGCTCAGTGTTGGCTCCAGACATAATGTTTTCTCATGTTGCCCCTGCAGTAAAAGCATGTTCGCATGTTAGAGGAGAGATCAGACACTGTACTAGTTCAAACTGCAGTGACACAACTCATGGCCCCTAAACCTGTCATGTCTTTCCAAGTCCATGTCAACACTCACTCCCCCTCCCACCATGTCCTCTAGACCAAGACCTACAGAGCAACAGGAGCCCATCCTTGGAGTTGGTCAAGCATGTTGCATAAGATTGTGCAGCGTCAGGAAGATCTGGTTCCAGAAAGCCTCTTTTACCCTCAACAGAAAGGGGACCCCATTCTTAGTGTCCATCACGGGCCACTCTGTGTCACGTCTGGAGGAGAGGAACTTATACAACATCATCGGCTGTTTGTAGGTCTGCCATCTAAGGGCACGCTGATGGCCTCGTTTTTCTTGGCAAGAACCACAGAGAAAGAGGGAAGAGGGGGGAAAGGGAGGGCGGATTCATGAAGGGTCAACGAGGGATGAGTTCTCCCACAACACAAAAACAGACACAATGCTTAATTACAACACAACCTAATTGGCACATGAGCGGGATTACTGTATGGGACTTCATGAGTTTGAAGCGCTCTAATGAGTTGTTGAGTCGTGGAGTTCAAACTCCGCCTACTGGGTTTCCTTCTCCGGGACGTGGACAGGTCAGGAGATCGTGAGATCTGGCAGAAGATTTTGGAAACAATTCCAAAATGGGGCTCACATACATGCCAGGTCTAGTTGGGTTCTCCTCTGTCCATCTGTGCATCTCATGGGACCGCAGCAGAGTTCCCAAACTTTACAGCATCAAGCGAAAAATAGGAACAAATTTAATAACTCGTGCTTGTTTAAAAAATCGGACCTGTCTGAGGAGAGAAGAGGAAAAAGGCTGAGAAGGAGGAACTGAATAGTGCCGAACTCTGGCTTCCTTCACTGGCCTACTGTAAATCATGAGAGCTGTGTGATGACTAGACACAGTATCGACTCTCAGTCTCTTTTACACCTGTCAGCAGCTGTCCTGCTGGTATCACAGAGCAGCAAGTAGCTGTCACAAAAGTCAATTTTGGACTTATGGGGGAAGAAATAAGGGTAGGAATGTGAATGCAAATATGCTCTTGAAATGTAATGCAAGTACAAGTGAAATATTGAAAGAAAATACCTGTTGAAACCTCTCCAAATCTATTTGTTAGTTTGCAACAGGTTAGTTTGCAAGGGCACAACAGAGAGGCCGAGTCTCTCAGAAGCAAAAACAGGACGATGGCGACACTGTAGGAGTTCAGCTCTTTTCAGAGTAAGTGTCCTCAGTGTGAAATTTCTGAGACTTTGGGGATTTCATGATACGGTACAAGATTCAAAGAGTCTGGACTTATCACTGTACAAAAATGGACAGAGCTGAAAACCAATACTGGATGTTATGAAGAGGCAAAACTGCATTTAAAACACACATGACTCTATAGTGGAAATCACCACATGTGCTCATACTCAGCTCTAAAAACCATTGGCACCGGCTTTGAATGACAAACCAAGAAGGGAACCTGAACTGTCCTGTGGTCTCTTTTTAGAAATCTTGGATGCTCATAGGAGAGAACTTGTTTATCAGTGCATATAAAACCTTTCACCACTTTTGGTGGAAACAGGCTTGTAAAACTTAATTAAATAAAGGTCTGTCATGAAATTATACACTTTTTAATTTCAGTACATATTTATTTATTAGTTTAATGAACTTCACATGAGATTCACATGGATCCTTATGGGTTAAGTGTTTTTAGTGCATGTGCAGTGAGTGCATTTATCCTTTTTCACTTCGGATTGGAACAAATATTAATTTTCTAACTTAACATGTTTGTCTATATTTAAAAATGCCATTGACATAAATATCTGTTGTGCACAAAGTATCAAGGGCATTAATATTACCCTGTATAAAACTTCATATCTATATAAATACCTGCATTTTTCCAAAGAGATGAACAAAATACAGAACATTTACGATTAAAAAAAATGTTTTAATCTTAAAGAAACAAGCTGTTGATGCCTGAAACCTCATAACTCCCAATTACTACATAATAACATGTTTTTCCACATAATCAATACTGAATGAAAGCTGTTCAAAATACTGAGAGAACAATCGTCAGTGTTAATTAATGTTGGTTATTAACTATTTAATTCCCCTACATATTCAGTTGGTTTACACGTAAAGTGATGCACAAACCAGTTTTTTCGATTAATTTTTAAGCTTTCTATGCCTTTATTATCAGAGATAGGATATGGGATTGTAGGGATAATATGAGGGGGGAATCATTTGATTCATATTGAGATGGAAACTTTGTCTGATTTGCTCCTGTTACATCACTTCACTCACAGTGTCTCATTTATTTGCATCTATAAGACACTTAAGTCAAACTAACTGAGCAGTTTCACTTTCACTGCTTCCAGGCTGACTTCCAAGACTATCTATTTAGAGGTTCAGATTCACTTCTGCATCACAGTCCACACTGAATCAAGCCAGAACAGTAAATAATCTAAATGTGTTTCTATTTTCCCTCCTCACACGCTGAACTTTTCAGCTGCATTATATAAGTCCTCATCAAAAGAGTGTCTTTGCTTTGGCTGGAAAAACCACTCTTCGGCTCAACACAGCGCCACCGCCCCGAGTCTACCGCCATTGAGTTTCCTCATCCTGCCGTGAAGTCTTTGACGGACGCACTCAAAGCCGAGGAGCGGAGTATTTCACTCCAAGTGAGCTTTTGTTAACCTCTGTTGTTAACCTTCACAGGAAAAGAAGCACTCAGAAAGAGATGAGATTCTCCATCTATTCATCACACATCCTGAGGAATCACGACTTGTCGGGGAGCGTGTGAGGACTTGTGTGTGCATACATAAGGACAACACACTAACATGCACAGGAACTTGAATTTTGGGATAAAAATGCATTTTAAAAAAATCTAGAAGTTACCTCTTCATTGATTCTGAGAGCACACATCTTGCTCAACTGCTGCTGGTTGAAACCCAAAGACGGGACTTTCCTTTTATCAGCTGGATCAGTCAGCTCCAGTTTCTCTGCAGTTGAAGGAATTAGAGTCTGAAGTGGGACTGTTAGTGACATGGAAGTAGAGAGAAAGTGGGTTGAGAGGATGCCAGGTTTTATTTGGCTTGAGTTACACAAATTGGGGCTTCCAGCATTAACACATTTTAAATATGTGCTATTTTGTACCTTTTCGCACACCGTAGCTGAGGTAGCCGCAGTCTTCTTGCTTCCTGCTGCTTCTGTGATAAAAAAAATCTACACCACTGTGCTTTTGAGTCTTGCAGACAAAGACATTAGATAGGTTAAATTAGCTGCTTGAGATTAAGTCATAGCTCGATTTGGCTTCGCATGCAACAGTTTTTGCAGCTGAATGGATGAAAAAGTGGACTTTTTTTTGTCGAGAAGTTTGGTAAAAAGTTTCATTTTTTCGAAAGATCGAAGTTTCTGGTTTGAGCTTTCTGTTGCTGCCAAATTTTACAAAACCAGGAGGATGAACACCCACACCAACGGGGACTTGAACCCACCGAAATAGCGAAAGGAAAGCTCTTAAAACGTACATACTGAACAATAAAGCCTTTATTTTTTTGTCTTTCCATAGTTCAAGTTTGTCAGTCCCACCCAATGAAAAGGTGGCAAATAGAGTGAAGGAGTAAGAGGTAGAGCAAGTGTTCCATTCTCATTGTGATCAGCGTGAAAACTCACTTTTACACACCAAGGGAATGGCCATTCAAAGAAGGCCGACTAAAACAAAAAAAAAAGAGAAAGAAAAATAAAAACAAAAATAACAGCAGCTTCTTTGTGGTGTTGCTAGCTTTCCCTTATTATTCACAATCATAAATACTCCTGACTCACTGACTTTTGATAAAGGTTGCACTACAGTGTAAACCGGAGAGGCGATGACCTCAGGCCATGTATGGACCCATGGCAGTAATCATCACTGTCGTCACCACCATCATCGTCACAGTCTCTGAACACTTGGAGCAGGAAAAATAACCGCCACATAACTGCAAAGGGTCTCTCGCTTTGTGTCCAAGGCGAGCAGGCTCTGCATAGTATGGCCATACAGAAGAGATAATGGCTGCCCACCGAGGACTGAAAAGAGGCTCTCGGTCCAGCACTCAAGGAGAGTATGACCTAGGGAAAAATAAATGGGGTCGTCTCCGCACGAAGGAGAGCAAAGAAACCTGAGCGGTGGCGCCTGACAGCACATCACTCCAAAATAGGTGTACAACAGTCAGCTGGCCCTGCGAGTACAAGTGTTTGTGTATGACAGGTCACACTGCATTAAAACTAACTAATACCAACCACTCTACCACTCAGCAGCACTGCCAGGTTAGGACAGTGCCATGTTACATTAAAAAGGAGATAGTATTTACATCCTCAACACATAAATTATTCCCCTAACATACTGTCTGTGTAATGCATAATAATAAGCTCTCTAGGGAAACAAATAAACATAAGTGCCTCGTATGGAAAGACTATGCTGACTCAAGGTAGACGAAATAAAGTTTAAATGCTGCTGAAATAAATCAAAATGCAAGCCAGAAAAAATAAAGACAAAAAAAAAATACAATTAATGCAGTAATTCATGAGAACGATCTGAAAAATGGCACAGAGAAAAAAAATAAAAATAAAGATAAAGCTGTGAGCTTGATTAGGCAACCCCCTGAATACTTCCAGGTAGCGACGATGGCAGCGATGATGTTGACTCGTAAATACCAAAGAGAGAAGGAGAGTAAAGAGGGGTCGCTGCATGAGGGGCCTCAGCTCGGATCAATAAGAGTTCAGATGGTATCTGATCTGACGCTTCACATTCCTGCCTCTGCCTCGCCAAGAGATCTAGGAATGAAACTTGTCCAGTCCAGAATGCGACCTTTGACATTTCTTACGTTTTTGTCCCCCCGCGTTGGAGTTCCTAAGGCTCGTCCCGCCGCCCCCCGCGCCGACCGATCGATTTAGAGCAGAGGCAGCTGGAACTGTTCACCTGATGCAGTGTGACAATAAGGCCCTAGTCTGGTAAAATTCACACTTGTCGCAGATATACAGTATCAAAACTCTGTATATAATGAGAAAAAACATACAAACGCATATGCAAATATAGCTTTTCAATACACGACAACATACACATAACTGATGAGTTTTTGCAGTTGAAATTCAAAGTATTCATACAATATGTGTCACAAAGAAATAATGGCTGGCTCTGTCCGTTTCTGAAGAGAAAGATAAAAAATAAAAATAAAGGGGGCAGTGGGGCAAAAACAAAGGAAGGGAAAAAAAAGAAGAGAAAAAACAGCAAAAGCTGGATCAGTTCATATCCATCATGTTGAATGATTGCACACACAGGATGCTTGGAGGAGCAAATTAAACCTCTCCAGTTGGGTTTTTTTTTTTTGTTGTTTTGTTTTTTTTGAGCGCACAAGTTCATATTACCGCCACACCCCCCACTCCAGTGCTGCTTGGCTGCTGTCAGTCTTTAGGTCATTCCCCCCCCTCCCTCTGTCGTGTGCGGGTGCATGAGAGTCTGTCATTCCAGTGAGTTTAAAAAAAAAAAAAAAAGGAAAAAGAGAAAAAAGGTAGGCCATTGGTTTGTTTTGCTGAGAGGTCCCGCCTACCCTGATGAGGGCGGAGCCAGATCAGAGCCCATCAGTCATCCAGGATGACCTTGACAAAACTGGCCACGTCTGTCTCTTTGGCGTCATGCAGAGTGAAAAAAGGATGTTGCTGCACCGTAAAAGAAAAGACAAGTTGTTTTAAAATGACAAGTGAGGGTTTGAATGAGGCTGAGTCTACAGCGTACGCCTGGCTTCTTGTGGCGATCAATACTCTGAACATTACAACCAGGATGTTTACAGTAGCCAAGAAGAAAGTGAAGAAGAGTGAATGAGAAATTTGTACAATTAAACTTACCATTAATTCTGTATAAGCTGGTCTCTCGTTTGGTTTCTTTCTCAAGCTGCAAAATAAAAGAAGGATGTAAAAGTCAAAAAAAGAGGACACATTTCCTCAATTTAAAACCTTCTCTATATATAAAAATATCTCTAAAGAGCTAAAAGACATGATCATTACACTCTGGCGTGGGTTGTACCATCTTGCTAAGCAAACAAAGAGCAGACACTGACCCCTGCTGGACATCAGTGCAACCTCACAGAGGGCTGGATGAGAAAGTAACAACCGAGGAAGTCTGCACAGTATCCGTGTGACACTCACCACTGGGAGATGAAGTCTACGAACTCCGGGGAGAAACGGTCGGCGGGCAGCTGTGGAGACGGCTCGTCCACCACCTGCTTTAGCTGCTGGAACGGGGTCCCCCAGGAGTCGTAGGGGAATTTCAAAATGGCCAGCTCGATCTAAAAAGACGGGGAAAGGCCGATTTAGGAGCAGGGACGTGGAGACAAAAACTTCCCTGACCCCTCAAGCACAGGGGACATGTAATAAGTTGAGTGAAGGCAGAAATTTTGAGTATAAAAACTTGAATGAATTCTTCATCACCAATCTCTGATTTTTTAGCATCATTTTCTGCCGTTTAGCCGCTCTTTAGTCCTCTAGATGTAACCTCCTTAATTGTAGATCTGTATCTTTCAACAGTACAACCACACTTAGTCTCATCATGTGCAACAAGTGGCCTCTTCAGTTTCCTGTCATACAGTGTGATTAAATCAGTGGCTGATGCCGATACTGATCATGTGAGAGCAGGTGAAGTGCTGCCACGAGGGACTGTGGGATGAGTCGAACGATTAATCATCCATCTCTAATTAAATTAGGTTTCTGTATTATGACTTTATTTATTTATCTGTTTATGTAAAGTGTACCGAGGAGCAGTAAGAGAGTTTCAGTGTGTCTCAGTTACCATAGCAACTAATAAATGCCAGCTTGCGTGCAGCCTGCAGGAAAGGACGATGCCCTGCTGCTGCAATTCCAGTTTTTAAGTACAGAGACAAATAATTACGGGTATATAGCTATACATATTTCAGGTTTTAATTGTGAAAAAATAGAAGTGTTATAGCTGGCTTCGGCCTTTGTAGTGAAAACACACTAAAACATGGCTTCCTAAACACCTAAAACAGGAGGCTGATTACAGATTATTATGTTGCTTTGGAGTTTGATCACATCAGGTCTGCATCTCGAGGAGATATATAGTCAAACAATTATTGATATTTTTAGTATAATCAGCACATCATCAGCATCAGCCCTAACATGGATGATGTCCCCATCATCTCTTATACTTGATGACTCATTCTTCCCATCCTAAATAACATCATCTTACATCTAAAACAGTCAGTGGCTCCTGTTTCATATATATGTTGTTATGCAGTCTAATGTCTCTTCTGGCACAAGTATGTCATGGTTTAAAATCTTTATTTTTCTATTCATTTAAAATCTGTCTTAACTAAACTAACATCCTCATGGATATTTAAAGTCCCATGAGTCAACTTTCCACGTCCAAAACTCCAGAAGAATCACAGTCTTATGAGAGGGTCCGCTAGACTTGGGCTACTAACATCTGTGTGAGTAATAGACTAAAATCATGAATGTGTTTAAAATGATGAAGAGCCTGTATCAGGGTCTTCTATGTTAATATGATAAGTGGGCATGTGTGCCATCTTTGAACCTCTGATGTCAATGTTTATAAGATAAAACTTGTGATGTTGGAGACACTCACCATTGTGATACCAAGACTCCAGATGTCTGACTTAACACTGTAGCCTTTCTGGTTGAGGTCAGGGTTGATGCGCTCAGGCTGTAATGTAATAATAAAACACATAAGAAACAAAAATAACATTTATGCTCCTACCTTTAAATAGTTGGTGAAACAAGCTTGATAGGAACTAAAGCGGGCACTCACCGCCATGTAAGGCTTGCAGCCTGCGTCCATCGTTTTGGCCACAGAATCCACCAGGTGGCCGCTGATGCCGAAGTCGCACATTTTCACTTGGCCCCTGGTGTTGATCAGAACATTGGAGGGCTTCACATCTGGAAGGGAAAAAAATGATGAGCGGATGAAAGCGAACCAAGAACAATAAACAGTTATCTGTGCTCCGGGGTGATGTCATCTTCTCGTTACCTCTGTGGATCACTGACAGGTTACTGTGCAGATGCTCTAATGCCTTAACGATCTGTGAAATAACGAGAGAAAATCAGGTTCACCACTCTGTGAAAGACTGCAGGAGCAAATATTCGGGCAGTTTCAGGATAATTTTATCTTCTACAGACAAATAAACTTCACACTGCATTAATAATGGCATGACTCTGTAGTGGAAATCTCCACATGGGCTCAAAAATATCTTTAATATATGTAGAAAACGATCGTGAAATCGGACAAATCATCATCTGACATTCGTTTTTGAAATCCTGGATGCCGTGTCATGTAGTTTCAGATTTGTCCCTATAAAAATACACAGTAAATAAACAGGTAAATTAAGTATATTCAAATGAAGAAGAGTCCATACTGCTACTGTGATCTTTCCCAGGATGTCCTCTGGGATCGTTATGCCTTTCTCAATGACTTTCTTGTAGAATTTATCCAGAGATGTGTCCATCAGCTCCATGCAGATCCAAACATCACCCTGAAGAATATACACGCAACCCAAGAATGAGAAACAAGAACAATAAAACAATAACTCGTGTGTATATATCTCATACGTCACAGTTTATTCACCTCTCTGAAGAGGGCGCCATAGAAAGTGACAGTGTAAAAGCAGTCGACTGTCCTCATGGAAATGTCCAAGTCCATCAGGAGTCTCTTCTGCTCCAAAGTGTTGACTGTGGCACGAATCCTCTGAGGACACAAACGTCACACATTAGGCCGTCGGTGTCATCGAGGAGCAGATATAGCCGAAATGGACCGGTGTCCAGTAACGTGTAACATAACAGAAGTCTGGAAGATCTCATCCGAATGTTTAGTACTTGAGCTCGAATGTTAAAAACATCTTCGAGTCGTGATGGAGCTATTTTCAAAAGCGTGATGCATTTACAGAGATGGTAACCTGAGCAGGAGCTTCTCAGCCTACCTTGACAGCCATGATAACCCCACTGGGCACATGTCTCATCTTGTCCACCACCCCGTACGCTCCCCTCCCCAGCTCTGCAATCTGCTCCAAGTCATCAGCCTTCACCACAAAGTTCTGGTAGGAGGAAGGAGGTAAATGCGACATTAATGTATGCGGGTGCTCAGCGGAAACGAAAACAAAGAAATGGGAATGCACGCTTCAGAGGGCTGCAGGACGACGTTTACCTGATCTCCAATCGTGACACAAGCTTTAGAGTCGAGATCTCGAGGGGGGCTGCAGGGAGAGAAGAGGTTCAAAAAATCCAGCTTTACACTTCTTTATTCACCTCTTACATGATGATTTATAAAAGTGAGTTTTCAAGCACTGTGGGTAAATAATACCTTAAAATATTTTTATAAAATATAGATGCCTCATTCTGCACTTCCAAACTGACTCCAAATAACATCTGCTGAAGGGCTGCCGTGAACTTCTCTAGCCCCTCCCAAATGCAAACAGGACCAACAAGCTAGCAGCCATGGGTCATCTCTGTGTCTTTGTTTTTGTTTGAGCTCTCATGTAACGCTATTGTCTACAGTAAACACAAATCAATACCAGAGTTCAGTCACTCCCTGGCTCTTTAGAGGCATCATTTTAGTCGGCAGGTGTAAGTTTAGCAAATTTTGTTTCATGGAAATTTGAAAAACATCGTGTTTTGTAACGGAGAATGAAAGATATCAGGAATACTGCGTTTTAGATGAGATGTTTCAAACGGTGTTTCTGCAGGTTTGAACAAGTTAAATTTAAGATTTTTCAAAGGCCGTGATGAATACAATCAAGACTCATTTGAAATCTAAACTGCCAGAAAAAGTACAAAAGACACAAAGGGAAATTGGAACATTTTACATCACTTTAAAATAATCTTTATTTCTTTGGAATGTTTATTATTTGTATGTTAAAGTTAATACATTTTTAAGACCTTTCAAATTTGTATTTAAGACATTTTATTACATTTCAAGAGATCTTTAGACATTTTAATGCCTTAAATTTCAATTAGTGGATACCTGCGGATACCCGGTTAAATGATGGAAATGAAAAAGTTACTTATGATGCAATATAACATATGATACGATACGATACACTAGTAAAAATTAAGCTAGACTCATCTTTTCAAAGTCATTGGTTGAGTCCGTATGTCTTTGGACTGTCTGCTTCTGCATACACCTGTGAGATTTGTATCAGATCCCACAGGACCTCCGAGATCCCAATCTCAATGCAGACCTCCAAATTCTTAAATTTGACAACGTTTATTTAAAGTTTTTGAAGTCTAAGCCGTAAATTTAGAAATTAGAGAAAAATCCAGGAAACGTTTTGGTTTATCTCTAATTTCTCTTATTAAATTCAGAAAAGTTCATATTCATTTTTCCAAGTAACTGGTTAAAAATCTTAAAACTTCTGCTTATATTCTAATCTTTTGAGATGAACTTATGTTGCAGAACTGGGATACATTAACCCCGATATTAAAATACTCCGGACAGAAAAGGAGCCTTACGCTGCTGCTGCTGCTGGTGGGGGCTGCGCAAACACTTCACTGGGGATCTTCAGCCCAGGAAGCTTCTTCTTCCCTGTGAGACAAAACAATTGAGAGGATAAGGTGATCAAAAAGATGCATTCAGCAGCAGAACAAGCGGCTATTACCGGGCGTGTTTGCAAAATGCATCTCCAGACGGATCCGGTAAAAGGTTTAATTCAGATTTAATACCCTGCGCTTGTTATTCATGTGAGTTCACATCTGCTTCCAGAGAGGGGGTCTCATTTTGCTCTCGAATTGTTTTCAAGGTTACAATCAATTTGCAGCTGTCTCTGACACAAACTATAGCAAATGATCTGTTATCTAAGCAGAGATTAGGTGTACCCAAAGCTCAAAGCTGAGGCCCTGCAATGGAAGGAAGGTGGACTAAGTGACTAATCGACATTGGTATGATGACTCAAAATTGAAGGGGGGTTAGGAAAGAGGGAGGAGGAGTTATGTGGAATCAAGTTTTTCTTTCCTGTCATTTTTTTTTTCATATGAAATGTTTACATTTTCATTTTCTACTGTCAAGATCTTTATGTTTTTGCAGTTATGTGGAGTGAGGTGTCGTTCACTGTGCAGCCCTGGAGACTCTGTGTTAAATCAGTGACAGCAGTCTCATTCATAAACACGGCTTACCAGCAGCCTGTGGGACTTCCCACAAGGGGCCACGAGTCCCTGCCAGAATGACACAGCTACCGGGCCTACGAGCAGCAACACAGGAAAAACAACTCTCCATACGGGCAGTCGTGTTCAGCGTGTTCGCTTTCTGTGCAAGGTCGGCAGGGAAAACGGAGCACTTCTCTTGACCTCTGTGCATGCGTGCCAGGACACGGCCACAATCTGGCCCACTGGGCCTGGCAGGTTATTTCCTGGTCTTGTTCTGCTGCGTGCAATTATTCTACCCCAGTTAAGAGAAACTGGTTTAATGTGCAGACAAAGCAAGTCACCTTCCCTCTGCAACAAGTTAGCAATGGGTCATCCCGTTGGTATGATTAGCTCTCATTAATACTGTGGGCTTGTATTTGCTGTTTAGTGAGTCACACCACTCCTGTGTGGAGGAAGTACGACTGGGTAAACCCCTTCTTACCAGAATGAGCTGGAAGGGAAGTGAAGTTTTGCTCAGATTTTTAGATTCTATGGCCTTTCATTGAAATGTCAGACAGGTCCATTTTGTGCTGCAGCCCTAAAATAGTCCCACAGTGGCTGCTGGACAGACTGCAGCAGTCTCATGTGGTAGGGAGAGATTGAAGTGTGATTTACTCACACATGCTCAGTCAAAAATAGACTTTGTGTTTCCTCTGCGTGGGATAAAGCGAGAGCACTCAAAGCCTTCCGATGACCCGACCAACAAGACAACCTTTTGTTAACACAATGAGGGCAACAGCAGACATGAGGGTGCAGGGCAAAAACATCTGTCATGGCACAGATGTCTAAAAGCTGTTTGATTCGTCTGATTGTGCTGAACAATCACGCAAAATACACAAACTTTAAAAGAAAGTTTTAACTTGATTTTAATGTCCCATAAAGTTAGACCCTGGAGCTCAGACTGCGGAGTTGGACGTGACTCACAGCCAGTCAGTCTCGACACATCCGCTTAAAACACAACAACTGTCAGGACCCCAATGGGAAATATGATGTCACTTCACTGTGCTTGCTGCTTGCTATCCCTGTAAGGGCCAAGTGAGGCCAGGATCACATAGCAGCGCTCCAAGTTAACTTTTTTTTTTACTTGGTCGCATTAGTGCTCCAAACTTCAAGCACCAGGCGCACCATAAAAGCAATATCCATATTAGCAGGTCTATTATTAGACAACATCGCTGCGGGACTGGGACTTCGGGAGCTTAATTTCACTTCAATGATAAATGTCCTGTACATGACATGTATTCTTCTGCAATACTTATGCTTGTTCGTGCATTTTAGTATAACATGAACACGCTGTAACCAAGACATGAGGTCACTACCAAACAGACGCAGTGAGTATGAATATGGACGCGAGTGCAGGCATGAAACAAAATCAGGACATTTGATCGTGGAGTCTGGTGTTGCTGTATATAGCCGAGAGGTTTATCGCGATATGAAATCAACTTTACTCCAGAGTCTGTTATGGTGACAGCTGTCTCGTGCAGACAACCAATCCGCAGATATGACGTGCATTTAGAGATCGGCATGCTTCCTTCCAAACTTGCTGGGACCTTGTGCAAAAAAATAAAACTATAAGGCTTCAAGTAGGGCTGGGCGAGAAAATGATAACGATATACAGTACAGGCCAAAAGTTTGGACACACCTTCTCATTCAATGTCTTTTCTTTATTTTTTTATATGACTGTTTACATTGTAGATTATCAGTGAAGGCATCAAAATTATGAATGAACACATAGGATTTTCTACTTACAAAAAAAAAGAGTGAAATACCTGAAAATATGTTTTCTATTCCAGTTTCTTTAAAATAGACACCCTTACAAGGCACACCTGTGAAGTAAAAACCATTTCAGGTGAAGACCTAATGAAGCTCATTGAGAGAACAGCAAAAGTTTGCAGCGCTATCAAAAAAGGGAAGGGTGGCTACTTTGAGGAATCTAAAATAGAAAACATGTTTTCAGTTATTTCACACTTTTTACTTAAGCACGTGATTCCACATGTGTTCATTCATAGTCATGAGAATAAACAAAATGCATTGAATGAGAAGGTGTGTCCAAACTTTTGGCCTGTACTGTATATCAAAAATTAATTTACCACGATATCAATATAAAACATGGTCAATATGGTTTTTGATAGTCGGCATTCTGACATGTTTTGGTAGACTATATGACTAGCCAATGAAAAGGGGAGTTGCTCTGGGCCTGCTTCGTGCTGAACCAATCAGTGTGCTGAATTAGAACCAGGTAGAGAACAACTGCGTAGTAGCGGGCTGCAGCTAAAAGCAACCATAGCACTTTGACACATGAAGCCGACAGCACTGTTGGTGAGAAAAAAAGAAAACTAGTAATGCAGATGAAGGCTCGACAACACTGGCACGAAAACGTCGGAGGTGTGGAGGTATTTTGGGTTTTTTGAGGTCCAACCACAGACTGTAAAAAGAATGGACAGAGTCTGCCTCTTTGCTGGTGAAGCCACTCCGAGAACAGCACCCTCTATTGGTGGGCTGCAGTATAGGTCATAAATCCTGCTTCCGCCCACAAAGCTTATGGAGCTGTGGACAAACTTTAGAAACTTATTACACAGAATAAAAATGTTTCTCCCCCCTGCTTGTAATGTTGACATGTAGTTACAGTCAGACTGGTTTGTGCTCAAGTCCTCTTTTTTCTGCACAGCTCCTTTTTTAAAAGTTATTAGGGGGTTCATGTTTGCTTTGATTGACACTTGATACAACCTATTGGCATTCAGGGATTGCGTAGCTCACCCGGGGGATACGCTGTTTGAGCCGAGCATCATCACAGCTACTCTCGGTGAATGCGCGTATCGCTACTGCGCAGCGCTGGTTAAAGTCCCAGAAATACTGAGAGCTTTTTGGCTTCAAATCTATATACTAGCGAGAGGCAGAACCAAGTTGTCCGTAGTATATACAGTCTATGGTCCAACATGAAACACAGTAATGTACATTGCAATTTATGTTGAGTGCATGTTCTCACAAAATCAGGGAATACCTCAAATCTTTTTCACCACCTGAAGAGGTGTCATGTGGCAGAGCACGAGCAATGCAAAAGGTTACAAACCCCGACTGCAGTAAGGAGCCCACGGCGCCTGTGCAGCCGAAACAGCCGACCATTCAGTCCGCTTTCTCAAGTGCAAAACGTCGAAGAGAAACAAAGACCTCACAGATGCAGTAGCTTTTCGTGTTGCAAAAGACATGCTACCAATAAGCACTGTTAAATTTCATTTTTTATATCGTGATATATCGATTACGACAGATATGAAAAAATATATCATGATAAAACTTTTTTCCTGTATCACCCAGCCCTAGCTTCAAGGTTTGCTGCAAAAGCATTGCACGCCACATGCACACCCATTTAAAAAGCCCATCTGTTGACTGTTTGAGTTTTTCTATAACTTAATATCTGCCGACGTAGAAGGTGTCGCTGAGACTAGATCCATGTTTTGCACAGTGTGTAAGGACACTCATCTGCAGGATAAACAAGACGCTTTCTGCAGAAAACTTCATACTATCCTTTGTCTTTCGCTGTGCTGGACTAATTTGGCTTTCACCCCACAAGTGTAATACTGTAATTTTAGTTAAAAGTGACAAATTCACCAAGAGCTGTCCTCAGACTTTCCCATGGAAACCCTGTGAGACTCTTACAGGAAGAGCCGAGAGACTGTTGAGAAATTAGGGCTGCTGCAGCCGCCTTGTACTGTAAATGATAGGGAAAAACCATGCATTACTTAACAACCACTGGTCACTGAATTAGCAAGTGCTGTATTGAGAAGTGGGAAACAGTTGCACCATGACAATCATTTCCCGTGCACAGATGTTCCTAGTTTTATTTTCAGATTGCACAAATTTAACTTTGGTTGCAGTTTTCAGCCCTACATGGCATCCTGTTGCTGCAAGACTGGTACGGCTGTATGTTCTAGTCTGGTAGAATATAAGGCCGCCATGATGTCAGTCAGTGCAGGCAATACAAGAAAATACATGTGCAGAGATAGAAGGAATGGACTCAAACGTTTGCATGTTTGCACCGCATGCAAGAACGCAAAATCTGCAGAGGGAATTAAGCCGTGCACTTTTACAGGAAATGCAGCAATTCTTATAAAACCAGAGATGTTCCACGGAAAGTATTCGGAGTGGAATAATTGCATACGTCATGTGAACAAGAATTTCTGGATTGTGCACGAGGGATCAAAGTGTCAATAGCTGCCTGGCGAGTCACCATCAGGAAGCTCCAGCCTCGGAGTGGGTCCATATACAGAAAAAAAAAGATGACTCATGCACGGATAATCTTGTGCACCACCCTATCAGCTCTGCGAGGGAGAACCCAATCTCCAAACATGCCTCAGCAATACCATGAAAAGCAGCCCTGCAATGCAATACACTGCACTCTGCACTCACTCCACCCTTGACCACCCAGGGTAGAACTCCTTGTAGTGGCCAAGGAATGAAAAAACTAAACTCACAGAGACACCTCAGGCCTGCTTGGGTGCACACAATAATTACAGCACAGAACCTGTGTAGCAGCTATAGACTCTCTGCTTGCAGCCAGTGAACTGTCAACAAAAGACAGAGGCTGCTGCTCGAGGTATTGGTGCTGCAAGTCAAAACATGCCATGGTAGGCCGAAGGCTGTGATTGCTTGTGAGCAGCACCCCGGCCAATCTACACAGCCCTCTCAAAACAGTGTGTACTCCCGACCATGGTAACGCTAGTATGATTGTGTAACACGAGCACAAGCGGTGAACTTGAAATGTAAATTGACATCATCATCATCAACCCGTGTGTGCGTGCGCAATTGACGCAGAGGAAGGACCTTGATTTTTCCAAGGTGTGTGTCTGTGTGCGTGTGTTTTATTATTCAACATACAGTGCAGTAATTATAACACAAGCACAAGCGGAAGTGGAGTGTGCCATAGCTTAATAAAAATAAAGTCATTACCAAACCACATGAGGGGGAGAAAAATGCATATTTGATGAACGCGGCGCTAAAAATATTTCAGCGCCCACACCGAGAGGGTCCCAACACAATCGATCAGTCATGAGTGTGGAGGCCGAGAAACACAAACACCTGTGGTCCCAGTGTGGTTTACTTTCCCCGAAAGCGAGAAACTGATCCCCAGGGCGGTGATTTCCAGCTAAAGGGGGCAACTTGGTTCATAATTACAGCTTGGCAGAAGTCCTTTATTGTCGTGAGAGTGATGTTAGCTCATGTTAACCACAACACGGGAAGTTACAGAAGCGATGCGACTAGCTTTGTAGAAAACGGGTTAAAATTAAATTTAGCAAACATTTAGAGTGTCTGTGTTGAGTAGCTTTGGATACAAGGGTGTTTAGAGACTTCGTATAGTGATAGAAAGCAGGAAAGACATGCTGGCTAGCTTCTCTTTCCTCCCCTCATACATGCAGCTTTCCACCTGGCAAGGTTACATTTCTCAAACACGGTTAGCTAAACTACTTGAGCGCGTATTTGCGCATCGGGCGTTCAGAAGAAATGCAAAGTTGCGTGAGAAATAAGTGAGAAAAACACTCACCTCCTTTAGACAGAGACATTTCCCCTTTGCTTTGATGAGGGGGAAGGGAAGCACAAAGACTTTTGCCTTTTTCTACTCCCTCCCTCCCTGCATCGAGCCGCACACCCGCTCAGGATCGCTGGCTTGTGCAAAAAAAAAAAAAAAAAAAACAGCAGCGATAAAAAAAAACTCAACGGATCTTCCTCGTGCAATCCACGCGCTTCAACCGGCAGCTCGCGCGCTGGGAGATCGATCGGTGGGTAAATGCACAACTTTGAGGAGAGTCGGCGCGGTTCGAACAGTTCGAGTAAGTTTGCTAACAAAACCTGCACTTTTAGGGTGGCCAAAGTCTGACAGCTGAAGGTTCCAACGGCGTAATGACGTACTTCCTGTGGCGCTAAAAGCATTATGGGATATGGAGTGTGTATTGAATGAGCGCTAAACACAACTCCTCCTTTTGATTAAGTACCGTAAATAAACATTTTAAACGGTCATTTAACCTTTAGTGGATGGTAGCGAACTGACTTTATTAAGATACTGCACTTTTCTGAGTGCCTGTGTTCTGCTTAAATTCCTTTTAGGGCCATAATCTGGATTTAAATCTAATCTGAGGGGCCCAACAGGGTCAACATTGAACCCAAACTGTCAACCTCCTTTTCAAAATATATAACAAAATCAGCAATGATTACTTTCCCAGATTTTCATGATTTATTAAGGACATTTTAAATAAAGTTTACATTATTATCCTGGAGGAAATCTGCAGACCTCATATTGGTGGGCCATTAATAATCCTGTGCCTTAAATAATCGTTTTTATTTGAAGAAAAATTTTGGAAACCCCTTAAAATCCACCTTCTTTTTCATAACAATATTATGACTGCTAGACTTTGAATTAAAAACCCATACCGATTACACACATTCATATAAGCAAGAATAAGAATTTCTGAGAGCTTTTTGGCTTCAAATCTGTATACTGGCAGAAGGCAGAACCAAGTTGTCCATAGTATATAGAGTCTATGGGTAAAACACGACTATTTGGTTTATGTAATTGTGTGTGCAGTTTGTCCAAGTGTAGTTGCCATACCTGTACAAAAGATGACTCCATGGTTGAAGGAAGAGTGAATTCAGAACAAACATTGCATGGTAGTAAAAAAAAATTCCACATAAAGCTTCTTCACAAACCAGTGTAACTTAATGCTAACACATTTATTCCTGAGCGCATGCATAATTTAAAAAAAGGTAGTCTGAATATTTAAGTACTTTTAGAAACAAGCACTACTCAACTTAAGTAATGCACTCACTGAGCAAATTCCATTTAGGTACTTTTATCTAAAGTAATTGAGTTGTGCAAGTTGTCCACCTCTACAAATTACACACTGATTTTGCTTCCTTACGTATTATTTTGTGAATCTAACACAGGCTGCAACAGGGAGATTTTTTGTACTCATCTTTTATTGCTAATTTCTGTTTGATTCAGGATGAAAATTACACTAGTGTATTATGTTTAGATGTGAAGCATGTGTAAAGACATTAAGGAAATAAAATACAAAATGCCTACAAGTTAACAACAAAGGAACACTGATAATGGGGTTGACCTTTAATTTACACATATTGGTATGTAAACAGCAAACAAGTACTTAAGTGTGTCGTGGGATAGAAGTGCTATGAACAAAAAAAAAGGATCTAAAACCTATGTGTGAGCGCTGAATTATGAAATGCATTAAAGTGATAACAATTACATTTGATCTACAGAAAGAAACTATGCGTATTAACTATGCAAATGACATTTACCATGACACACATTTTAGACATTCAAGGAATAAACTACCAGACAGAGAAAAACCTGAAAAAATTACAGTACAGTGAAGTTTTTTTTTTTCTAAGTAAGCCAGAAATACTAATTAACCCACCATCGTTATAGTGATTAACACTGCAGAGAGGTTGAGTTGTGAGTCTTTTTTGTACCAGTCACCTCCTTGCTAAACAGTTGGAAGACAATAAAATGCACAAACTACTCAACAATGGAGATGTCACAGACCTGATGCTTAAACATGTGCTGTGATATGAGCTTACTTTGGAATATGTGCGTGTGAAATTGTGCGATTGTGCATGGTGGATAATCGATGGTAAGGCCGTGCCAGCATCCTGCCTTTACTTCCTGGCAACAAGGAGGGTATGGTAGAGCGGTTTTATTATGATGTGCAGATAGAGGGAGCTGTCAATCAGGTACTCGGATGCACGGCGCTGCAGGTCGGCATCCAGCAGGAAATCCCCGGCCTCCTCTGTGCTTTGGTGGAAGTTGTAGACGTGGCGAACCACCACTTTGCCTTGCTGTCTCGCCATCACAATCACCGTCTTCTGGAAGCTCACCCCGGCAAAGTCGGGGCTCGAGGTGGCCGGTGTTACGATGATACGAGGTCGACCTCCGTCTGTGCGTGTAGGCTGCAAGGCTCCAAGCTCGGTATAGGTTGACCTGGCGCTGAGTGGGAGCCAGCGAGGGGAGAACAGGGCGTTCCAGGTCACCTTCTTGCTCGAGTCGTGGCCACTAGGGCCAAGTTGGGTCTGGAAGCTGTAGCTGCGGTCATCACGCGTTGGGCTGTTGATGACCCAAGGGGAACCCCAGGAGGAGGACAGGTAGTTTCGGGGGGTGAAGATGCTGCAGTTGACGTCGAAGTACTTGGCCAGTTGGATTGGTGAGGCGGAGTGAAACTGGAAAGCAAGGTAGAGAAGATCACGGACAGTCTCGTAGTGTTTCAGCATGAGGGCTGATTGCTTCTGTAGACGGAAGAGATGCTGAGGAGGGATCATGCCGTATCGAATAGCCCTCAGGGCGGTTTCCACGGTCTTGCTCATGGGCTGGTTCTGGCTAATCCAAGCTTCCACGGCCTCGTACAACTCCAGCTCACTCTGCAGAATGAGGTCAGAGCGCTGGAGCAAAGAGAGGAGCAGGTCTTCACTGATGGAGCTCCATTCTCCGCTCTGCAGCACAGAGGACAGGTTCCAGCTCAGGTACTGCAGGCAGCTGTCCCGCAGGGCCACGTCCCCAATTTGTAGTGCATAGTTATACCAGCCTACCACATGGCCGGAGGGAGACTCACTTGACAGATGTTGGGTCATATACTGGGTCAGACCTTGTTGCAAGCCCCACACATGATACTTGCTGGCCAGCTTGTGCAGAGAAATGGCCTGATCCAGTCGAACGGAGATATCACCGCAGTACAGATACCTGCAGGAGGAAAAGAGGTTGCCTAAGTAAAGCGTACTATATTTGAAACATGTGTTCTCTCCTCACATGTGACTCACTCAATAAACCCACACTGTCCGTTTTTCAGCTGTGAGCCTAAAACAGCAGATGTAATTTTAGAATACTTAACACGTTGGAGCTTCTCATTTCTGCAAAGGAGGGAGGCAAATTGGTGAGGAAGATCGATATCTTACACTGTAAAAGTTTCTAAACTTTAAAAATGTTTGCCATTTGTTAACCTCACCTGATAAACTTGTCAAAGACCGCTGCACAGTCCACCGTCTCCCTCAGCACCACATAGCTGTTATTGCGGGTCAGCAGCAGTTCCTCGAACACGTCGCTCTGCAGCGTGAGAACCAAGCTGTGGGCCTGGATCACCTTCACCTCATCCGTGTTGATGGTGTGCACCCGGAGAGTGACGTCACTGCCGTTCCCCATGGCCAGCAGGGTCTCCATGCGCTGCACCAAACTCATGGAGTGATTCAGCACGGTGGCCCCATTGTCCAACGCTGTCTCCTGCTTCAGGGCAGCTGTGGGGAAAATGGAGCAAGATGGCGGACAAGTTGCACTTAAATGCAACACAATGAACGCTTTCTGAATGCAGGAGAAATCTGCTACCCTTTTTTTTCTTTTACCTTTAACCTGAATCTAATTTCTGGCAAAACTTGCATGCATTTGCATCTCAGATTTGACGCAGCAGTAACTGAAAAGGGCGACTCTTTGACTTAACCACAACTGATAAAAAGTGCCAGGGGAAAACCAGACTTGCACAACGTCCAATTTTTCTAGTTTTAATTGGTAGAGAAAGAGAGCACAAGCCAGGTGGCTGACTCAGAAAACCTTTGCTTACATGTCCTCAGAAGAGATTCTGAGTTTGCGGCGCAACTGCAGATGGCTGCTCCTCTGCGCTCTCATGTGCACGAGTACAAGTGGCACACACTGGAGGAGCACACATGAAAGACTCAGCGTGACAAGTTACTGTTTCCACTCTGCCATCGGCAGCCTTGTTGGTTTGTTACTGGGGGTTTAATGAGACACTGGGGGAGCACTCCTCTTGGCTCCCTGGAAAGCTTCACAGTCTTCGTTTCTTAACCACAACCAAGCACCCCCTCTTCAAAGTAACCTTTTTCCAATTAGCGAGCCAGCACCCTGAGCCAGCTGAGCATGGTGGAGTGTGTGGGGGTGCTTCTTGACGAATGACTCTGTGTAGCCAATAAAATCATCACCAAATTCACACAGTAGTATCTGTTACATATTTATTTATTTTTTTCCAATTCTGAAATGAAAAAATAAACATCTGAGAGTGGTAGATCAAAAACTTATGAATAATGAATGTCTTAGAGTCTCTTTAAGTCGAGCTGAAAACATTAAATAAAACATTTTACACTGCACACAGTCCCTAAATATAGGATCAAACAAGTCTGTACTCACATAGAATACAAAACCTGATCTGACAGCAGAGAAAAGTGGCCTTTAATAGCTGTGTTTAAAAATCAGTTATAGTCAGATCTTCTTTCAGGAGTAAGAAAAGCTCTCCCTCAATGCTTCTACTTCCACTCTACCACTGAGCCGGCACAAAGCCAAGCAGTAAATGGACCTGCCTGTCTCTCCCTGCACCCAGCAGACAGATAGATGAGGACAGGATGAGTAGAATAGATAAATACCCATGCTCTGCCCTGAGGCTGAGCACGAGCCACACATTCATGCTGTGCCCTACTATCATCCAGCTGAATGGAGGGAAGCTGGAGTGGAACAGAACAACACAGTTTCTTTACAAAGTAGAATTAATTATAGAAAAAGATTTTTAAAAAGTGATATGACTCTTCAAAATAAAACAATTTCAACTGCTGAGGACATTTTATTTTTTTTATCTTACCTCCTCTAACTGTGACAGAGTGGATCAAGAGGAGCAGGGTGCCCACACAGACCCAGGCTGGGATCCCTTGTTCAAAAGAGCGCACCATTTCTTCTCTCCTGACTATCTTCCTGTATCCCCCTCTCTTCCTCGGACTATTCCTCTGGCTTCTGTGCGCCTCTGTCTCGTGCGAGCAGAAAGGTGCGTTGGCCCCCGTGTGTGTGTGTGCCGCCCGGCTCCCTGTCCCGCACTCTTTATGTAGGACGCTGGCCTTTCCCTGGCGCATCTCGCAACCCCACGGGCTCCATTGATTGGTGGAATCTGGCAGGGGCGTTGCTATAGCGACAGCTTTGATTTTGAATTTCTCCCTTTTGGATGTTACATGGTATTGATCAGCGGCACCGGGCCAAGTGAGGACTCAGCTTAATGGTTTTTTTTTTTTTTTTTGAGTGGAAAAGTCAGGAGAGTTAGGCGCTATTAACAATCAATTTTACCACAGCGTGTTTTGATGGCACTCGGAAAGCAGAAAATCTCTGCTCTGCTAGATTTTCTGTAAATATAATTAGTCAATTAATTACAGCAGGTTGCCACTCAAACTGAGAGTAATTGGGGTTCTCATATGTGTGACCAATGGCAGTCAATCAAATTTCATAATCCATTTTGTTGGACAGTTTTCCAACTGAGAGCAATTATTTTTCTGATGGCATGTTAATCTTACTAATGGGGGGGATAAATTATTTGGTGCTCTGTCTACTCTTCAATCTAAAGGAGGCTCAGTCTATCAAAACCAGCTGCCAATCAGGACACACTTGTATTTAAAAAAAAAACTATTTTACTCTGTTTTTGTTCACATGGCAAAGAGCAAATATTCTCAGGTGCTGAGATTAGCGTGCCGTGCTTAATAGTCCTCCAAAATAAGTTCCATGCTGGGAAAATCAATAGGAAAAGCTGTAATGGCTCAAAGTGTGCTCAAAAGCCCCATAGCATAATAGAATCACACATCCTGCAAAAGCATACGGTGCTGCAGAGATGCTGTTTAATGCGAAACTGCTGCAATGAGCTGCTCATACGTGACGCTTTGGGGCAAAATCATATTTTGACAGAGCCATTTATTTGAGCCTTTAGCATTGATCTGTCAGTCAGAGATGGGTCAGTCAATACTGAGATCCCTGTTAAATCTGCTAAAAAAGATAAGCTCAGTATGGATCGAATTTTAAAAAAAGAAAGGAAAATCATTGCATCTGACTGTACCATTAGTCCTATCGGGATGTTTTTTTACTCGCATGCTGCGATGAGATAAAAGTGTTCAAAATAACTCAGAATCCGCCACAACAGAGACACAGACAAGGGCGGACATCATTTTGGAGGGATCTGGGTTGTGGAGCCCTGAGGCCTGCCAGGCTGCAGAAAAAACTGCAGGAGAATAGATGCCCTGCGAGACCCCGACCTGAGCCACTGCTATGAATAACCTGACAGGTTCCCTGAAGGGAGCGGTGCTGCCGAGGAGCCCTAATGAAGCCGGCTGCAACAAACTGGACCAGACAACATAGACAGAGGCATAGACAAGGCAGTGGATCCTACTGCATATGATTGTACCCTCTGTTCTGATGCACACAAATAGGTTTCATGCCTTGCAGCAAAGATGCAGGTGCAAAGAATGAGCACAGCGTGTTAACAGTTCATCTATTCATATAAAGATACTCTATCCAAACATGCAAATCAGGTGTTTTTGCAGCCTCTGAAATTGGTTGTTCAGCTACATGTTGAACAGAATGTACCCAAAACATGCCCTCCATAAAGGTGACATTGCTCCTGTTAAGAATCTGATATGCAAAGGGATAAAATTGATGAGCCGCTGGGCTCATGAGAGCGCCTCCCGGGACGAGATCCATTGAGGGATCGATGCACCACAGGGGGTCCCATCACGCAGCGTAAACAGTGCGTTTAGTGCAGGCGTGATGCCAGAGTTAGCTTCGGCAAGGTTTCCTGGTTGACCTTATTTATGCGCTGAACCAAAGAGAGCAGACACTTTTTAACCAGATCTTTGGTATAAACACACTTTAACATGTTACATGCATCAAATATCTGTTAAATACAGGGAAAGAAGTAGAAAATCTAACAAATGAACTCATTTAAGATATTTTTTCGTATTATTCCTGCATGTTTTTCTAAATTCAGCCGAGTAAATTAGAGTTTTATGTGTGCCACTGTCTTCCCTGACTACATATTTCATAACTACATGAGGGAGCTAGATGAAAAGAAAAGTTTGGGGACTTTTCAGTCAGTCTAGACTTACAGGCACAAGGAAACGAATCAAAGTGGTTCACTCACATCTTAAAAATACTCTACCTTTGTTTGCCTCTGGGGAATAAATTCTTACTGTCGCACTATGATTTCAGTCCTCAAGTGCAAACTGAAGTGCATCATGTTTATGAGCATCATATTCTGCAAAAAGACTATGCAAAAATTTGTAACTGGAAAAAAAAACAGACAAAAAACATAGAGACACTAAAGACTGTTTAAAAGCTTAAAGTCAATAACTTTAATCAATATTGCTTTTAATCAAATGGATGTTAAATGGCATGTTGACAACAGATCAATATCGAGCCTGTTCTGCCGTATAATCAGATTTTATTATGCAACACTTGAGTCCATAGTTTCTGTAACATCAGTTTCCACCAGGTGGCTCTGCAAACTGAGGGCACAGTTTGTCCTACTGATGCTGACTGCCCTGTGCACAGAAAGTGGATTCAAACTCTTCTATGAGACCTCTCAGGTAACTGTTTTATGCACATTACATTGCAAAATAATTAAAATAAAGGCCTAAATTAGAGTTTAATTCCCTTTAAAATGAAACAGCAAGAAAACTGAGGATTGAGGCAGTTTAGATAAAAATCATTTATGAGGACTCACTTATCAAAAAGTTGATCCCATCTTGAAAACGATCAGTCATTAGTCGATTTTGTGTTTAATATAAAATCTCTGCAAACAGGCCAAACCTTGCCCTACAGCAAGTATAGCCAACATGTCTCACTTGAGAGGTGAGTGGGTCCTTTGTTTGGGTGTAAGCCGCCTCAAACAAATAAGCAGACTGGGTGCTAATCTCACAGAATATGCAAAGCTGCAGAAGTTGGATAAAGACACGGAGCGGTTTGAGCTGGGTCCTTTGACAAAGTTACACACACACGGGATCATAACAAGTATACATGACAGGAGAGCTATTATGAAGCGACTCCCGAGGAGGAGAGCATTATAACATGGTTCAGTAGCAGCAGGAGGAAAGGAGTGGACAGATGGAGGACTGTCCATGAATCCACCCGGAAAAACACGCTGGATTGAGCTCGTGGCGCGGATGAATTCATCGAGACATAAGTGAAAAAGTTCGATAATACTCAAAGCAGGTTTAACATCTCGGGAGAGTCGATTTGTTATCCTCACCGGGAGTAAATCTACTCGGGTCACCTGTTGGAGCGGTCACAAGCCCAGGTAAGCAGGTCCTGATGGAGACATATGAATCTGATACCTATTGAATGCCATCGTGTTTCCCACTGCTGCACTTCTGTAAATTATACGATGATTTCAGCCTTACATCTTTAATCCAGCCTTTTTTTATTGCAATACAGTTATAGAAAAAGAAACTAGAATGCTTTTTGAAGCGTTTAACCCTTTAATGCTTTTTGTATCATCTTTGATACATACTTTTATGATACTTATATCTAATCAATATAATCAACAAATTACTAAAAAAACACCTGAATTCAGTCTGATAAAGGATAAAAACGTCCTCTTGTCGTTTATCAGTTTCCAAAAACATCTAATGTATATATATGTGTATTTATATATATAATTTCAGGGTTAAGATATAGTCTGATAGCTTGAAAATAATTTGAAACTCGAACTGAAAATAGTGCAAAGACGATATATCAAACATCAAAACTTAAATAATGTTAAGAAATATTTCTAAAATTTATGCTGATTTGAAATTTGATGCCTGTAACTTGTTTCATGGCCTAAGAAGTGCATAAAAAATGCTGAGATGCTCTAAAAGATCAGGTAGGAAATAGTTAAGTTATGTTCTTAAGTGAGAAAGTGCTAAATTTTACACTGATTTGTTCATCAAAAGTGCATAATATTACTAAAAGTTACAGAGAATTGGCAGAAATCACATTGCAAAAGGGACAAGGACTGAAACCAAGACTTAACATTGTGATCCTCAGGTCCTTAGATGGCACTGCGTTCAAAACAGACACGACTCTGCAGTGGAAATCCCTGCATTGGCTCAAAATCTTATCTCATCTAAAAAATAAAAAAATAAAAAAAAAAACACTGTTTGTGGGCACAGTTTGTCAAAAGTAGGTTAAAGCTGCACCAAGCAGAGAGGAAACCATCTGTAAAACTAGTCCAGAAACACCGCTGACCTCACAGGGCCTGAGGGGTAGTGGGGCAGTTTCCGTGGATCTTACGACTCAAATTTTGACATTCATTTTGGAAATCATGGAGGCTGCATGCCAAACTACATTTTTGCACATTTAACATAGCATGGCCCAGCAGTAGAAGAGTCTGGGTGCTAAACTGGCCTGCATGCAGTACCAACTTGTCACGCATTAAAACACGAGTAGCTTGTCTTCTTGGTTTGCAAAAAAACTTAAAATAAAACTATAGTTGTATCAAATAGTCAACATTTTCAGTGACATAGCTCACGAATTTCAACTTTTTTTTTCTACCTTTACAGAACAAGTGAGCCCAAACTGACAAATGACTGTATTTCAATCATGCAAACCAACCGTATCCTCAAATAACGCTATATTTGGAGCAGAAATGCAGAGTACTGATAATAAAGTCTCATGTTGTAGCGCCGAATTGAGGCCTCTGCAAATTACATACTGTAGCAGGGCCCGGCTGAGCTGTGATTACATCACGTCTCGGTGTTGTAATTAAAGACAGGCGACACATTTGGTTGGATCCTTCAGAGACATGAATGGATTGAATTCAGCCAGCAGCTGTAGTATGAAACAGTCAGACTTGATGGGCTGTGAATAGTATGTGAATGATGTTTTTCACTGAGCTTAATCTGTTGTTACATAGTTTGTTTCAAGTGCATGCAAAGTTGTGATTCTTGGTGTCGTCTTCTACAAATCCAAATGCAAATACTGCAGCTTTGCGACAGAATTTGAATGGATGTTTTAAAAAAATCTGTTTCCTTTTTTAATAGACAGAGAAAGAAGACTTGCGGTGAAGCCATGGGTTCGACGGGCCCCCCGAAAGGCTGTGGCTCCAACATCGGCTCTTTATTTTACAACCTGTGTGACCTGACCACAGTGTGGGGAGTCGTGGTGGAGGCCGTAGCTGCTACTGGAGTCGTGACCTCTTTCGTTCTCTTCATCATCCTCATGGCATGCTTACCGTTTGTGACCAACAAGAAGAGGAAGGCTATGGTGGCCCTGCAGGCAGGCAGTCTGGTCTTCACTCTGGGACTCTTTGGACTCACTTTCGCCTTTATCGTTGGTCGGTACTCCACCGGCTGTGCAGCTCGGAGGTTCCTCTTTGGTGTTTTGTTCGCAGGCTGCCTGTCCTGCCTGATAATGCACGGGCTGTGGCTGGCCCTGCTGCAGAGAGGCCGGGGCCCAAAGTGCTGGATGTTCTGCCTGGGTGCGCTCGGTCTGTGGTTGGTGGAGGTGATCATCAACACCGAGTGGTTGATCACCACGGTGGTCAGGAGCCCACCTGGAGCTGAAGCCATCCCTGACCTCTCCTGCAGCTTTGACAACATGGACTTCGTGATGGCTCTGATCTACGTCATGGTCCTCCTGGTCGCTGTGGTAGTGATACCGGTGTTCACGCTGACACACAAGCAGAGACAGTGGTGCAAGGATGGAGCTTTCATCCTGGTCACCGGGATCCTCACTTTAGCCATCTGGGTGGCTTGGATTGTCATGTACCTCTATGGGAACCAAGTGGTTGGAAACCCCAGCTGGGATGACCCAACTCTGGCTGTAGCATTAGTGTCAAACGCCTGGGTGTTCATCTTCTTCTACACCATCCCAGAAATCAGCTTTTTGGCTACAGAGGACCAAGTTCAGGAGCCTCTGGATGATGGAGACCATGTGTATCCCGCCAGAAGCCTGGTTTATGACAACATCCTGAAGGAGCAGGAGACACGCCCTCAGAACATGTACATAGAAAATAAAGCCTTCTCTATGGACGAGCCTTCAGGTAACTCTTACAGCTAACTAGTAAAGCAGACTCCCTGACACAACTCCAACTGTAAAATAGCTAATGGGAGATACCATCAATCTGCAGGTACCCCAAACACAAGCAAAGACTGGGACATATTTGATGGATTATTATTTTTATTTTGGACTAACTGGCCAAAAATCAGCTTGTTTTTTCCAGTGAATCCGTAATCTGGCAATCATTTGGTCTCCCCGAGCTCAGACAACTTAAATCTCATGTGATAAATCCAGGTGGCAAAACAACAAAGCAGCAAAGGGGGGGAATCAGGGGTTGTGTTGGTCTGAAATCGAACCAAAAATATCACAAAACCACCAGAAGACACAAACGATTAGTCTTTTAGTCGTCCTACTCTTTGCAAAATCGCTTAATTTTGGACATATTCAGACCTAGCATCATCTCTCTCACACAAACCTTCTTCAGGGGACAGTTAAAGGCTTTTTAGTGTTTTGGCAGAACCCGTGGGAATCTCCTTAGAAATAAATGTATGCTACTCAAAAACCATTAACCCCATTTTTAGGATGAGAGCCTGCTCTACTTATCGAAGGTTGTGTCCTTGACCAAGAAGCGGTTAAACAGTAACTTGGAAGCAACGATGGACACAGCACACTTCATAATGTCAGACTCCTATGTAGTTATCACTATTCCTGATAGTTTAAACAGCCCTGAGTACACAGGAAACAAGACATGTGGCTGTACGAATAAATAAACATCACTACCATGCTTCAGAATTACTAGCCAGTGAACCAAATCACTGATATATTCATTATTATAGGTCTGAAATGCAGGTTATCAGCTGTTTCTCAGCTACAGCTACCATCTAAGGCGTTAGCTTTGGTTAATAACCACCGCCATGATGCTATAATGATGTACTACCTAGATGTAAATAAGCCCAGATGACATCTTGGGGTGTGGTGTGATTTGGCAGTGGTTTATAGGCAGCTGTGGCACGTTAACCTGGATGTAAGAGTGAAGGCTGGTATCGCTAGCTCTGCTGATGGCGGCTACATTAGGCTCTGGCATTATTCAAAACATGGACAGAACAATGGTAGCCTGTGTAAAGCCATTGGGAACGAGCTGCAGTTTGCATCCGAGAGCCTGCTTCCTCCATTATAAAAGATGGAACACGGGTCCAATGAATGTTTGTACATGATTATTACCTTCATGGTTGGTCTTTATCATGCTGCTTAAATTTATTAAAGTCTAACAGAAAATTGATTGACAGCTCTGTTGACCAATCAAACACTAGAATCTGTTCTACTGTGGTTTGTGTCAACCTATATTTGGTCATATGTGTTTTTGTTTGAGTAAAGGGTGTGAAAACAGTCTAGATAAATATGTATCTGATCTATTCGTCTCTCTTTGCTTTCCTCTCACCAGTCTCCATAAGACCAGAGTCCCCATACGGTTCTTACAACGGTCAGCTGCGAAGTTGTGTGTACCAGCCCACTGAAATAGCACTAATGGCCAAAGGTCTAACAAGGGTGAGTGCGTAAGCATACTTTACATGACATAAAACACCGCTCCTCTAACACGTCCTGCTTCAATCGCTTCTTTGTGTGTATATTTCCACAGATGGACCAAGAGGTGATTATCCCCCGAGCCAGAACCCCGTCTTTGAATCCGGGGAGTGTCAGCTCCTTGCCTCGTTCACACGTGTCACTACCTTCTTAAGGACTGTCACATGCAGGCAGCATGTTTCAAGAGTTGCTAACACTTAAAGCCATGAGATTAAGCTCCAGCAGGGCTCTGTTGTACCCTCAGAGTTCCTACTATGTTTGTGCTCATAGCCTTCATTATTTTCAGGCGGTGAGATCGCTCCTCCGTTGCGTTTATCTTGTCTTGGTGTGCATTACAGGGGCAGCTCAAAAAGTTCCATTACGTGTGAAGTCAAACACTTGAAGCTTTTCATTTTGATTAATTCGACGATTAGTTTGTGAAAATCAGAAATCCAGTATCTAAAGTTATTAGATCTTCTTTCCTAAAGCTTGTGATAGCTAGTTTCTGCATCGTGGTTTGGTGTTTCCAATTTCCCTTTTTGGGAAATACTCCATAGATTTTCTTCAGGGTTCCAGTCAGAAGAGTTAGCTGGCCAATCCAGTCTAGTAATATCAGTAAAACCATTTGGTAGAGGTTTTGGCGATGTGGGCAGGTGCATAGTTTGGTCGGAAACTGAAATCAACAACTCTTGATCGTTTGTCAGCAGGTGAAATGCTCTAAAATCTCCTGGCAGATGAAATCTTCTCAGAGTGCAGAAACTTAAAACTGGATTCTCACACTTTGACTTCTGTGCTTCTTGACGCTGGAGCGACAGAGTCCAGTTTTGATTCCCCTCAGCTCCGGCGTTGTCTCTGCCTCAGTTGTGGATGGATACTAGGATGATCTGGTGACACCTGCCTCAGTCTCCTGCGTTCTTAGATCAACTCTGCTGTCAATCATCATCCCTGTTGCTTGTGTTTTGCCTCATTCTCCTGGCTTCTGGATAAAGGTGCAGTCCGTAGAGTTCCCCTGACTGAGAGCTGTACATGGTATTCATACTATGCATAGCGATTTTCTCAAACTCAAACTGATATATTCTAATATATTGAGCTGTAGGCTGTTGTTATAAAAACTAAAATAGAATAAATTTATGAAATAAGTCTAGTTTATATCACATTTAAAAACTGATGGAGAATATTCAGTTAGGTCATGATTTTCATACTTTTTGAGCTGCACCAGTAAACTCACAAAAATAGCGACATGTCCCTTTAAAGTAAAATAATTTCTCAACTTTCTGGTAAAGTGAAAGACCAAAAACTGGTCTGTTTTTTTTTCCACCAGCACATCTCAACAATATGATCTCTCAGCTGATTTTTTGTTTGCTTGAAAAAGCACATTATCAAATCATGTTGTCATTTAGACTTCCACTGAAAGCCGTATGACTCTGTAGTAGGATTGTAGGATTGTAGTTTTCTGTTTTCTAAGTTATTAAACCTGTTATGGGTCCTGAAACATGTGTGGCCTGTGGATCTTTTAGTCGTCGTTGCTGAGGGCAGATATGGAGTAATGAAAGAGGAAGTGACACAGGTATTGCGCTCGCGGTTGCCCAGAGTTATTTACATACGCTTGTTGGCTAATCTTTAACAGCTTTTCATTTTGTTTATGGGCTGTGTGACATCAGGTGGCACTGAGAGGGGTAAAATATAGGACGATGGGTAACTAAGGTTTACATTTGACTTCAAAGTTTCGAAAAGACCTACTTTAGATCCCAAATTATGGAGCAATTTCGCAGTACGAGAACGAGCATGCAGCTGCTTTGATTTACAAAGAAGAGTTCTTCCTTTCCTCTACAAGAGCAGGAACAATTATTCACAGATAATTCACATGCTCACACACACATACACACTTCTCAGAGCTTTGGAGTAAGCTGCGGCTGCCTAGCAGCAGGCTGAGTAGGCTCTCTCTCTCGCTCTCTCTCCCTCTCTCTCTCAATCACTCCCACCATCCTGTACTGTCAGCAGCCAGGGGAGGAAATTGCTCACAAACTGGAAATCAGACAGCTCACAAATGTACAACAGAACATGTGTGACAAAAGTCAGAGTAATACGCCTCCTGTCGGCAGCCTTTGATACAGTTTTTGGATGCAAAGTGCTGCAAAAGATACGCAGATAGACTGTGCAGTTTTTACAAACAACCTGCTAGTGAACACACAAAAAAGAAGCGCATACTCAAATTGATGCAAAGTGAGGCTTTCAGACATTCACTGTTTTCTTGGCATTATCCACAACAGCATCCTTCTTACTAAGTGGTGACTGCCCAGTTACTGGTATGATAAGCCCCGGATTAGTGTGCAAAATTCAAGGCTGTCCCAGAGGAGCTGAGTTCCACCCATGCATGGCATGAAGCGGCAACTAGTAAGGTGCCACCTCTTCAGGAGACAAGATAAATGGATGAAAGCTTGCTCACGTCTGTGTTTATAGTGTATGACACATAAATTCCCAATCAATGAGTGTGCACCAATCAGATTTCTCTCTGTCAGACAGCAACTTTAAACCCCCTGGTGATATGAATAGCTGTCTTGAGCACATGGACACAGGTGGTTATATGACCAGTGGTGGTTAAGCTCAGCTCAAGGGAGTCAGCACTACCAATCACAAGCAGCTGTTCCCACTTAATGCATTTCATTGTCACTGTGACAACCTTCTGTGGACAAACACAGCTGAAAAAAAAAAAACAGAAATGCCTGAGAACCCACAGACCAGATGACAGGGATTCAGTATTAATAGGTTACGGCATATGGTGGATGTTATCAATACTTGTATTTGCACAGTTTGTCCCAGAAGCCAGTATTTCAACAAAGGCCTTGTTCATGAAAGTAAACCTTTTAAGGATTACAAAAAGTAATTAGCTGTGCCAGGCTCCAATAAGTGCTACGCATTGAAAAGGCTGATGTGATTTATTTATCCTAGAACTCCAGGCATACAGAGAAAAACAGCGTTTTAACTTTTGTTAAACTCTTGTTCAACTATAATCCCTAAGTTAAAAACATGAAAAGTCAGCTGCTGACAATGAAAACAGCTCTTGGGAAACATGTCTGCGTATGTTGTAATATCCTGAAAAACTCCATGAAAGCTGAAAAGTAGGAGTGCTTCGCCTTCATCTTTTAAGCTGGTCGAGTCAAGACAGAACTGAAATTGAAAACCTGCAAATCTATAACAAATATCTCTGCTTCAGAAATCAGTCAAAAAAACCTCCATGGTAGGACAACTCTCTTTCCTTTATTCTCTTATTCCTACACACAAACTTTTTCCCCACTAAGATGTAAATAAAGTCATATTTTATACGTACAGTCTGGCACTGAATGTAATTAAAACATTTTCACTTTAAAAAAGTCCAAAATGTTCTGATAGAAAACCGTGAAACCAGCTTTCTGCATGAGGACTGCCATCTAGTGGCACCACAGGAGACAATCACATGACTCTGTCTTACCTCAGAGTGTGGCCTGTGGATGCAAATGTTTGCTCATTTGCCCATAGGTAAGCTATACTGTGGTGAGCTCTTCTGCAAACACACCAGCTCCGGGGTTACATAATGCATCCAGTCAGTCTGCTGGAGGTTACCGGATCATTCCTCTCAGTTTTTGACCTGAGGAAATCACTCAGGGTTCTTGAGTTTTTCCAGACCGGCAGCCTTGGCCTCGTGCTGCAGCTGTCTCTGTTTCTTAAGATGGCGATAAGCCTCCACTGCTCGCTGCCTCTCCTCCTCCATGATTCGCTGACGGGCCATGGAGGGCTTGGCTGTGGAGATCGGGCTGTGGCCCAAGAGGGAGTTCAGGAGCAGCGTTTTTGATGCCTGGAAGCAGAGCAGAGAGAAAGTGAACCTGCTGTTCGGTCAACTCAGATCACAAACATAAAGAGGTGCACAGAAGAGTACCTGAGTCTTGACTGGAGCTTTCTTGGGTTTGGTGCTCAAAGATGGCGGGGCCATTGCGACCTCTCCAAAAGGAACATCATCTATAAAACAAACCAATCACATCAGTTTGATTATTTAGCCTTATTATGTTCACCAGATAGGCATATATCATAACTCTCTATCAGTACAAGAACAGTCAGTGTCCAGCCTTCCTCAAAATTATATTAAATTCACCTAAAACAATTACAAATGCATGTTGTACTCAATCAAAGAGGATGGATACTCGCTTATATTTCTTTTAATGCGGGATAACTTATACTCCTTACCGACGAACATCTCTTTTTCCATGATGTCCTCCTGTCTGTCCAACTTCTTCAGCTGTAGCTTCTGTATTCTGACTTTATCATACCTGCAGCAGGAGAGGAATAAAGGTTGAATAAACTGAGTTCATAAAGAGATAAATAACATCAGTTTGAAGTGAAACTGCTTTACAGATCTCATAAATACTCACTCCTTCTTCTTCTCAGACTTGCTCTTGTCTGCAGGCTTTTCTTGTTGGTCTACCTCAAGCTCAGGCTTCCTCTCCACTTGGTTCTTGGTGAGGAACAGGACGTGTTTTGTCTCGTTTTCCATCCTCCTCATATAGGCTCCAACAGTCTCCTTCTTCCCCCTCTTGAAATGTGGGACAGGTATGTCTTCAACCTGGGGATCCCCGGCTTTGCCTTTATGGAAAACGGCTTAAGATAAATAAATAGAAGTTAATTTCTTTTCATGTGATTTAACTGTGAATAGATCGGGGATTACAAAGGTGCAGTACTCACCTGTTTGTTGCTTTTTTGCCTTCTTTGGCCCCCTCTTCATTCTGTCCTTGCTCTTCATGATCTCTCGGAGCCTGAATGGGATGTGTTGGAGGTGGTCTTCTTTGGCTTTGCTAGGGTTCCCATCTCGTTTGAGCTTCTTATCTCTGGGGTTTAAAAACAGATATCATGGAAATGTTAAAGGGATAATCCGGCATAAAATTAAGTTAGGGTCAAACACACCGTAACACTGAGTTAGACAACCCCTCGAGAGATTAATCTTGACAACCAAGGCATAAGCAAACTAAGTGGCCAGCAGAGGGCCGCCAAGAGCAATTTAAAAAAAATATATATATTTTTTTGCATCTATGAGTGATGCTTTCTGTATGATCAAATATATATTATTGTAAAAATAAAATAAAATAAAAATATTTTAGTGCTGCTGCTGATGTACGCCTATGATTCTTAATGCCGATATGTCAAAGCTTCGCTACCGCTATGTGCCTTCTGCTGTGCAATGTGCACTGAGCATCCTTAATGTGTTACATTTTGAGATTAAAAACCATATGTGGTACCCTGAACATCATTCATTGGTATTGTATGGTTTCATTGGTATTATTTATGTTGTTACCTAGGCCACCCCCTTAAAAGCGTAAAGACAAGTCAGGCGTATTAAATTTATACTGTAGTAGGTGTGTGAATGATCAACAATCAATATTATTGGCAAAAACAGAGGGCCACAGAATGTAATATTGCTTAGGGCCCCGTTGAGGCTTGGGCTCTAAGACTAAACACGACTCACCTACTCTCTTCAAGCAGCCGCTTGTTTGTACGGAGACCCATGGGCGAGTCCATCGACTACGGCGGGGTGACGCAACTCGAGGAAGAACATTTATGATAATTTCTTCATGGAAATTCAATCAGACCGAGACGCTAAGGCAAAAGAACTACAGCGTCTGCAGCGCGAAATGATTAATACGGTGATTATTACTTCAAGGAAATGATAAAGAAATTATTATAAATGTTCTTCCTTGAGCTGCGTCACCCCGCTGTAATCGATGGACTCGCCCGGGGGTCTCCGGAGAGAGTAGGTGAGTTGTGTTTAGCTAAAGAAATTAAGCAAAGGTAAAAATATGTTTGGTGGCTACTACTATGGCTGGGACCCTATATGTACTGTTGATGAAGTTAGGTGCTGTTCTGAGCATCATTTGTGGTTTTTTGGTTGAGCGCGTGGCTCTGAATTGCTATTCTGTGGTCGTTACTAAAGTTGATTGACCCAAACTTAATTTTACGCTGGAACATACCTTTAACTTTGGTAAACACTTGACTTCAGCGGCTCTGTAAAAATTCGGTTAAGTTGTCTCGTTGGGAGGAATATGTAAACAGAGTGGGTCTCCTTTAGGCTGGTTAGCTTCTGTAGCTAACAAGATACTTAGCAGTGCTCTGTATCACAGCTTCTTCAACTTACCCTGCACGTTGTCCAGTCTTGACTGCTTGTTTTCCCGACTCGTTGGTGTTGTTCTTTTTAACCTTCCCCATCTCACAGCAGTTTATTTCTATTCATAGCAAAATTTCTTCACAAAACAACCCCACATGTGGAGCAGCGTGTTTAGCTTTTCACCTACGAACTTCCGTTCAAAGATAGGGAGAAATTACAGTAAAACAAGCTCTCACTCCGTGGGCTTTTTGGCGTACCAACTTGGATGTCTGCTGTCACTCCGGTATTAACGTCTTCTTATAGTCAGACTCTTGAAAGAAAATGTTAGAGATAAGTGATTCCTCCAGCCTTGAAGAAATTTTACGCTTGTGAAGTCCACACATCGTGAGTGGAAACATGTTAATGCTCTTACTAACCTCGTTTACTTCTCAAGCTGAAATACAAAGTGTCAAATCAAAGCGTTTGAAAAGTAAATTTGAATATGAAGATGATATTTTTCAAAACTTCATATACTTTAAACGCGTTTTTTAATTAACGACATTCATTTCATCAGCTGAAATAATATCACAGTGATAAGCTGTAATTCGCGACGATCTTTGTCGTGATTGTCGTGGATGTAAGAAAACGCCGCTGCTGTTACCATTTGAAACCACTAGATGGCGATAGAATCTCAACAGCGGCAAAACATAGGCTCTGCATTGTGCAGTTGTGTGTATCATCCACATTTGGGATATACTGCTTGAAGTTAATCCAAAATTATTGTAGGTGAAATATTAGTATACCGATAAGTTTAAATTTAACGAATTTTAAGAATTAGACTTGAAGTACAATCTGCTTGTGCAGTCCACAACATTTACAACTGTTTGCAGCACATTAATCATTTTGTTCCTGAGCCCACTATGTGAAAATATAAATACTATCTCATTAAAAAACAGTTGGTTTTAGAATTTGAGACTTTAGTGGGCTATAAATGTACATTCAAACCCTGTTAAAGGTTTGAGATGATTGATTTAGTGGGTAAGTGAGCAGAGATTATAAGTGACTAAACAAGAGGGAAGTGTAAATTAATGAAATAAACAACATTGAATAGAGAGTGTGTCAAAACACATGTCCTTTAAGTGTGAATAGACTAGATTTTAAACTCTAATTATCCCCTGAATGAGGTGTGTGTGTGTGTTTCTTTTTTAATAGGAGGTTTGGGATTACAACCAGACATAATCTGAGAGACTGCTGATTGAAGGTTAAAGACTTATTTCAGCAACAGGGAACAGTATATACAGCTAGTACACTGCAAATCACAACTGTAAGAATACCATAGGAGTGCCACATGGATCTATACCGGGACCTTAACTCTTTTTTTTTTTACTGTCAAATAAAAGAGTGGGCGATTTCATCTTTTGTTTGCATGTTATTTTGTGTTTAATTGGAGGAGATGAAGAGATCATGGGACCTACAATGATGATAGCATTATGCAATTATCTCTGGCTCAGCAACTAACACGTCCTAATTTTACTCCAAAACCAAAGCAACTGTTTCCAGTGACTGTCATCTGCACTGGTCACTCTCCGCTGCACAGACCTGATATCCTGATATCACCTAAACTGCCTGTCAGCTGTTACCTAAATACATCCACTGTTCCATATACTGTGAGACAGACAGTGAGTGTCATGGAGTTTATTTACTGGTCGCGTCATAATCTTCTCAGTGTGAGGTGTATAAGAACGCTTCACAAAACACAACTCATCATGCAACGGCAGACCGCGGTCCATACAGCAAGACAGCAGAGCTTCACATGAGGTGAGTAGATCTACATTAATAATGTAGATGTTTTCATTATAACTTAGTGCACATGAGATTTTTGAGATTGTTATCGATTACATTACATAAAATTGCCATCTTTATGAACTGTATCTGTAAATTCCTCTACTCCGAGTGCTTCCTCATTTTTATTTTAACATTGAATATATTTACATTTTACTTATAACATGCTCAAAAACTATTAAGTAACATCTTGTTTTACTTCCGCCAAAGTGTTATCATCAGCTACTCTCTCTAGATTTAACTTCGACTCGTGTTTTTACTTTCTCGTATCATCACTTTGGTTGACTTTGGTAAATTCAGGACGGTCCTTTGAGTGTCAGAGTGACTCATGAGGTATTGTCAGGTTAGGACCTCAATCTAATTCAGCATGTCCTCTCAGTAATCTGATTATGAAGGTGCTGTGAAAGCATTATAAAGGGATTAGAGGAGCTTTCATTGTCTGTATACAAGTTTGTTTTTTCTGCAGATAATAGTGTTTAGAAGTGTTTGTAATTATAGCAGGATCATTCAGTCTGCATCAGTTTGGTAAGACTGCATTTAAGCACAGCAATAGAAACAAAAGCAGATTCTTGACTTGAGTGAAATGCATTTAAATTTGGGGAAGATTCACTCAATTTTTACATTTAACTCTGACTGTTTGATTGTAGTTCAAACTACCGAAGCATGAATGTGAATGTGGCCAAACCTGAAGTAAAGACTGGCAGCAAAGCCCCCCCAAGAGTCACCGGCCCAGGATCAGGCCCACCCAAGTTCAAACAGAGAAGCAGCCGCACCTTCAAGAGCAAACCTCCCAAGAGAGGAGTGATCGGGTAAGTTTAAGTAAATACAAACCAAGACAGAAAGTCTTCAAGAGATGCAGCTTGTGATTTTGTTTTTGTCACAGATTTGGAGAGGACATCCCGGGGATGGAGGGCCTTGGTATAGGTAAACATGGATACAGCTGCACCACAAATAATTTTAAAAAATAAACAATTTCCTTTTTGCTTCTCACTTTTCCTTCTCTCTTTTTCTCTGTAGATATTACCGTAATCTGCCCGTGGGAAGCTTACAGCCATTTAGAGCTCCATGAGCTGGCTCAGTACGGCATCATCTAAGAAGTTGTTTGTATAAACTAAAAGGAATTAATGAGGCAAACTTGATCACATAGATTGGCCTCTTTGATTTATTATCCACAAACTCAAGAAGCAGCAGCAAGTCAAAATATGTGTGTATACAAAGACTGTTATTTTGTACAATCAATCCATTTTCATACGACTCTTAATATACCTTTCAACTGATGCTCAGTTTGCTCTTTGTTAGATTATTTTGTTACTGACTTCAAGACAGAATCTCTGAATAAAACCTGCAATTTTCCAAACACTGTAAAACTTACGTGTGATTTTTGTGTTTGAAATGTTGCATAATCACAACGAGGAGATAGTTTTATTTGTCCCTTTTTAAAAGAAAAAAGAGGGTTAGTAGAAAAAGTTAACACAAAATGATCAAAACAATTGATATTGAAAGTATATTCTGAAATAGTGGAAATAGTTGCTGTGGTTAATTTGAAGGTACAGCTTGCTTTTTTTATGTTTCCTTATTATTTGTAGGTTAAATTATGTCCCAAAGAAGTCAAGGTTTTCATGATAGGTCATGTAGATTTTGCATCTCAAAGTTCAGGCTATTCTCACAGAATTTCCTCTTGAATCTCAACATGAATTTTTGCAAGCGGAAAACTAATATTGTGATTTTTCATCATGATATTTATTTCAAAATATGCCTCCCAAAAATAGCTGAAGTGTATCTGTTGTGTTGCTCTTTCAATTCCAAACTGGAAAAAACAGTCTGTTGTAATGTTTTTGTACAGCAATGTTAGTAACCGTTAACCCATGTTGCTGTGGAGTTTATGCCAGTAAATGCTGTCTAGAAGTCGAGTGGTGATGAACAGAGTCATAATTTGGATCCCCAGTACGATGATCGCAGCAGTCCCTATCAGGCCCATGTGCAGCTCGATCCAGCGTGAGATTCCCCCCAGACAGCCGCCCAGGAAGATAACGCTCTGAGCGGTAAACTCGTCCAGCAGCTGGGCTCCGACGCCACACTGAGTGTTCCACACGGTGCCGTTCTCTAGAGGGTCCACACAGCATGTAGCGGGGACGCCACAGGCCAGAATTCCTGGAGCTGAGCAGTTGTAATATCTGAAAGGAGAAGAAGAATCTCAGCCGCACATCGTGTCCTCATATCTGTATGTTTTAGAGGTAAATCAAATTCTACTTACATGTTGATCTCCCAGTCACGATAGTCATCTGCTCCACAGCACTGCAGATTCGACTGGATCTCGTCCATGATGAACCTCAAATCTAGATCATCCTGATAGCGCATCATTGCTGTTGTCATCCCAGACTGCAGGTAGTTTCCGATCTGATCTTGCAGACTGTAGGCAACAATGGCGGCCAGCACCTGGGCTGTAATAAGCACCAAAACTGCAGCAGAGAAAATCCTCAGTAAGGTGCAGTTCTCTCTTATTGCTCCCACACAGCCTGTCAGGCAGAGCAGAGCCAACAGAAGGCCCATCGCCACAGTGATCAGCATCGGATCACTGCCGATACTTCCGATCTTCTCCTGAGCGAACGACTCTTTGCTGACGAGGCCCCACATCCCCACACCGAGAACCAGCAGGCCCATGGCGGTGAACAAAAGATTACACAGGAAGAGGGCATATTTGAGGAAATAGTCAATGAATGTATAACCGTAGCGGGGTCGGACAAATGCAAACCCGGGTTTGTTGGGGTCCTGTCCACAGCTTTGCTGAGATTCAACAGCTGTGCTGCCAAGGTCCCCAGAATCCTCTATGTCAGAGCCTGCCTTTGGACACACAAGATTACATCTAAGTATCACGTTTCTATGAATTAATGAAACTAAAGAAACAACAACAAAAAACCTCCTTACCTTTGGTAGCAGCGGACTAGCCTCAGTCGGAGTGGTGTCCTTCTTTGACCACGGCATGGGAATCCTTTTCATCACCAAATACTTTTTCATGTTGTCAACCTGTGGGAGAGGATTCTCCCTCTGCTCCTAAACGGTCAGAATGATGCAAATTAAAGCGTAACATAGGGCGAGCATTCACTACAGCGGGAACAGAGGAGCATGTGAGCCGGACTGGAGATACTACGCTGTGTTGAGCCTCTGGCTGCTGGGAGCCGTGGGATTTCTTCATCATGTGAGAGTCACAGTGAGGAGATTACGGTTATCAGAGCATGTAAGAAAGGTCGGATACCCCACAGCGGGGCTGTCTGGAACAAGAAACTTTTGTAATGGACTGAAACAAACCTGAAATGTCTTGGTGTGTGTAATAACTTTTGCTTTAATAGAGAAAGTGTATAATAAAAGCAAATATTCCTTATTCTTACAGCTTGTAAATTAGATAATCCTTTGTGTTTGGTTGAGGCCCCCACATCAGGTCTGGGGATAAATCTGTTAGATCATAGGCTGATGGCCTGAAGGGGGACGCAGAAAGAGCATCAGTCAAAGTAGTGACTCCATGAGGTTGTACAAATAGACAGGACTTCTTTGTGGTTAACGCCAACATGCTAATAGTGGCTAACGCTGGCAGAGGTAGCTCCAGCAGCTTTCGGTCCTCGGCTCAGATGATCATCCACATGTGTGTGCTCCAGTCAAGTTCTTTTCAAATTCAGTGTAAACAGACTTCAGCTGAAGCGAAGGGTTAAACTGACTCTGATGATTACACGTCTGGCCAAGTTTTCATTGAATAACAGTTAAAAGGACGATAAAGTATAATAACTGAAGACAGCTTTCCCTCTGGTCTCCTGTCTCCCATCAAACTCTGATCATCATGTGACTCCGTAAGAAACATGAGAGTCCTTGAGGAGCACCTCCTGTTTGGCATCTGTGCTTAAACATAAGAGCAGATATATTTCAGCTTAACTTTCCTCTTTAAATCGCTCTGATAAAGCCATTATGGAGTGATGTACCGCTAGAAGTCAATAACAAGCAGCACGTGAAAGAGCAAATGTGAGTACAGAAACAGACAGAGAGGCCTGGTTATCTCACTCTCTGGCTCTGCGCTGCTGTCATTCTTTCCTCTGGCTGTGCTGCATCTGAGCTGGAAGAGAGTCTGTTTACTGATTGGTGGTGGACTCCAGATACAGCTATAAGGTCTATACTGTGCCGCTATGGAACTCACTCAAATCAGTGACCTTTCTCTGAACCTGAAGCCAGTTTACACAATAACTTTCATCTGTTGCTATTTTGAAAAAAAATTAGTAGCCAAAATTTCTTGTAGGCAAAATTTCTTGATCCGATTAAAAATTTGAGGGATCGGATAATCTGATTCCACTGTTTATATGGGTGCAAAATCAAATAATCCGATCATGACGCGTGTAAACATGCGCCAATCTTTATTCAGATTAGAAGCATTTGGACATGCGCAGAACTGTCTGATTTCGCTAAAACATCAGCAGAAGAAGTTTTATTTACATAACAATCGGCATAACCCACCCCTCTTGATCGGAATACAATTTCTTTCCGATTGAGCCGAATTGGAGCAGAATCTTCTGATCGACATGTTTACATGACGCATTTTTATTCCGATCGGGCATTTATTCAGATTATTTGTGCCCATGTAAACACAGCTAGTGTTGTAGTTGGGTTGGTCTGAAACTGGCCTCAGCTTTCTGCACATGCTTGCAGACACGCTTCTGTCAAATGTTTGATTCTTACCTGGTGCTTGTAAACTGGGAATATCCCACCTGGAAATGGTAAGAGCTTACTGACTGAATGCTGTGGCTGCACCTGTGTTAAAAACTGGACGGGCATATCTGCTTTTGAGGGTCACATTTAACTGTAACAACAATATAAATTTTATCTAATAGTAAAGCTAAAATTAAAGCAGAATTTTACATTCTTAATGGAAACCATGGATGCCATCTCCTCTGCTCTTGCATTGTACTGTGAGTGAAAATAGGAGAATTTTTCCTTTATCGCTTCTTATGGTTTTGCATTTAAACTCTGTTTAAGTTCCACATGCATGACTTTTACAGGAGTATTTAACAGTCATGTGTTATATAATATCCCTCTTCCTGCACATGAGGCACATACCTTATTTTACTGCTCTGCTGCCTCTATACATTTTCACAATGATTCAGTAGAGCCTGACCAACAACACTAAAGCACCAAATCAAAGGAATAGTTCTTAATTATCAGCTTTGAATCAAACTGAGTCACTGGCAGGCCAAAGTTACCTCCAAAACCCCTCTGTTTCCTTGTCTATAAATCTCTTGGTACTTAGTATAATTTATTTCCCATCTGATTCTATGTAGCTGTCAGCAGTGAGGATGTATGGCACAGATGGCAGGATCTTCATCATGCAGTGCAGCGTGTTGTCTCTCTGAGTTTAAAGTTGGTGCAGATGGCATGGATCGCAGCCGCAGCAGATTTCTCTTTTTCTTTTTTGTTTTTAGCGGTGATGAAAACCTCATGGGATATTTCTGGCCTGTCTGCGGACATCAGAACTGCAGAATTGGTCATTTTTCAAATGGAAGAAGCGAGGTTTAATCTGGGATTGATCAAACTTTGAATTTCCAACGACAATGACAAAAATGTGCTTTGGTAAATTTCCTTCTGCCCAAATTGCGAATGAGGACATCTGAAATTCGAGGCAGCATGTTTCATCATCCTCCACAAGCACTTGACTTATAAATCCTGTGAATTATGAATAGTTTTGGTTTATCAAAGGTGGAGTGAAGTCATAATGAAGTAAATCAGAAAGGAACATCTTATTTGAGTTTGGGATGTCAGCAGCTTATAAATGAGGAAATCTCTTGGGAGCTGCATATTTTCCTGTCGCCATGTAACGGCTGTTTTTAATCCAAATTTGAAGGAAGATTGGTTGATTTCTAAAACTAACACCATGTGATTTAATACCCCTCTATTTTGCAGCTCCAGGAAACCTGTATGTCCCTCCAAGTGTCGGTCATTTGCGCCAGTTAAAGGGACCATTTCTGGACTGGTCCATCGCAGGCCAGATGCAGAGCAGATTGTATTACAGTAGGCAGTAAGAATGCAACGCTGCAGCCATACGGCTACATCAAACACCTCCTCTGGATTACGGCCCATGGGGGTGTGCGGCCAACCTACACCACTCACAGCAGCTAGATAGGGGGATTAGCAGGACCTCCCATTCAGGCTCTTTGGGTTATTTATCATTATGGGAGTCGCAGCAGTCTTGGAGATGAGACTGAAGTAAGAGGCGTGGGTGTGCATGTGTTTTTAGGAACACTGACTTGTGTTTGTGCCATGATATGCGACCCTGCAGGCAGCAAGTGTGTACAGATGCTGCGAAGGAAGGGAGGGAGTGTGACACGGGCCTGCATCACTGAAGTGGGTGGGAGCAGGTGGGGGAAGAAAAAAAAAAACACACAGAAACCGTTTATAAGAGAGTTCTGCCAGGGTTATATTTTCATATGTGTGACTGCTGACTGATCGAACTGCTGAGCGTGTTCACTTGACGGGAAGAGCCCTGGCACGACTTCACAGACAGGTACAGTAACAAGCCAATGATGAATTACTAAGAGGGATTAGATTTCTTGTTTTAAACCTAGAAAACAATAAATCATATGAACTCGAGCGGAGTAGATCAGAGTTATGAGGCGTGTGATGTTATTTGAAAGAAGCTGTTGGGATTGTTGCTGTTGCAGTAATACTGAGGGCCATTTGATCTTTTAGTTTTAAACCCCAATCCACAAATATGATGGTAAATTATGTATTTAATTTGTACATGTGGATTTATGTTTTTCTGTTAAATATAAAGTTTATAATGTTTGTGTGAATTTATTTTGCTTGGGGTTGACAGATTTTCCGATCCAATCAGATCCAATCCTAATTATTCTAATCAAATACAAACTAATCCAAAACAATCCAATGTAATCCAAACCAATCCAATGACATCCAAACTAATCTAATGTAATCCAATCCAATCAGTCAAATCCAAATCATTCTTATTGGATATGAACAAATCCAGTCCAAACCATTTTAATCCAGTACAAACTAACCAAAACAATCTAATCTGATCTAATATAATCTAATCTGATCCCATCAAAATTAAACAGACCAATCCAAATTTATCCATTCCAATTTAATCTAATCCAGTATAAAGTATAATTGCTTATAATTTTATTTAGATAAGAATGTCACCCACAGTTTAAAGCTCCTGTGTGGTAGACATGTTGAGATGATTTTGGCGCCCCCCTGTGGACAAAGTTGTCCTGTCTTCACATGTGTTTCACTCTTATCCAACCCCCCGCCAGTGGTTTCAGACAGAAATAACTGCATAGAAGTTCTCACTTGTTCCTGTTTGTGGTCTTGTTTGCATTTTTAGGTCCTTAAGAGTCATTAATATTAATTTCAGTCTATTTAACAGCCGTTTAAAAACTCCTCAGAGGAGCTTTAATTCAAATCTGGTGGTGAATTCAAACCAAATATCACATCTACTTAAACACAGACAAGAAATGGTGATGTGTCAGTCCTCGCCCTCGAGCTGTGAGCCACACACATAAAAAATTTGGAAGTTTCATTATGTAAAGTCTCTTTTAATCACTTTCTTTGTAAAAGCAGCTTCCAAATAAGACTAAAGATACAGACATTTGTGACAAAAATCTGCGTTTCAAGGATTCTTTAAGTATATACAGCCAAGTATTCTCATCTCGTGAAGGGGGGCCTTGCAGAAAAAAATCCTGCAAACAATAAAACCTCAATAATCTTATTTCAAGATATGGACTTTCGTTTATCGTAATTAGTTAAAGATTGCTTCCGATAAGTTTTCATTAGAAGTTTCTTGATTTGTTTGTATCTCAAGAAACTTATTAAGATCAGTTTCCTGGAAGCAAAGGCAGCTGCTTTTGCTCAGGACAGTCAGCCAAGTCCTTATTTCACGCTTGTAATGTCGTAATCGAAGATTTAAATCAAGACTTGTAATGCCAGGGGGGATTACGTTTGCTTTAAGGTGTGTTTTGTGAGGCATTTTCAGTGTCCTTGAGTGTTTTTAACTGTTTTTACTGTGTGATAATTGGTGTTTTGTGTTGTCAATGTGTTTTTAATAATGCTATTTCTCTGTGCAGCAGAACTTTGTTTGTTTTATGAGCTGTAAACCTAGTGGATTAGATATATTTTAGCTTTTGAGGAGACTAATCTACTTGTTTGGATTAATTTTTTGTGCAGTTTTAGTCATCCTGGCCCCTGTATCTTATATTTCTGTGATTTTCAGACTAAGAAGATGGTGATGAAGACAATTTTTCTCCTGCTCTGCATGATTTTAACATGTGGAGCTCAGAAATGGAAGCAGGAAGCATCACGTTGGGACCCTAAAGGTCAGAAATGATGTTGTCATACTTAACTTTTTTTTGTTTTTTTTCTCCATCTGTGCCTCATTAACTTACATGTCAACTTTAACGTCTGATTTCAGGAGAAAACAGCAACAGCAAAACCTGCGCTAACATGACCCAAGTCCTGGACAACTGGAAATTCGCCATCATAACCCAAGTGAAAGATCTGCTGATAAATGACCACGCCTCCGTGCTACCTGAATACAACAGGTGTGTTCCTCCTGCCTCTGATGGAAGTGTAAAAGCCAAAATGAGGCAAAAAAGTGCACAGAAAGTGTGTCTTATGCAAGAGAGAGGTGAAAAGTGTGCGAACAACAAGCGCTGGTGATCTCAGTGAACATTTTATTGTTCCTCGTGGTCAGACGCAATGAGGCATTATGTAAGCGCTGTTCCCTGCACGTGACCGCTGACCTGTCAGAGCCAGTAATGTGATCCACGATTGCTCTGGTCCACACAAGGCCGAATCAGTTTAGTAAATGACCTCACCGAGGAGACAGGGCCAGTAAATTACTGGAAATGTTGCAGCCTTGTGTTCTGCTGAAGCCTTTCAGCTCTTTTGCTGAGTAACTTCCTCATGTTTTGGCTCGCTTTAGGTGTCTTTGCTGAGATTTGCGCCAAAATTCTGCTTCTTTTTAAAACTTAGGGACTTCTTTTCTTTCTGCCTGTCGTCCTGATGTTTCCTGCAGATGATACTCCTCCTGTTCCTCCTTAACAGCATGGCGTGACTTTCCTGTTGCCAGTTCTGCTTGGTTCTCCTCATGTTTTGCCAGTAAACAATGTCCTGATTCAATGTGAGCTTCTGGGACATGGTAGTGCCAAAGCTTTTGGACAGGTCGTCCAAACATTCAAGGTGATTTACTCATCTGCTCTTGTGTCTAGGATCCAGCCCCTCTCAAATGCTTTAGGAGACCTCTACAAGCAGTTTAACGCTCTGAAGGATGAGCTCGCCACGCTCTCGGCGAAGTTTGACAGCGTGGAGGCTTTTGTGGACGATTTGAATAGCGGCAGATTCGCTGTGCCCCAGCGGCCCGTGCAGAGGCTCCCCCCAAGTGTCGGACTCAGGTCTCCACTGCGAGCACAGATGAGGGCTCCTGTGAGGGGAGTGATCAGAGGGCCAACACTGATCAGAGCGAGGAGGAGGGGGCCACACACACCTTAGACCTCCTCATCAGAAAGTGTTGATCTTGTACTGATGCTGGTGTATCAAAAGGAGATTTGTTTGTATATTTTAAAGGAAATATTTATACCACTCATGCATGGTGCATGAATATGACAACTTTGGAATCGTGTATATTATCTAATTCTTTTTATACAGCTAATTCTTACCACAAGGTGGCAGCATTGAATCAATTATCTGAGTTATCTTGTGCTTTTGTATAACAGCGAGACATAGCAGGACTGGAGTTGTGTGATAACACAGTATAAAACTTTTCATCATTGTACAAATGTCCATTTTTGTCCATATCTTTTTAAAGCTTCTTTTTTTAAATATAGTTTTATTTATTCCACAACGAGTCAGACGATTCATCTTAAAAAACAACAATACATAAGTGATTTTCTTTTCCCCCTCAAACCCCCAACCCGCTCCTCCACCCCACCCCCCCATAAAAAAAAAAATCTCAACAAATACAGACCACAAAAAAGGAAAGGAAAAAAAAAGGAGGCAAACTGCGCAGAAAATAAATAATGATGATAAAGTGTAGTTTTTAAAACTTCTGTGAGGCGTTTTTAGATAATTTATGCATCCTCTTTTACCCCGGACATGTCCTCTTTTTTGGGGGGCTGTCCAGGTTTGTCCGTCTTTGTCCGGGGAAGTTTAGAATATGGTTTTTGGGGAGTCAGAGTATGGTTTGGTGTGAACGCTCCCTCGCTCACTCCTCCTGCTGGTGACACTTAAGAACAAAACGCTCTTGATGAGTTTGATTCTTTGTTTAAAAATTTTTTACCATCAAAAACTTAGATAAATTTTTGAGTAATTCACTCACATAGCTTCAAAATTGAGTACAAAAACCTCTATGTTGCTAGTTTGTCCATTCAGTGTTGCTGTAGAGACACTGGGGTGCAAGATGGCGGCCTCTGTGGAAGGGGAAATACTCCTGTCCTCATGCTGTATTGGCTCCATCAGACATAGAGCGGCCTCTTGACCAGACCAGTCTCAGCACACACACGGTTAGGTAAAATACACAAAAGGGAACACTAGAGGGCAGCACTAAATAATAATTCATCAGACAATCACACAGTCACACAGAGGTTTAGTAAGACTTTCCGTAAGCTGGCGTGAGTTCTCGGTTTTCAGAGGACTCACTCTGTCCTCACGTCCCCAGGAAGCACCTGCAGGCTTCTTCCCTTTCTGTAGCACCATGTAAATCAAGAGGTTAAGTATCAGTTCTCTGTACAGTTGTGCTTGACTGGAAACACACTCACATTACCACAAATATGTGTGCCAGAGTTTTAATTTGAGTTGCTTTTTTTTAAACTGGATTATGTAAAGGATATATGATTCAGAATCCATTTTAAGAAGATATTGAATGAATAAAGTAAAATGTTTTTAAGCATGGCAGGATCCCCCCTCATTTAAGATGACGTTTAAGGTTTTAAAGGGAGGTAAACAAATGATTCAAATCTGCAGATGAAGGTGAAGCTCCTCCTCCTCTCAGTCTCTCTCAGTCTCCGTGTTGTATTAAATTGCTCCTCCAGCACCTCCTCTTCTTATCCTCCAAAGCCGTCAATAAGCAGTCAGCTCACTTTCCAAGTTGTAAGGACGTTTACAGCACACACTGACAACATGCTGGGGAGCCTCTGCACTCTCATCACTGCTCTAACATGTAAGGAGGCTGACTTCCTGCAGCTTTCAGCTCATGTTGGATTCATCAGTCTGTGTGTTTCTCTTGACTCCATGTCATCTTGTTGTTTCCAGGTGTGAGTGCTGTTACCGTGGTGACACAGAAGCCTCCTATTGTGACTGTGAGGAGAGGAGAGACAGTCAACATGGACTGTAACCTGGGGACTGTGACAAATCAACCAGCTTACTGGTACAAACAGATTCCTGGAGGAGTTCCTCAGCATGTTTTGAGGATGTATCACGGCTGGAGCTCTCCCAGCTATGGCTCTGGTTTCTCCTCTCCTAAATTCACCTCCACTCATCAGTCAAAATCAGATTATCGTTTGACCATCAGCTCTGTGGAGGAGGGAGACTCTGCAGTTTATTACTGTAAAACATGGGACACCTCTGGCACTAAGGCCGTATCACAGTGATTTACACCATGACAAAAACCTCCTCACTCTCACTTCTGCTTTTGGAGTCTCTGACATATCTACTAAAGCCCTCTGCAGCTTCCTAACACAAGATAAAAAAATAACTACCTTCCTTCTTCGCACTGTACTTTGGATTAAGATAAAAAAATCTTTTTTTCCCCTCTACATTAATTTCACACTCATCCACATTGTGACTTTCTGCTGATTTAATTCTCATATTTGAGGCTTTAAGTTTCTGATCAGCTCATAAAACAGAATCAACTCTGTACAGTCAGTTTAATGAAACAGTATTACATTGAGATTATTTCAGACTCTTCAGTCAAAAGTTTGTTAGAAATAAATGAACAAACAGAAGAAGTTTGAAAAGTTCAGCTGAAACAATAAAGAGTTAAACTTAGAGGACTAACAGCTTTTTGTCTTCTTGACTGTGACCTTTGACCTCTCCTTAAAAAACAAAACAAAACAAAACAAAACAAAACAAAACAAAACAAAACAAAACAAAACAAAACAAAACAAAGCTCACCTATGAAATTTATGACATCAGTTGAGTTGTTTTCCATCCAGACATTGAATATTAACACTTTCACATCGTTAATAATCGAACAAACTGTCAGTGTAATGATGCCAATTTTTTTTACAATGTCATTTATTTGTTCAACCCTTTTTTCATCATTAAGAGAGGGGCCACAAATCTCACTCCTCCTCCTCCTCCTCAGGGTCTTTATAAGCTTCAGTCTCTCTCCTCCTCCTCACACTCCAACCCTGCTCACCTCTCAGCTGGACAGTAAGGGACGTTTACAGCACACACTGACAACATGCTGGGGAGCCTCTGCACTCTCATCACTGCTCTAACATGTAAGGAGGCTGACTTCCTGCAGCTTTCAGCTCATGTTGGATTCATCAGTCTGTGTGTTTCTCTTGACTACATGTCATTTTGTTGTTTCCAGGTGTGAGTGCTGTTACCGTGGTGACACAGAAGCCTCCTATTGTAGCTGTGAGGAGAGGAGAGACAGCCAACATGGACTGTAACCTGGGGACTGTGACAAATAGTCATGTCCGCTGGTACAAACAGATTCCTGGAGGAGTTCCTCAGTATGTTATGAGTTGGTATCACGGCTGGAGCTCTCCAAATTATGGCTCTGGTTTCTCCTCTCCTAAATTCACCTCCACTCATCAGTCAAAATCAGATTATCGTTTGATCATCAGCTCTGTGGAGGAGGGAGACTCTGCAGTTTATTACTGTCAAACATGGGACAGCTCTGTCAGTGAGGCCGTATCACAGTGATTTACACCATGACAAAAACCTCCTCACTCTCACTTCTGCTTTTTGAGCGCCTCACACAACGACTCACACTCTCTGTAGCTACACTGCCTTCAGACATCATCTTGTTTTCCCTTAAAATTCTCATTTTCATTCAAATTAATCTTTAGCACCAAAGTTTAAAAAAAAATTCAAAAATATTCAATGATTGTGTTTTTTAATTTTCCCATTTATAAATATTTTTAGCTCATAAGGAAACATGACAGAATAAAACTTTGTAGTGATTTTGTCTTTAAAATCATGAAGTTCATCAACACAGAAACTTTAGCAGCTCTTCGTTCAGTTAAATGTCCCTCTGTTTGATCTATCCAGCTGTGTTTTTCCAACATCTAAACAATAGATTTTCATTAAATATATATATATATATATTTGAATGTGTATCTACGGCACCAAAACAACATATACAGGTGCATCTCAATAAATTAGAATATCGTGGAAAAGTTCATTTGTTTCAACAGTTCAATTCAAAAAGTGAAACTAATAACCTGATATAGATCCATGGCACACAGACTGAAGTATTTCATATTTTCTTTTTCCCTTAACTGTAATGATTGTGGCTTATATTTAATGAAAACCCAAATCCAGTTTCTCAAAAAATTTGAATATTGTGATAAAGTTGACTATTTTAACCTCATAATGTCACACTCTAATCAGCTAATTAACTCCAAACACCTGCAAAGGTTTCCTGAGCCCTTAAATAGTCTCTCAGTCTGGTTCAGTAGCTCCACTATCATGGGGAAGACTGCTGACCTTACAGTTGTCCAGAAGACAATCATTGACACCCTTCACAAGGAGGGTAAGCCACAAAAGTTCATTGCAGAAGAAGCTGGCTGTTCACAGAGTGCTGTATCCAAGAATATTAACAGAAAGTCGAGTGGAAGGAAAAAGTGTGGTAGAAAGAAATGCACAAACAACAGGGTTGATCGCAGCCTTGAGAGGTTTGTCAAGCAAAATCGATTCAAGAACTTGTGTGAAGTTAAGAGAATAACACCATGGAATATTTCAGTTTGTGTGTCATTGTTCAATATCAGGTTATGAGATTCACATTTTGAACTGAACTGTTGAAATTAATGAACATTTCCATGATATAATAAAATCAAAGTGCTGAGTGTGAAAACTCCTCCTCCTCCTCCTCCTCCTCCTCCTCAGGGTCTTTATAAGCTTCAGTCTCTCTCCTCCTCCTCACACTCCAACCCTGCTCACCTCTCAGCTGGACAGTAAGGGACGTTTACAGCACACACTGACAACATGCTGGGGAGCCTCTGCACTCTCATCACTGCTCTAACATGTAAGAGATTCTTCTCAGTCCTTTACCACACCATCATTTCACACACACACCTTTGACTCTTGTCTTTTTCTCTCTGTGTTTTTTTTACAGATGTTGATGCAGTGATCGTTCTGACCCAGACTCCTGCTCTCCTCACAGTTTCTCCAGGACAAGAGGCTGTTCTCAGATGTAACATTCAGAGATATGATGGAAATTGGGTCTTCTGGTACAAACAGGTTCCTGGTGAAGCTCCTCAGTATGTGCTAGGATTTTACCATGAGGATGGTGATCTCGACTTTGGATCCGGATTCTCCTCAGACAGATTCAACTCTAAATCCACATCAGACATAGATTATCAGTTCATCATAAAGAGAGCAGAGGCAGGAGACTCTGCTGTTTATTACTGTCAGACATGGGATGACTCTGCTTCTGCAGCTGTATCACAGTGATTTACACCATGACAAAAACCTCCTCACTGACACTTCTGCTTTTTGAGCGCCTCACACAACGACTCACACTCTCTGTAGCTACACTGCCTTCAGACATCATCTTGTTTTCCCTTAAAATTCTCATTTTCATTCAAATTAATCTTTAGCACCAAAGTTTTTTAAAAAATTCAAAAATATTCAATGATTGTGTTTTTTAATTTTTCCATTTATAAATATTTTTAGCTCATAAGGAAACATGACAGAATAAAACTTTGTAGTGTTTTTGTCTTTAAAATCATGAAGTTCATCAACACAGAAACTTCAGCAGCTCTTCGTTCAGTTAAATGTCCCTCTGTTTGATCTATCCAGCTGTGTTTTTCCTAAATCTAGACAATAGATTTCCAATAAATATATATATTTTTTGAATGTTTGTCTACGGCACCAAAACAACATATACAGGTGCATCTCAATAAATTAGAATATCATGGAAAAGTTCATTTATTTCAACAGTTCAATTCAAAAAGTGAAACTAATAACCTGATATAGATCCATGGCACAAAGACTGAACTATTCCATGTTTTCTCTTTCTTATAATTGTAATGATTGTGGCTTATATTTAATGAAAATGCCAAATTCAGAATACTGTGATAAAGTTGACTATTTTAACCTCATCATGTCACACTCTAATCAGCTAATTAACTCCAAACACCTGCAAAGGTTTCCTGAGCCCTTAAATAGTCTCTCAGTCTGGTTCAGTAGCTCCACTATCATGGGGAAGACTGCTGACCTTACAGTTGTCCAGAAGACAATCATTGACACCCTTCACAAGGAGGGTAAGCCACAAAAGTTCATTGCAAAAGAAGCTGGCTGTTCACAGAGTGCTGTATCCAAGAATATTAACAGAAAGTTGAGTGGAAGGAAAAAGTGTGGTAGAAAGAAATGCACAAGCAACAGGGTTGATCGCAGCCTTGAGAGGTTTGTCAAGCAAAATCGATTCAAGAACTTGTGTGAAGTTAACAGAATAACACCATGGAATATTTCAGTTTGTGTGTCATTGTTCAATATCAGGTTATGAGATTCACATTTTGAACTGAACTGTTGAAATTAATGAACTTTTCCATGATATAATAAAATCAAAGTGCTGAGTGTGAAAACTCCTCCTCCTCCTCCTCCTCCTCAGGGTCTTTATAAGCTTCAGTCTCTCTCCTCCTCCTCACACTCCAACCCTGCTCACCTCTCAGCTGGACAGTAAGGGACGTTTACAGCACACACTGACAACATGCTGGGGAGCCTCTGCACTCTCATCACTGCTCTAACATGTAAGAGATTCTTCTCAGTCCTTTACCACACCATCATTTCACACACACACCTTTGACTCTTGTCTTTTTCTCTGTGTTTTTTTTACAGATGTTGATGCAGTGAAAGTTCTGACCCAGACTCCTGCTGTCCTCACAGTTTCTCCAGGACAAGAGGCTGTTCTCAGATGTAATGTTCAGAAACATGAAAATTATGTCAGCTGGCACAAACAGGTTCCTGGTGAAGCTCCTCAGTATGTTCTGAGATTCTATCATTCTCTGAGTTCACCCGACAACTATGGATCAGGATTCTCCTCAGACAGATTCAACTCTAAAACCACATCAAACATAGATTATCAGTTCATCATAAAGAGAGCAGAGGCAGGAGACACTGCTGTTTATTACTGTCAGACATGGGATAGCTCTGCTTCTGCAGCTGTATCACAGTGATTTACACCATGACAAAAACCTCACTCACAGTCTGACTACAGTGTCTTTAAAATCTGACCACATTAACTCAAGAAAACCAGAAAAACTTCAATCAAAGCAGAAAGATCACTGAATAAACTCTTATAAAATGATGAAATCCTCAGATTAAAGTCCATCTTTGTTTTGATAAAGTGATCAGAGATGAAAGATTGAGACGTTGAGAGTGAAAGTTGGTCTCAACAGGATGTTTCAGTTCCTCTCCCCTCATTAGTGAGAGTCAGGAGGTTTTTGTACGGCCATGTATACAAACTGAATCACTGTGGTATTCGGACAAGGAACCAAGCTGATCGTCTCAGGTAAGTTCTTTAGAAATCATCTTTAAATAGGATTGTTTCTCTGATTCTGACAAAACATGGCACAGTTATCATGTTAATAACTCTTAAATGAACATTTTCAGTAAATAATAGACATAATTTTCTCTGTTTGATGTTTATTCTCTGTTACTTGGCAGCATGTTGGTTCTTCTCAGAGAGTTTGAGGCTGAGACGTTTTTAACTTTAAAGAAAAAGTGAAACACACTGACTTGATATAATTCATTATTGTTTGTATGGGTTAAAATTTCACAATAACATGTTCAATAATATACAAGTATAATCTGATGAAGTTACTGTTGAGCAGTCTGTGAGACTAATAACAGAGATAGAATAAGTTACTGTATTTTTGGATCATATCAAATTTGCTGAATTGAAGTTGCTTTTTATGGTTTCATGTAAATCTGATTCAGTTTTAGAGTCTTTGTCTTTTATTTTGTGAGTTTGATCGGCTGTAAAAGCAGATGACGACTTATAAATGGTTTATGATTTCAAGAGCTCTGAACTTGGAAAATTACAGACTGAGTCTTTAAAAAGTTAAACTGGTGTAATTTTAGTTTCTACAGGCTGATGTAACATGTTTTCACTTTTTAAAAGGATGTAGTCAGACCGGGTTTATTGTGAACACTGCACATTGATCCCTCTTTTTATTATTGACCTAATCTGTGACTGTCGTGTGTGTTTGTGTGTTTCAGGCTCCAGCCTCTCTCCTCCCGTCCTCACAGTCTTCCCTCCGTCCCGTGCTGAGCTCCAGTCCAACAAAGCCTCTCTGCTCTGTCTGTCCAGTCAGTCTGTGCCTTTTGCAGATGTGAGCTGGTTGGCTGCTGGGAGTCCAGTGAGCAGTGGGGTCTCCACCAGCACGGCTGTTCGGAAAGCGGACCAGACTTTCCACATCAGCAGCTCTCTGTCCATCACCCCCTCTGAGTGGACCACGGGCAAAGTCTTCACGTGTAAAGTGTCTCTGGGCTCTCAGACTTCACAGAAAGAGATCAGCAAGTCCAGCTGTCCCTCTGCAGAAGAGTAGAGGAGCACAGAGAGCATTTCCAACCTGCTTCTTGACTCTTTGTGCTCTTTGCTCATTACAAGCTTCACATGCTAGAAAAGATGAGTCTGCATGCTCGGAGCTAATGTTGAGACAGTTAGCTGGAGGAGTCGGATCAGCTTTGCTGCTGCCGCTGCTGCTTTTATCAACAATCCTTCAATAAAACATTTGAAAGCCTGCAAATCAAAAAGTGTCTTTCCCTCTTTTTATTTATTCTCCTCCTTTTGATCATTTTCTTTCATGTCTTTAAATGTTGATTTGAGTGTTTCTTAGAGCCAAAGACTCACAGCTCACAGACATATTTCTCTTCAATAACGTCTTTAGTTTGTATTTTTTTATTCAAATATCAACATTAATTTTAGGTGTTGAACATATGGATTTATATAAAGCCAGTCTTTCTGCTTTTAGTCTGTAGTTATGATGACAGAGAAGTCAAACAAATGAAGAATCAACTGAAACTGAGTTTTCATCCTCCATCAGTGAAGCGTCACCTCTCTGCTCCTCCTCCCAGGATGCACCTGCAGACCTGCTCTCTGTATTTAAAGTAGCATGTAAATGAAGAGGTCAAAGGTCAGCTCTGTGTGTTAGATCATGTGACATCTCTTCAAATACAGTTTTCACTTCCTATGATTGAATTAAGCTTAAATGTGCAGAATCAAAGTTTAAAATGAGGTCTGAAGAAGATTTATCATCAAAACTTTAAACAAGAAGAAGAAAAAGACGATTTAATAATGATCCAGAAAAAACATAAATTTATCTGAATTTAACAGAGGAACAAATCAATGATAACAAAACTGACAAAATTATTTATTTTATTTAAGATAGTTTCATGTTTTGTTTGGATTCAGGACTTCAGCATAAAAAAATCTCTCCACAGAATATTAAACAGAAATAAATGATTCAAAGTCTGAAGATGAAGGTGAAGCTCCTCCTCCTCTCAGTCTCTCTCAGTCTCAGTGTTGTATTAAATTGCTCCTCCAGCACCTCCCCTCCTCATCCTCAGATCTGTCAGCAGTCAGCTCACTTTCCAAGTTGTAAGGACGTTTACAGCACACACTGACAACATGCTGGGGAGCCTCTGCACTCTCATCACTGCTCTAACATGTAAGGAGGCTGACTTCCTGCAGCTTTCAGCTCATGTTGGATTCATCAGTCTGTGTGTTTCTCTTGACTCCATGTCATCTTGTTGTTTCCAGGTGTGAGTGCTGTTACCGTGGTGACACAGAAGCCTCCTGTTGTGACTGTGAGGAGAGGAGAGACAGCCAACATGGACTGTAACCTGGGGACTGTGACAAATAGTCGTGTCCGCTGGTACAAACAGATTCCTGGAGGAGTTCCTCAGTTTGTTATGAGTTGCTATCACAGCTCCAGCTCTCCAAGATATGGCTCTGGTTTCTCCTCTCCTAAATTCACCTCCACTCATCAGTCACAGACAGATTATCGTTTGATCATCAGCTCTGTGGAGGAGGGAGACTCTGCAGTTTATTACTGTCAAACATGGGACAGCTCTGTCAATGAGCACGTATCACAGTGATTTACACCATGACAAAAACCTCCTCACTCTCACTTCTGCTTTTTGAGTCTCTGCCATATCTACTTATGCCCTCTGCAGCTTCTCAACATAAGACTTTAATCTGACTACCTTCTATATTCCTACTGAACCTTTGATTGAAATCCAAAATTCACATTTCTGATCAGCTCATAAAACAGAATCAACTCTGTACAGTCAGTTTAATGAAACAGTATTACATTGAGATTGTTTCAGACTCTTCAGTCAAAAGTTTGTTAGAAATAAATGAACAAACAGAAGAAATTTGAAAAGTTCAGCTGAAACAATAAAGAGTTAAACTTAGAGGACTAACAGCTTTTTGTCTTCTTGACTGTGACCTTTGACCTCTCCTTAAAAAACAAAACAAAACAAAGCTCACCTATGAAATTTTTGACATCAGTTGAGTTGTTTTCCATCCAGACATTGATTCTTTATACTTTCAAAACTTAAATAATAGAATAAATTGGCAGAAGAATGATCCTCATATTTTTAAACAATGTCATTTATTTGTTCAACCCTTTTTTCATCATGAAGAGAAGGGTCACAAATTCAACTCCTCCTCCTCCTCCTCCTCCTCCTCCTCCTCAGGGTCTTTATAAGCTTCAGTCTCTCTCCTCCTCCTCACACTCCAACCCTGCTCACCTCTCAGCTGGACAGTAAGGGACGTTTACAGCACACACTGACAACATGCTGGGGAGCCTCTGCACTCTCATCACTGCTCTAACATGTAAGGAGGCTGACTTCCTGCAGCTTTCAGCTCATGTTGGATTCATCAGGCTGTGTGTTTCTCTTGACTCCATGTCATCTTGTTGTTTCCAGGTGTGAGTGCTGTTACCGTGGTGACACAGAAGCCTCCCGTTGTAGCTGTGAGGAGAGGAGAGACAGCCAACATGGACTGTAACCTGGGGACTGTGACAAATAGTCGTGTCCGCTGGTACAAACAGATTCCTGGAGGAGTTCCTCAGTTTATTCTTTATTACCATCACAGCTCCAGCTCTCCAAGATATGGCTCTGGTTTCTCCTCTCCTAAATTCACCTCCACTCATCAGTCAAAATCAGATTATCGTTTGATCATCAGCTCTGTGGAGGAGGGAGACTCTGCAGTTTATTACTGTAAAACATGGGACAACTCTGTCAATGAGGCCGTATCACAGTGATTTACACCATGACAAAAACCTCCTCACTCTCACTTCTGCTTTTTGAGTCTCTGACATATCTACTAACGCTCTCTTATCTTCCTGACAAAGGATTACAAAATAACCACCTCCTATTTTCTCACTGTCCTTTTGATTGACTAACAAACTCACATTTTTCTCTTTATTTCAATTTATCACTCATCCACATTGTGACTTTCTGCTGATTTAATTCTCATATTTGAGGCTTTAAGTTTCTGATCAGCTCATAAAACAGAATCAACTCTGTACAGTCAGTTTAATGAAACAGTTTTACATTGAGATTGTTTCAGACTCTTCAGTCAAAAGTTTGTTAGAAATAAATGAACAAACAGAAGAAGTTTGAAAAGTTCAGCTGAAACAATAAAGAGTTAAACTTAGAGGACTAACAGCTTTTTGTCTTCTTGACTGTGACCTTTGACCTCTCCTTAAAAAAACAAAACAAAACAAAACAAAGCTCACCTATGAAATTTTTGACATCAGTTGAGTTGTTTTCCATCCAGACATTGAATATTAACACTTTCACATCGTTAATAATCGAACAAACTGTCAGTGTAATGATGCCAATTTTTTTTACAATGTCATTTATTTGTTCAACCCTTTTTTCATCATTAAGAGAGGGGCCACAAATCTCACTCCTCCTCCTCCTCCTCCTCCTCCTCCTCCTCAGGGTCTTTATAAGCTTCAGTCTCTCTCCTCCTCCTCACACTCCAACCCTGCTCACCTCTCAGCTGGACAGTAAGGGACGTTTACAGCACACACTGACAACATGCTGGGGAGCCTCTGCACTCTCATCACTGCTCTAACATGTAAGGAGGCTGACTTCCTGCAGCTTTCAGCTCATGTTGGATTCATCAGTCTGTGTGTTTCTCTTGACTCCATGTCATCTTGTTGTTTCCAGGTGTGAGTGCTGTTACCGTGGTGACACAGAAGCCTCCTATTGTGGCTGTGAGGAGAGGAGAGACAGTCAACATGGACTGTAACCTGGGGACTGTGACCAATAGAGCTGCCCGCTGGTACAAACAGATTCCTGGAGGAGTTCCTCAGCATGTTGTGAGGATGTATCACAGCTGGAGCTCTCCAACTTATGGCTCTGGTTTCTCCTCTCCTAAATTCACCTCCACTCATCAGTCACAGACAGATTATCGTTTGATCATCAGCTCTGTGGAGGACGGAGACTCTGCAGTTTATTACTGTAACACATGGGACAGCTCTGTCAATGAGTACGTATCACAGTGATTTACACCATGACAAAAACCTCCTCACTCTCACTTCTGCTTTTTGAGTCTCTGACATATCTACTAATGCTCTCTGCAGCTTCACTGAATTCAACTCCAGTCCTTGAACAAACAGAGTGATCTAAAATCATCACTGTAGAGATGAATTCTTTTCCTCTTGAAGCACATTAGATATCAAGAGGACTCTTCATTTACAGTCCAGGAAACATAAGAGGATATTCTGTCTTATTACTTCGTGCACATAAATCTTACTTTGTCACAGAATTAGAAATTTGCCATTAAAATTGAATATAGATTAGACTTCACTTTGCTAAATGTGTTTGTAGAAAGTCAGACGAAACTTTTAAACCACTAAAGAAGGTAAATATTTATGTTTATATTGTGACAATTTGATGATTTTATGAGACCAGAGGCCTTCATAACAGTCCATAAAACATAAATAATATTTTTAATCATCTTGATAAATAATTATTCACTCAGATCATTCCTGGAGTGATCGATTATTCTCTTCAATCAATCCTAAAAATGGTGGAGCTGAAGAAAAAGGGAGCTCCAGCTCTGCATGCTGATCCAGTCTTCATTTCTCTTCACTCACTGTGCAGCAGTCACTCCTCCAGACATGCTCACTCTTATTTCCTCAAGTCTCCAGCTGTTCTCATCACCTGTCACATCTTTCCAACAGCACCTCAGCTCACCCTCATTGTTGGCTGATCACATGATCTAAAGCACACGGAGCAAAGTGAATCAGGGCCTGTCCGACCACATGTTGATAGATAAGAGGCGCACAATCCTGGTGCTCAGAGAAGCTCAGGGCCCAAAGAGGTTCAGTTACGTCCCTTATGTCCCCAATCAGTCTGTCCAAAATCAATAAGATCAAATCAAATAACCTGAAATTCACTTCATCAGGAAAACACAGACACTTTGTTGTAAACTTTGTGTGTTTCTGTGTCCTCATGTCACTTTGTGTCTGACCACCTCTCTGAATCCAGACTGACACACCCATGGACGCTTGTCCCTGAGTGGAGACTGACAGGACCTGGGTTTGATATGATGGGTTTGTTCACATGGTGTTTATCATTCATATAAAAAGAAGAAAAGAGTCTAGTTTTCATTTCAGGAACTTCATTGTGTCATGCTGCTTGAGATGATATGAAGATGTTGTTTTTATCAAGAATGTGATCAAAACTAAGATTGATGAAGGTTTTAAGAAGTTGGTTTGGGCAGTGAGTGTTGAAACTCCTCCTCCTCCTCCTCCTCCTCCTCCTCCTCCTCCTCCTCCTCCTCAGGGTCTTTATAAGCTTCAGTCTCTCTCCTCCTCCTCACACTCCAACCCTGCTCACCTCTCAGCTGGACAGTAAGGGACGTTTACAGCACACACTGACAACATGCTGGGGAGCCTCTGCACTCTCATCACTGCTCTAACATGTAAGAGATTCTTCTCAGTCCTTTACCACACCATCATTTCACACACACACCTTTGACTCTTGTCTTTTTCTCTCTGTGTTTTTTTACAGATGTTAACGCAGTGAAAGTTCTGACCCAGACTCCTGCTGTCCTCACAGTTTCTCCAGGACAAGAGGCTGTTCTCAGATGTAACATTCAGAGAGATGATAACAATTATGTCAGATGGTACAAACAGGTTCCTGGTGAAGCTCCTCAGTATGTTCTGAAATTCTATCATTCTCACAGTTCACCCAACGACTATGGATCAGGATTCTCCTCAGACAGATTCAACTCTAAATCCACATCAAACATAGATTATCAGTTCATCATAAAGAGAGCAGAGGCAGGAGACACTGCTGTTTATTACTGTTTGACATGGGATAACTCTGCTAAAGAGAACGTATCACAGTGATTTACACCATGACAAAAACCTCACTCACAGTCTGACTACAGTGTCTCTAAAATCTGACCACATTAACTCAAGTTAACCAGAAAAACTTCAATAAAAGCAGAAAGATCACTGAGTAAACTTTTATAAAACGATGAAATCCTCAGATTAAAGTCCATCTTTGTTTTGATAAAGTGATCAGAGATGAAAGATTGAGACGTTGAGAGTGAAAGTCGGTCTCAACAGGATGTTTCAGTTCCTCTCCCCTCATTAGTGAGAGTCAGGAGGTTTTTGTACGGCCATGTATACAAACTGAATCACTGTGGTATTCGGACAAGGAACCAAGCTGATCGTCTCAGGTAAGTTCTTTAAAAATCATCTTTAAATAGGATTGTTTCTCTGATTCTGACAAAATATGGCACAGTTATCATGTTAATAACTCTTAAATGAACATTTTCAGTAAATAACAGACATAATTTTCTCTGTTTGATGTTTATTCTCTGTTACTTGGCAGCATGTTGGTTCTTCTCAGAGAGTTTGAGGCTGAGACATTTTTAACTTTAAAGAAAAAGTGAAACAAACGAACTTAATATAATTCATTATTGTTTGTATGGGTTAAAATTTCACAATAATATGTTCAATAATATACAAGTATGATCTGATGAAGTTACTGTAGAGCAGTCTGTGAGACTAATAACAGAGATAGAATAAGTTACTGTATTTTTGGATCATATCAAAGTTGCTGAATTGAAGTTGCTTTTTATGGTTTCATGTAAATCTGATTCAGTTTTAGAGTCTTTGTCTTTTATTTTGTGAGTTTGATCGGCTGTAAAAACAGATGACGACTTATAAATGGTTTATGATTTCAAGAGCTCTGAACTTGGAAAATTACAGACTGAGTCTTTAAAAAGTTAAACTGGTGTAATTTTAGTTTCTACAGGCTGATGTAACATGTTTTCACTTTTTAAAAGGATGTAGTCAGACCGGGTTTATTGTGAACACTGCACATTGATCCCTCTTTTTATTATTGACCTAATCTGTGACTGTCGTGTGTGTTTGTGTGTTTCAGCCTCCAGCCTCTCTCCTCCCGTCCTCACAGTCCTCCCTCCGTCCCGTGCTGAGCTCCAGTCCAACAAAGCCTCTCTGCTCTGTCTGTCCAGTCAGTCTGTGCCTTTTGCAGATGTGAGCTGGTTGGCTGCTGGGAGTCCAGTGAGCAGTGGGGTCTCCACCAGCACGGCTGTTCGGAAAGCGGACCAGACTTTCCACATCAGCAGCTCTCTGTCCATCACCCCCTCTGAGTGGACCACGGGCAAAGTCTTCACGTGTAAAGTGTCTCTGGGCTCTCAGACTTCACAGAAAGAGATCAGCAAGTCCAGCTGTCCCTCTGCAGAAGAGTAGAGGAGCACAGAGAGCATTTCCAACCTGCTTCTTGACTCTTTGTGCTCTTTGCTCATTACAAGCTTCACATGCTAGAAAAGATGAGTCTGCATGCTCGGAGCTAATGTTGAGACAGTTAGCTGGAGGAGTCGGATCAGCTTTGCTGCTGCTGCTGCTTTTATCAACAATCCTTCAATAAAACCTGCAAATCAAAAAGTGTCTTTCCCTCTTTTTATTTATTCTCCTCCTTTTGATGATTTTCTTTCATGTCTTTAAATGTTGATTTTAGTGTTTCTTAGAGCCAAAGACTCACAGCTCACAGACATATTTCTCTTCAATAACGTCTTTAGTTTGTATTTTTTCATTCAAATATCAACATTAATTTTAGGTGTTGAACATCTGGATTTATATAAAGCCAGTCTTTCTGCTTTTAGTCTGTAGTTATGATGACAGAGAAGTCAAACAAATGAAGAATCAACTGAAACTGAGTTTTCATCCTCCATCAGTGAAGCGTCACCTCTCTGCTCCTCCTCCCAGGATGCACCTGCAGACCTGCTCTCTGTATTTAAAGTAGCATGCAAATGAAGAGGTCAAAGGTCAGCTCTGTGTTTTGATCATGTGACATCTTTTCAAGTACAGTTTTAACTTCCTATGATTGAATTAAACTTAAATGTGCAGAATCAAAGTTTAAAATGAGGTCTGAAGAAGATTTATCATCAAAACTTTAAACAAGAAGAAGAAAAAGACGATTTAATAATAATCCAGAAAAAACATAAATTTATCTGAATTTAACAGAGGAACAAATCAATGAAAACAAAACTGACAAAATTATTTATTCTACTAAAGATAGTTTCATGTTTTGTTTGGATTCAGGACTTCAGCATAAAAAAATCTCTCCACAGAATATTAAACAGAAACAAATGATTCAGAGTCTGAAGATGAAGGTGAAGCTCCTCCTCCTCCTCCTCAGTCTCAGTCTCAGTGTTGTATTAAATTGCTCCTCCAGCACCTCCTCTCCTCATCCTCAGATCTGTCAGCAGTCAGCTCACTTTCCAAGTTGTAAGGACGTTTACAGCACACACTGACAACATGCTGGGGAGCCTCTGCACTCTCATCACTGCTCTAACATGTAAGGAGGCTGACTTCCTGCAGCTTTCAGCTCATGTTGGATTCATCAGTCTGTGTGTTTCTCTTGACTCCGTGTCATCTTGTTGTTTCCAGGTGTGAGTGCTGTTACCGTGGTGACACAGAAGCCTCCTGTTGTAGCTGTGAGGAGAGGAGAGACAGCCAACATGGACTGTAACCTGGGGACTGTGACAAATGAACCAGCTTGGTGGTACAAACAGATTCCTGGAGGAGTTCCTCAGTTTATTCTGTATTACCGTCACACCTACAGCTCTCCAACTTATGGCTCTGGTTTCTCCTCTCCTAAATTCACCTCCACTCATCAGTCACAGACAGATTATCGTTTGACCATCAGCTCTGTGGAGGAGGGAGACTCTGCAGTTTATTACTGTAAAACATGGGACACCTCTGTCAAAGAGTACATATCACAGTGATTTACACCATGACAAAAACCTCCTCACTCTCACTTCTGCTTTTTGACTCCCACATACATCTACTTTGTAACTACAAGCATCAGACATAAAGTTCCTTCCAACTTTAAGATCTTGTCATATTTTCTTTAAAGGAAAAAGATAAACCTCACAAACCTTTTTATTATACATTTTTACATTTGTATTTTGACTCAACCTTTGCTTTCATATGAGGTGATCATAAGCATTAATGCACAATGACTAAGACAAAAAAGTGAGAAATAAAGACCATCACTTAGATCGGGTCTTTACATTTTACAAAGTCCTGAGAACTGAGAGGATCTTTGGAGGTTAAAACCATAGACTGTTTCCAGCAGTGGCGATTGCTCTAAGACTGCAAGGGAAGCTCAGCTTCCCTTAAAATGTCACCCCCCCAAAAAAAGAAAAAGTGGTGAAATACATACGGCTGTGTGTACATTTCATTAACTAAATACGCGCTAGAAAGCCTTCATCTTTTGTTCAACTTCGTTCTCTTTCATCCTCGCAGCGCCTCAGCGCTTTAAACAGCCGGACGCTGGGCTTCTGCTGACTTCAATGTGGAAGCTCAAAGTGGGTTGTTCCAGCAGCGAAACTAGACGCTCATTGGATAAATGCTGGGCTTTGTCCCGCCTATTGGACGCTCAGCTTCACTGGAGTTCTATGGCGAGAGGGCGGTCCCGACTTTCTCCCTGACTCCGAGCTTCTGCATCCATGATTGGATGAGCTGTCTGAGGCGAAATCCTTGTTTGATTGACAGCTAAACAAGCGAATCAGCGATCTTGAAGAATAAAACATCTACCAGAGCATTTCCCAAGTTATTCATTCCGTTGTTCTTAACTGCTCCGGAGACTTTACCCATCCTCAGCGACTTTTGTCTTTGTTAAAAACGACTGCAGTTGTGTTTGGCGACTCTTTTCTGTTACATACAAATAAACAAACACAATTATGATGTAGGCCAGAAAAATGAGCTTCCCCTCCTTGAAAGACCAGCAGACGCCACTGGTTTCCAGTAAGGACATCATGACTCCCTTCATTGTACAAATTTGAAGTAGAAATTGCTCTCTGTATTTCCAGGATTTCCTTAATTTTTCTGAAATTGTTGTTACGAAGCTCAGCTCAAACAGCATATTCCCCCCGATGTCCTACACGACCTTCTTGTGCCTCTTGACTGTATCCAAGTGTCAATCATAGAAAATATGATGTCATATCCTGTTTTTATAACCTCTAATAATTTAAAACATTAAACTGCTTAGAAAAAAGAGACTTAATCACAAACCAGTCTAATGATAACTACATGTCAACTTCACAACCAGGGTGAGAAAAATTAATATGAGTCATATTAAATTTTAAAGAGGTGATTAAACCACAGGTCTATTCATTTTGCTGAAGAAGGCGGGGTTTATGTCCTATACTGCAACCAGTCACCAGGGGGTGCTGTTCTCATCCAGCAAGGAAGCAGATGATGTCCATTCTATATACAGTCTAAGAGTAAAACCAAACAAACCATTTTGTTTTTGACATCCTTCATATCAACAAGTAAACCAAAAAATTACAAATGTTTCCAGCTCTAAACTTCAATTCAAGTCCACTCTGTTGAAAAGTTGTGGAGATGGATCAGACAGAGGAGTGTTCAAATGCAAAAACAAGATAAACATTTGTGTTCACTCTGTAACTTCTTAAAAATTCAATATTCATTTCTTAGAGTGTGATCTTCTAAAACAGATCATGAAACGAGTCTGAACTTGTGTCTTGTCTTTCTGACCTGTTTCTTGTTTCCCATGTAGTCTATGTCTTCCTCTCTTTCTTTGTTGGTTCATCGTCTCTGTTGTCTTTACCATGTGAACCCTACCTCGTGTTTTCACTGTGCATTTTGTTTCTTTGGATTTCTTGCTCTGGGAGTTTTTGTTTTTTTTGCATTTGAGTTTTCAGTTGGACATTTGAAAATATAAGTTTTTGCAATTCAGGTTAAATCTTTTGTTTAAAAAAAAATTCTGAGCTCCAGATGCAGTTCTCCTCTTTCATTTTGTTGAAACATGACATAAGGATTATAGAGCTGAGTATCCAAACTCCTCCTCTTCCTCCTCTTCCTCCTGCTCAGGGTCTTTATAAGCTTCAGTCTCTCTCCTCCTCCTCACACTCCAACCCTGCTCACCTCTCAGCTGGACAGTAAGGACGTTTACAGCACACACTGACAACATGCTGGGGAGCCTCTGCACTCTCATCACTGCTCTAACATGTAAGGAGGCTGACTTCCTGCAGCTTTCAGCTCATGTTGGATTCATCAGTCTGTGTGTTTCTCTTGACTCCATGTCATCTTGTTGTTTCCAGGTGTGAGTGCTGTTACCGTGGTGACACAGAAGCCTCCTGTTGTGACTGTGAGGAGAGGAGAGACAGCCAACATGGACTGTAACCTGGGGACTGTGACAGACAGAAGGGCTTGGTGGTACAAACAGATTCCTGGAGGAGTTCCTCAGTTTGTTCTGTATAACTATCACACTCGGAGCTCTCCAAAATATGGCTCTGGTTTCTCCTCTCCTAAATTCACCTCCACTCATCAGTCAAAATCAGATTATCGTTTGATCATCAACTCTGTGGAGGAGGGAGACTCTGCAGTTTATTACTGTAAAACATGGGACGACTCTGTCAAAGAGTACGTATCACAGTGATTTACACCATGACAAAAACCTCCTCACTCTCACTTCTGCTTTTTGAGTCTCTGACATATCTACTAACGCTCTCTTATCTTCCTGACAAAGGATTACAAAATAACCACCTCCTATTTTCTCTGTCCTTTTGATTGACTAACAAACTCACATTTTTCTCTTTATTTCAATTTCACACTCATCCTCATTGTGACTTTCTGCTGATTTAATTCTCACATTTGAGGCTTTAAGTTTCTGATCAGCTCATAAAACAGAATCAACTCTGTACAGTCAGTTTAATGAAACAGTATTACATTGAGATTATTTCAGACTCTTCAGTCAAAAGTTTGTTAGAAATAAATGAACAAACAGAAGAAGTTTGAAAAGTTCAGCTGAAACAATAAAGAGTTAAACTTAGAGGACTAACAGCTTTTTGTCTTCTTGACTGTGACCTTTGACCTCTCCTTAAAAAACAAAACAAAACAAAACAAAGCTCACCTATGAAATTTTTGACAATCAGTTGAGTTGTTTTCCATCCAGACATTGATTCTTTATACTTTCACAACTTAAATAATAGAATAAATTGGCAGAAGAATGATCCTCATATTTTTAAACAATGTTATTTATTAGTTCAACCCTTTTTTCATCATGAAGAGAAGGGTCACAAATTCAACTCCTCCTCCTCCTCCTCCTCCTCCTCCTCCTCCTCCTCCTCCTCCTCCTCCTCCTCCTCCTCTTCTTCCTCCTCCTCAGGTTCTTTATAAGCTTCAGTCTCTCTCCTCCTCCTCACACTCCAACCCTGCTCACCTCTCAGCTGGACAGTAAGGGACGTTTACAGCACACACTGACAACATGCTGGGGAGCCTCTGCACTCTCATCACTGCTCTAACATGTAAGAGATTCTTCTCAGTCCTTTACCACACCATCATTTCACACACACACCTTTGACTCTTGTCTTTTTCTCTCTTTTTTTTTTACAGATGTTGATGCAGTGATCGTTCTGACCCAGACTCCTGCTGTCCTCACAGTTTCTCCAGGACAAGAGGCTGTTCTCAGATGTAACATTCAGAGATATGATAGTAATAGTGTCAGATGGTACAAACAGGTTCCTGGTGAAGCTCCTCAGTACGTTCTGAGATTTCACCATGGAATCAGTTCACTCTACTTTGGATCAGGATTCTCTTCAGACAGATTCAACTCTAAATCCACATCAGACATAGATTATCAGTTCATCATAAAGAGAGTAGAGGCAGGAGACTCTGCTGTTTATTACTGTCAGACATGGGATGACTCTGCTAATGTGCACGTATCACAGTGATTTACACCATGACAAAAACCTCCTCACTGACACTTCTGCTTTTTGAGCGCCTCACACGACTACTCACACTCTCTGTAGCTACACTGCCTTCAGACATCATCATGTTTTCTCTTAAAATTCTCATTTTCATTCAAATTAATCTTTAGCACCAAAGTTTATAAAAAGATTCAAAAATATTCAATGATTTTGTTTTTTAATTTTCCCATTTATAAATATTTTTAGCTCATAAGGAAACATGACAGAATAAAATTTTGTAGTGTTTTTGTCTTTAAAATCATGAAGTTCATCAACACAGAAACTTTAGCAGCTCTTTGTTCAGTTAAATGTCCCTCTGTTTGATCTATCCAGCTGTGTTTTTCCTAAATCTAGACAATAGATTTCCAATAAAAATATATATATTTTTGAATGTGTGTCTATGGCACCAAAACAACATATACAGATGCATCTCAATAAATTAGAATATCGTGGAAAAGTTCATTTATTTCAACAGTTCAATTCAAAAAGTGAAACTAATAACCTGATATAGATCCATGGCACACAGACTGAAGTATTTCATGTTTTCTTTTTCCTTTAACTGTAATGATTGTGGCTTATATTCAATGAAAACCCAAATTCAGTATCTCCAAAAACTAGAATACTGTGATAAAGTTGACTATTTTAACCTCATAATGTCACACTCTAATCAGCTAATTAACTCCAAACACCTGCAAAGGTTTCCTGAGCCCTTAAATAGTCTCTCAGTCTGGTTCAGTAGCTCCACTATCATGGGGAAGACTGCTGACCTTACAGTTGTCCAGAAGACAATCATTGACACCCTTCACAAGGAGGGTAAGGCCACAAAAGTTCATTGCAAAAGAAGCTGGCTGTTCACAGAGTGCTGTATCCAAGAATATTAACAGAAAGTCGAGTGGAAGGAAAAAGTGTGGTAGAAAGAAATGTACAAGCAACAGGGTTGATCGCAGCCTTGAGAGGTTTGTCAAGCAAAATCGATTCAAGAACTTGTGTGAAGTTAACAGAATAACACCATGGAATATTTCAGTTTGTGTGTCATTGTTCAATATCAGGTTATGAGATTCACATTTTGAACTGAACTGTTGAAATTAATGAACTTTTCCATGATTTAATAAAATCGAAGTGCTGAGTGTGGAAACTCCTCCTCCTCCTCCTCCTCCTCAGGGTCTTTATAAGCTTCAGTCTCTCTCCTCCTCCTCACACTCCAACCCTGCTCACCTCTCAGCTGGACAGTAAGGGACGTTTACAGCACACACTGACAACATGCTGGGGAGCCTCTGCACTCTCATCACTGCTCTAACATGTAAGAGATTCTTCTCAGTCCTTTACCACACCATCATTTCACACACACACACCTTTGACTCTTGTCTTTTTCTCTGTTTTTTTACAGATGTTAACGCAGTGATCGTTCTGACCCAGACTCCTGCTGTCCTCACAGTTTCTCCAGGACAAGAGGCTGTTCTCAGATGTAACATTCAGAGACATGATGGATATGTTGTCAGCTGGCACGAACAGGTTCCTGGTGAAGCTCCTCAGTATGTTCTGAGATTTTACCATGGTTGGAGTTCACCTGAGTATGGATCAGGATTCTCCTCAGACAGATTCAACTCTAAATCCACATCAAACATAGATTATCAGTTCATCATAAAGAGAGCAGAGGCAGGAGACACTGCTGTTTATTACTGTCAGACATGGGACAGCTCTGCTAATGCAGCTGTATCACAGTGATTTACACCATGACAAAAACCTCACTCACAGTCTGACTACAGTGTCTCTAAAATCTGACCACATTAACTCAAGAAAACCAGAAAAACTTCAATCAAAGCAGAAAGATCACTGAATAAACTCTTATAAAACGATGAAATCCTCAGATTAAAGTCCATCTTTGTTTTGATAAAGTGATCAGAGATGAAAGATCGAGACGTTGAGAGTGAAAGTTGGTCTCAACAGGATGTTTCAGTTCCTCTCCCCTCATTAGTGAGAGTCAGGAGGTTTTTGTACGGCCATGTATACAAACTGAATCACTGTGGTATTCGGACAAGGAACCAAGCTGATCGTCTCAGGTAAGTTCTTTAAAAATCATCTTTAAATAGGATTGTTTCTCTGATTCTGACAAAATATGGCACAGTTATCATGTTAATAACTCTTAAATGAACATTTTCAGTAAATAATAGACATAATTTTCTCTGTTTGATGTTTATTCTCTGTTACTTGGCAGCATGTTGGTTCTTCTCAAAGAGTTTGAGGCTGAGACATTTTTAACTTTAAAGAAAAAGTGAAACACACTGACTTAATATAATTCATTATTGTTTGTATGGGTTAAATTTTCACAATAACATGTTCAATAATACACAAGTATAATCTGATTAAGTTACTATAGAGCAGTCTGTGAGACTAATAACAGAGATAGAATAAGTTACTGTATTTTTGGATCATATCAAATTTGCTGAATTGAAGTTGCTTTTTATGGTTTCATGTAAATCTGATTCAGTTTTAGAGTCTTTGTCTTTTATTTTGTAAGTTTGATCGGCTGTAAAAGCAGATGACGACTTATAAATGGTTTATGATTTCAAGAGCTCTGAACTTGGAAAATTACAGACTGAGTCTTTAAAAAGTTAAACTGGTGTAATTTTAGTTTCTACAGGCTGATGTAACATGTTTTCACTTTTTAAAAGGATGTAGTCAGACCGGGTTTATTGTGAACACTGCACATTGATCCCTCTTTTTATTATTGACCTAATCTGTGACTGTCGTGTGTGTTTGTGTGTTTCAGCCTCCAGCCTCTCTCCTCCCGTCCTCACAGTCTTCCCTCCGTCCCGTGCTGAGCTCCAGTCCAACAAAGCCTCTCTGCTCTGTCTGTCCAGTCAGTCTGTGCCTTTTGCAGATGTGAGCTGGTTGGCTGCTGGGAGTCCAGTGAGCAGTGGGGTCTCCACCAGCACGGCTGTTCGGCAAGCGGACCAGACTTTCCACATCAGCAGCTCTCTGTCCATCAACCCCTCTGAGTGGACCACGGGCAAAGTCTTCACGTGTAAAGTGTCTCTGGGCTCTCAGACTTCAGAGAAAGAGATCAGCAAGTCCAGCTGTCCCTCTGCAGAAGAGTAGAGGAGCACAGAGAGCATTTCCAACCTGCTTCTTGACTCTTTGTGCTCTTTGCTCATTACAAGCTTCACATGCTAGAAAAGATGAGTCTGCATGCTCGGAGCTAATGTTGAGACAGTTAGCTGGAGGAGTCGGATCAGCTTTGCTGCTGCTGCTGCTTTTATCAACAATCTTTCAATAAAACAATTGAAAGCCTGCAAATCAAAAAGTGTCTTTCCCTCTTTTTATTTATTCTCCTCCTTTTGATCATTCATTTTCTTTCATGTCTTTAAATGTTGATTTGAGTGTTTCTTAGAGCCAAAGACTCACAGCTCACAGACATATTTCTCTTCAATAACGTCTTTAGTTTGTATTTTTTCATTCAAATATCAACATTAATTTTAGGTGTTGAACATCTGGATTTATATAAAGCCAGTCTTTCTGCTTTTAGTCTGTAGTTATGATGACAGAGAAGTCAAACAAATGAAGAATCAACTGAAACTGAGTTTTCATCCTCCATCAGTGAAGCGTCACCTCTCTGCTCCTCCTCCCAGGATGCACCTGCAGACCTGCTCTCTGTATTTAAAGTAGCATGCAAATGAAGAGGTCAAAGGTCAGCTCTGTGTGTTAGATCATGTGACATCTCTTCAAGTACAGTTTTCTCTTCCTATGATTGAATTAAGCTTAAATGTGCAGAATCAAAGTTTAAAATGAGGTCTGAAGAAGATTTATCATCAAAACTTTAAACAAGAAGAAGAAAAAGACGATTTAATAATGATCCAGAAAAAAACATAAATTTATCTGAATTTAACAGAGGAACAAATCAATGATAACAAAACTGACAAAATTATTTATTCTACTAAAGTTAGTTCAATGTTTTGTTTGGATTCAGGACGTTGCTGCTTGAAAAAAAAATCACGAGTCAGCATAAAAAAATCTCTCCATAGAATATTAAACAGAAATAAATGATTCAAAGTCTGAAGATGAAGGTGAAGCTCCTCCTCCTCCTCCTCAGTCTCAGTGTTGTATTAAATTGCTCCTCCAGCACCTCCTCTCCTCATCCTCAGATCTGTCAGCAGTCAGCTCACTTTCCAAGTTGTAAGGACGTTTACAGCACACACTGACAACATGCTGGGGAGCCTCTGCACTCTCATCACTGCTCTAACATGTAAGGAGGCTGACTTCCTGCAGCTTTCAGCTCATGTTGGATTCATCAGTCTGTGTGTTTCTCTTGACTCCGTGTCATCTTGTTGTTTCCAGGTGTGAGTGCTGTTACCGTGGTGACACAGAAGCCTCCTGTTGTGACTGTGAGGAGAGGAGAGACAGCCAACATGGACTGTAACCTGGGGACTGTGACAAATAGTCGTGTCCGCTGGTACAAACAGATTCCTGGAGGAGTTCCTCAGTTTATTCTGTATTACTATCACAGCTCCAGCTCTCCAAGATATGGCTCTGGTTTCTCCTCTCCTAAATTCACCTCCACTCATCAGTCACAGACAGATTATCGTTTGATCATCAGCTCTGTGGAGGAGGGAGACTCTGCAGTTTATTACTGTCAAACATATGACACCTCTGTCAATGAGTACGTATCACAGTGATTTACACCATGACAAAAACCTCCTCACTCTCACTTCTGCTTTTTGAGTCTCTGCCATATCTACTTATGCCCTCTGCAGCTTCTCAACATAAGACTTTAATCTGACTACCTTCTATATTCCTATTGAACCTTTGATTGAAATCCAAAATTCACATTTCTGATCAGCTCATAAAACAGAATCAACTCTGTACAGTCAGTTTAATGAAACAGTATTACATTGAGATTGTTTCGGACTCTTCAGTCAAAAGTTTGTTAGAAATAAATGAACAAACAGAAGAAATTTGAAAAGTTCAGCTGAAACAATAAAGAGTTAAACTTAGAGGACTAACAGCTTTTCGTCTTCTTGACTGTGACCTTTGACCTCTCCTTAAAAAACAAAACAAAACAAAGCTCACCTATGAAATTTTTGACAATCAGTTGAGTTGTTTTCCATCCAGACATTGATTCTTTATACTTTCACAACTTAAATAATTGAATAAATTGGCAGAAGAATGATCCTCATATTTTTAAACAATGTCATTTATTTGTTCAACCCTTTTTTCATCATGAAGAGAGGGGTCACAAATTCAACTCCTCCTCCTCCTCCTCCTCCTCCTCAGGGTCTTTATAAGCTTCAGCCTCTCTCCTCCTCCTCACACTCCAACCCTGCTCACCTCTCAGCTGGACAGTAAGGGACGTTTACAGCACACACTGACAACATGCTGGGGAGCCTCTGCACTCTCATCACTGCTCTAACATGTAAGAGATTCTTCTCAGTCCTTTACCACACCATCATTTCACACACACACCTTTGACTCTTGTCTTTTTCTCTGTGTGTTACAGATGTTGATGCAGTGATCGTTCTGACCCAGACTCCTGCTGTCCTCACAGTTTCTCCAGGACAAGAGGCTGTTCTCAGATGTAACATTCAGAGATATGATGGAAATTGGGTCAGCTGGTACAAACAGGTTCCTGGTGAAGCTCCTCAGTATGTTCTGAGATTTCACCATGGAATCAGTTCACTCGACTTTGGATCAGGATTCTCCTCAAATAGATTCAACTCTAAATCCACATCAGACATAGATTATCAGTTCATCATAAAGAGAGTAGAGGCAGGAGACTCTGCTGTTTATTACTGTAACACATGGGATGACTCTGCTTCTGCAGCTGTATCACAGTGATTTACACCATGACAAAAACCTCCTCACTGACACTTCTGCTTTTTGAGCGCCTCACACATCTACTCACACTCTCTGTAGCTACACTGCCTTCAGATATCATGTTGTTTTCCCCTAAAATTCTCATTTTCATTCAAATTAATCTTTAGCACCAAAGTTTAAAAAAAAATTCAAAAATATTCAATGATTGTGTTTTTTAATTTTCCCATTTATAAATATTTTTAGCTCATAAGGAAACATGACAGAATAAAATTTTGTAGTGTTTTTGTCTTTAAAATCATGAAGTTCATCAACACAGAAACTTTAGCAGCTCTTCGTTCAGTTAAATGTCCCTCTGTTTGATCTATCCAGCTGTGTTTTTCCTAAATCTAGACAATAGATTTCCAATAAAAATATATATATTTTTGAATGTGTGTCTATGGCACCAAAACAACATATACAGATGCATCTCAATAAATTAGAATATCGTGGAAAAGTTCATTTATTTCAACAGTTCAATTCAAAAAGTGAAACTAATAACCTGATATAGATCCATGGCACACAGACTGAAGTATTTCATGTTTTCTTTTTCCTTTAACTGTAATGATTGTGGCTTATATTTAATGAAAACCCAAATTCAGTATCTCCAAAAACTAGAATACTGTGATAAAGTTGACTATTTTAACCTCATAATGTCACACTCTAATCAGCTAATTAACTCCAAACACCTGCAAAGGTTTCCTGAGCCCTTAAATAGTCTCTCAGTCTGGTTCAGTAGCTCCACTATCATGGGGAAGACTGCTGACCTTACAGTTGTCCAGAAGACAATCATTGACACCCTTCACAAGGAGGGTAAGCCACAAAAGTTCATTGCAAAAGAAGCTGGCTGTTCACAGAGTGCTGTATCCAAGAATATTAACAGAAAGTCGAGTGGAAGGAAAAAGTGTGGTAGAAAGAAATGCACAAGCAACAGGGTTGATCGCAGCCTTGAGAGGTTTGTCAAGCAAAATCGATTCAAGAACTTGTGTGAAGTTAAGAGAATAACACCATGGAATATTTCAGTTTGTGTGTCATTGTTCAATATCAGGTTATGAGATTCACATTTTGAACTGAACTGTTGAAATTAATGAACTTTTCCAGGATATAATAAAATCAAAGAGCTGAGTGTGTAAACTCCTCCTCCTCCTCCTCCTCCTCCTCAGGGTCTTTATAAGCTTCAGTCTCTCTCCTCCTCCTCACACTCCAACCCTGCTCACCTCTCAGCTGGACAGTAAGGGACGTTTACAGCACACACTGACAACATGCTGGGGAGCCTCTGCACTCTCATCACTGCTCTAACATGTAAGGAGGCTGACTTCCTGCAGCTTTCAGCTCATGTTGGATTCATCAGTCTGTGTGTTTCTCTTGACTCCATGTCATCTTGTTGTTTCCAGGTGTGAGTGCTGTTACCGTGGTGACACAGAAGCCTCCTGTTGTAGCTGTGAGGAGAGGAGAGACAGCCAACATGGACTGTAAACTGGGGACTGTGACAAATCAACCAGCTTGGTGGTACAAACAGATTCCTGGAGGAGTTCCTCAGTTTATTCTGTTTAACTATCACACCTACAGCTCTCCAACTTATGGCTCTGGTTTCTCCTCTCCTAAATTCACCTCCACTCATCAGTCACAGACAGATTATCGTTTGACCATCAGCTCTGTGGAGGAGGGAGACTCTGCAGTTTATTACTGTCAGACATTGGACACCAATAATGCCGTATCACAGTGATTTACACCATGACAAAAACCTCCTCACTCTCACTTCTGCTTTTTGACTCTCTGACATATCTACTAACGCTCTCTTATCTTCCTGACAAAGGATTACAAAATAACCACCTCCTATTTTCTCACTGTCCTTTTGATTGACTAACAAACTCACATATTTCTCTTTATTTCAATTTATCACTCATCCACATTGTGACTTTCTGCTGATTTAATTCTCATATTTGAGGCTTTAAGTTTCTGATCAGCTCATAAAACAGAATCAACTCTGTACAGTCAGTTTAATGAAACAGTATTACATTGAGATTATTTCAGACTCTTCAGTCAAAAGTTTGTTAGAAATAAATGAACAAACAGAAGAAGTTTGAAAAGTTCAGCTGAAACAATAAAGAGTTAAACTTAGAGGACTAACAGCTTTTTGTCTTCTTGACTGTGACCTTTGACCTCTCCTTAAAAAACAAAACAAAGCTCACCTATGAAATTTTTGACAATCATTTGAGTTGTTTTCCATCCAGACATTGATTCTTTATACTTTCACAACTTAAATAAAAGAATAAATTGGCAGAAGAATGATCCTCATATTTTTAAACAATGTCATTTATTAGTTCAACCCTTTTTTCATCATGAAGAGAAGGGTCACAAATTCAACTCCTCCTCCTCCTCCTCCTCCTCCTCTTCTTCCTCCTCCTCAGGGTCTTTATAAGCTTCAGTCTCTCTCCTCCTCCTCACACTCCAACCCTGCTCACCTCTCAGCTGGACAGTAAGGGACGTTTACAGCACACACTGACAACATGCTGGGGAGCCTCTGCACTCTCATCACTGCTCTAACATGTAAGGAGGCTGACTTCCTGCAGCTTTCAGCTCATGTTGGATTCATCAGTCTGTGTGTTTCTCTTGACTCCATGTCATCTTGTTGTTTCCAGGTGTGAGTGCTGTTACCGTGGTGACACAGAAGCCTCCTGTTGTAGCTGTGAGGAGAGGAGAGACAGTCAACATGGACTGTAACCTGGGGACTGTGATAAATACTGTCTTCTGGTACAAACAGATTCCTGGAGGAGTTCCTCAGTTTATTCTGTATTACTATCACAGCTCCAGCTCTCCAAGCTATGGCTCTGGTTTCTCCTCTCCTAAATTCACCTCCACTCATCAGTCAAAATCAGATTATCGTTTGACCATCAGCTCTGTGGAGGAGGGAGACTCTGCAGTTTATTACTGTAACACATGGAAAGACAGCAAGGCCTTATCACAGTGATTTACACCATGACAAAAACCTCCTCACTCTCACTTCTGCTTTTTTGAGCTTCAGGTTCATCTTCCAGTGCCCTCTGTAACTTACCTGATCAGACTTCAGACTAACTGCTTATATCATTCTAATACTTTTGATTTTCTTTGATAGGGAATAATAATGTTGAAAAACTCACAAATTTCTCTAGTTACTGTTCAAAGTGTTTTTTAGTTGTTATTTTGCCTGAAATCTTGGTTTATTCATGTGAGGTAACTGAACACACAACTGGTCAAGACCAAAAAGTGACAAATAAAGACAATCACTGAGATAAGGTTTTTGTTTTCTATAAAGTTGTAAAAACTAAGAGGACCTTAAGAGTAAAACAAACATACTTTGTTGTTTTTATATCTGTTCCCCGGTCCTTGTGCAGGCTCCAAGGCTGGACTCGGTCTCTGTACCTGCTCCCCAGCTTGTTCCTGCTTCTGGTTTGGAGTGTCGCCCCCCTGAACTACTTACCTGCAGAAGTCACATGCCCTCCTCCCAGGCCCCCTCCACCCACCCTGCTTTGGTTCTGAGATTTCTAGGATTTCTTGAATCTTTCAGAGAGGGGTTATGTCATGATAGGCTCTTGTTAGTTTCGTTTATCCTGGTTTTATATTTAGTTTAATTTCTGAGTCTGTTTCCTCGTCTTTCTGTTTCCCTGTGTTCATTATTCTTCTGTTCTTGTTCTATCTCACTGTTTTATTTTGTAGTAGTCAATCTCTGGGTATCAAGTCTAGTTTTACTTCCTTAGTTTTCCTCCTTTGTTGATTCCTCAAGAGTCTCACCTGTGTCTTGTCGTCCATGTTGTCTCAGCCTCATGAACCCTACTTCATGTCCTCGTGTTTTCCCTGTGCCTTTTTGTTTCTCTGCTTGTTTCTGGTGTTTTTGGTTTATTGCATTTGGATTTTTCAGTTCAAAGTAAGTTTTTGTTGTTTCAGTCTTTTGTTTGATTAAAAACTTTAAAGTTCAGGGTCTAAAGTGAGGTTAAAGTCCATCTTTGTTTTGATAAAGTGATCAGAGTGATGGTGAAAGATTGAGACGTTGAGAGTGAAAGTTGGTCTCAACAGGATGTTTCAGTTCCTCTCCCCTCATTCGTGAGAGTCGGGAGGTTTTTGTACGGCCATGTATACAAACTGAATCACTGTGGTATTCGGACAAGGAACCAAGCTGATCGTCTCAGGTAAGTTCTTTAAAAATCATTGTTCAACCTTCTTATTGTCTGTTTCTGATTCCTGTTTGATGAAACTCTTGATTTGACTTGTTCAAAACCTTCAGTGGTATTTTAGGACACATTTCTCTGCTTTAAAATCCAGTTTAGAAACAGTCCTGAGCTTTGCTGTAATCATCAAAACAAGATGAATATTCTGTATCTGACTGAAATCGATCTAAAATCATCTATACGTATGTTTCTGTTTATTTTGAATCACTGAACTTGTTCAGTAAAATTCAGATGGATTAGTTTAGATCGTCTTCAAAAGCTGACGTGATTTCATGCAAAGATAAAAAATCCGAATGAAGAGAATATCTTTGATATTTACTGAAAAAGGACAAAATATTTAATGGTTGATTTTATTTTTCTGACATTTAATCAAAATTGATCAAGTTTTGATGAATCATTTCAATTTGAATGGTGCGGTCTTTGTCCTAAACCAGTCATTGAAATAATTCTGTATTTTATAATGTGATAAAACTCAAAGACTGTGATTCTTATGGATGAACAAAGTCTGTCTGAGTGTTGATGTCTGGATATTATCTTTGCTGCTGAAAAAAAAGTGTTTTAAAATCCTGCTGGTGAAAAATAAGTGAGTTTTTCATTTTGATGATCTCCAACTTCAGATCCTATTTTGTTCGACACTGAGGGAGACTTTAGGAAACTGTTTCAACCTGAACCTCCAAGTGACAGATCAAGTCCTCTTGTTATGATCTTGAGTACGGGGCTTGTGTTTTTATCAGCGTGTTGTTATCATGTCAAATGATCAATAATTGAATATTGATGATTTGTGTGTGTTTGTGTGTTTCAGGCTCCAGCCTCTCTCCTCCCGTCCTCACAGTCTTCCCTCCGTCCCGTGCTGAGCTCCAGTCCAACAAAGCCTCTCTGCTCTGTCTGTCCAGTCAGTCTGTGCCTTTTGCAGATGTGAGCTGGTTGGCTGCTGGGAGTCCAGTGAGCAGTGGGGTCTCCACCAGCACGGCTGTTCGGCAAGCGGACCAGACTTTCCACATCAGCAGCTCTCTGTCCATCACCCCCTCTGAGTGGACCACGGGCAAAGTCTTCACGTGTAAAGTGTCTCTGGGCTCTCAGACTTCAGAGAAAGAGATCAGCAAGTCCAGCTGTCCCTCTGCAGAAGAGTAGAGGAGCACAGAGAGCATTTCCAACCTGCTTCTTGACTCTTTGTGCTCTTTGCTCATTACAAGCTTCACATGCTAGAAAAGATGAGTCTGCATGCTCGGAGCTAATGTTGAGACAGTTAGCTGGAGGAGTCGGATCAGCTTTGCTGCTGCTGCTGCTTTTATCAACAATCTTTCAATAAAACATTTGAAAGCCTGCAAATCAAAAAGTGTCTTTCCCTCTTTTTATTTATTCTCCTCCTTTTGATCATTCATTTTCTTTCATGTCTTTAAATGTTGATTTTAGTGTTTCTTAGAGCCAAAGACTCACAGCTCACAGACATATTTCTCTTCAATAACGTCTTTAGTTTGTATTTTTTCATTCAAATATCAACATTAATTTTAGGTGTTGAACATATGGATTTATATAAAGCCAGTCTTTCTGCTTTTAGTCTGTAGTTATGATGACAGAGAAGTCAAACAAATGAAGAATCAACTGAAACTGAGTTTTCATCCTCCATCAGTGAAGCGTCACCTCTCTGCTCCTCCTCCCAGGATGCACCTGCAGACCTGCTCTCTGTATTTAAAGTAGCATGTAAATAAAGAGGTCAAAGGTCAGCTCAGTGTGTTAGATCATGTGACATCTTTTCAAATACAGTATTCATTTCCTTTGATTGAATTAAACTTAAATGTGCAGAATCAAAGTTTAAAATGAGGTCTGAAGAAGATTTATCATCAAAACTTTAAACAAGAAGAAGAAAAAGACGATTTAATAATGATCCAGAAAAAACATAAATTTATCTGAATTTAACAGAGGAACAAATCAATGATAACAATACTGACAAAATTATTTATTTTATTTAAGATAGTTTCATTGTTTTTTTTTTAATTTAATTTAGGACGTTGCTGTTAGAAAAAATCCTGAGTCAGCATAAAAAAATCTCTCCACAGAATATTAAACAGAAATAAATGATTCAGAGTCTGAAGATGAAGGTGAAGCTCCTCCTCCTCCTCCTCCTCAGTCTCAGTGTTGTATTAAATTGCTCCTCCAGCACCTCCTCTCCTCATCCTCAGATCTGTCAGCAGTCAGCTCACTTTCCAAGTTGTAAGGACGTTTACAGCACACACTGACAACATGCTGGGGAGCCTCTGCACTCTCATCACTGCTCTAACATGTAAGGAGGCTGACTTCCTGCAGCTTTCAGCTCATGTTGGATTCATCAGTCTGTGTGTTTTTTCTCTTGACTCCATGTCATCTTGTTGTTTCCAGGTGTGAGTGCTGTTACCGTGGTGACACAGAAGCCTCCCGTTGTAGCTGTGAGGAGAGGAGAGACAGTCAACATGGACTGTAACCTGGGGACTGTGACAAATAGTCGTGTCCGCTGGTACAAACAGATTCCTGGAGGAGTTCCTCAGTTTATTCTTTATTACCATCACAGCTCCAGCTCTCCAAGATATGGCTCTGGTTTCTCCTCTCCTAAATTAGCCTCCACTCATCAGTCAAAATCAGATTATCGTTTGATCATCAGCTCTGTGGAGGAGGGAGACTCTGCAGTTTATTACTGTAGCACATGGAAAGACAGCAAGGCCTTATCACAGTGATTTACACCATGACAAAAACCTCCTAACTCTCACTTCTGCTTTTTTGAGCTTCAGGTTCATCTTCCAGAGCCCTCTGTAACTTACCTGATCAGACTTCAGACTAACTGCTTATATCATTCTAATACTTTTGATTTTCTTTGATAGGGAATAATAATGTTGAAAAACTCACAAATTTCTCTAGTTACTGTTCAAAGTGTTTTTTAGTTGTTATTTTGCCTGAAATCTTGGTTTATTCATGTGAGCTAACTGAACACACAACTGGTCAAGACCAAAAAGTGACAAATAAAGACAATCACTGAGATAAGGTTTTTGTTTTCTATAAAGTTGTAAAAACTAAGAGGACCTTAAGAGTAAAACAAACATACTTTGTTGTTTTTAACTCTGTTCTCATCAGAGGCCCCGGTCCTTGTGCAGGCTCCAAGGCTGGACTCGGTCTCTGTACCTGCTCCCCAGCCTGTTCCTGCTTCTGGTTTGGAGTGTCGCCTCCCTGAACTACTTACCTGCAGAGGTCACATGCCCTCCTCCCAGGCCCCCTCCACCCATCCTGCTTTGGTTCTGAGATTTCTAGAATATCTTGAATCTTTCAGAGAGGGGTTATGTCATGATAGGCTCTGTTAGTTTAGTTTATCCTGGTTTTATATTTAGTTTAATTTCTGAGTCTGTTTCCTCGTCTTTCTGTTTCCCTGTGTTCATTATTCTTCTGTTCTTGTTCTATCTCACTGTTTTATTTTGTAGTAGTCAATCTCTGGGTATCAAGTCTAGTTTAACTTCCTTAGTTTTCCTCCTTTGTTGATTCCTCAAGAGTCTCACCTGTGTCTTGTCGTCCATGTTGTCTCAGCCTTATGAACCCTACTTCATGTCCTCGTGTTTTCCCTGTGTCTTTTTGTTTCTTTGCTTCTTCCTGGTGTTTTTGGTTTATTGCATTTGTATTTTTCAGTTCAAAGTAAGTTTTTGTTGTTTCAGTCTTTTGTTTGATTAAAAACTTTAAAGTTCAGTGTCTAAAGTGAGGTTAAAGTCCATCTTTGTTTTGATAAAGTGATCAGAGTGATGGTGAAAGATTGAGACGTTGAGAGTGAAAGTTGGTCTCAACAGGATGTTTCAGTTCCTCTCCCCTCATTCGTGAGAGTCAGGAGGTTTTTGTACGGCCATGTATACAAACTGAATCACTGTGGTATTCGGACAAGGAACCAAGCTGATCGTCTCAGGTAAGTTCTTTAAAAATCATTGTTCAACCTTCTTATTGTCTGTTTCTGATTCCTGTTTGATGAAACTCTTGATTTGACTTGTTCAAAACCTTCAGTGGTATTTTAGGACACATTTCTCTGCTTTAAAATCCAGTTTAGAAACAGTCCTGAGCTTTGCTGTAATCATCAAAACAAGATGAATATTCTGTATCTGACTGAAATCGATCTAAAATCATCTTTACGTATGTTTCTGTTTATTTTGAATCACTGAACTTGTTCAGTAAAATTCAGATGGATTAGTTTAGATCTTCTTCAAAAGCTGACGTGATTTCATGCAAAGATGAAAAATCCAAATGAAGATAATATCTTTGATATTTACGGAAAAAGGACAAAATATTTAATGGTTGATTTTATTTTTCTGACATTTAATCAAAATTGATCAAGTTTTGATGAATCATTTCAATTTGAATGGTGCGGTCTTTGTCCTAAACCAGTCATTGAAATAATTCTGTATTTTATAATGTGATAAAACTCAAAGACTGTGATTCTTATGGATGAACAAAGTCTGGCTGAGTGTTGATGTCTGGATATTATCTTTGCTGCTGAAAAAAAAGTGTTTTAAAATCCTGTTGGTGAAAAATAAGTGAGTTTTTCATTTTGATGATCTCCAACTTCAGATCCTATTTTGTTCGACACTGAGGGAGACTTTAGGAAACTGTTTCAACATGAACCTCCAAGTGACAGATCAAGTCCTCTTGTTATGATCTTGAGTACGGGGCTTGTGTTTTTATCAGCGTGTTGTTATCATGTCAAATGACCAATAATTGAATATTGATGATTTGTGTGTGTTTGTGTGTTTCAGGCTCCAGCCTCTCTCCTCCCGTCCTCACAGTCTTCCCTCCGTCCCGTGCTGAGCTCCAGTCCAACAAAGCCTCTCTGCTCTGTCTGTCCAGTCAGTCTGTGCCTTTTGCAGATGTGAGCTGGTTGGCTGCTGGGAGTCCAGTGAGCAGTGGGGTCTCCACCAGCACGGCTGTTCGGCAAGCGGACCAGACTTTCCACATCAGCAGCTCTCTGTCCATCACCCCCTCTGACTGGACCACGGGCAAAGTCTTCACGTGTAAAGTGTCTCTGGACTCTCAGACTTCACAGAAAGAGATCAGCAAGTCCAGCTGTCCCTCTGCAGAAGAGTAGAGGAGCACAGAGAGCATTTCCAACCTGCTTCTTGACTCTTTGTGCTCTTTGCTCATTACAAGCTTCACATGCTAGAAAAGATGAGTCTGCATGCTCGGAGCTAATGTTGAGACAGTTAGCTGGAGGAGTGGGATCAGCTTTGCTGCTGCTGCTGCTTTTATCAACAATCTTTCAATAAAACAATTGAAAGCCTGCAAATCAAAAAGTGTCTTTCCCTCTTTTTATTTATTCTCCTCCTTTTGATCATTCATTTTCTTTCATGTCTTTAAATGTTGATTTTCGTGTTTCTTAGAGCCAAAGACTCACAGCTCACAGACATATTTCTCTTCAATAACGTCTTTAGTTTGTATTTTTTCATTCAAATATCAACATTAATTTTAGGTGTTGAACATCTGGATTTATATAAAGCCAGTCTTTCTGCTTTTAGTCTGTAGTTATGATGACAGAGAAGTCAAACAAATGAAGAATCAACTGAAACTGAGTTTTCATCCTCCATCAGTGAAGCGTCACCTCTCTGCTCCTCCTCCCAGGATGCACCTGCAGACCTGCTCTCTGTATTTAAAGTAGCATGCAAATGCGGAGGTCAAAGGTCAGCTCAGTGTGTTAGATCATGTGACATCTCTTCAAGTACAGTTTTCTCTTCCTATGATTGAATTAAGCTTAAATGTGCAGAATCAAAGTTTAAAATGAGGTCTGAAGAAGATTTATCATCAAAACTTTAAACAAGAAGAAGAAAAAGACGATTTAATAATGATCGAGAAAAAAACATAAATTTATCTGAATTTAACAGAGGAACAAATCAATGATAACAAAACTGACAAAATTATTTATTTTATTAAAGATAGTTTCATGTTTTGTTTGGATTCAGGACTTCAGCATAAAAATTCTCTCCACAGAATATTAAACAGAAATTAATGATTCAAAGTCTGAAGATGAAGGTGAAGCTCCTCCTCCTCCTCAGTCTCAGTGTTGTATTAAATTGCTCCTCCAGCACCTCCTCTCCTCATCCTCAGATCTGTCAGCAGTCAGCTCACTTTCCAAGTTGTAAGGACGTTTACAGCACACACTGACAACATGCTGGGGAGCCTCTGCACTCTCATCACTGCTCTAACATGTAAGGAGGCTGACTTCCTGCAGCTTTCAGCTCATGTTGGATTCATCAGTCTGTGTGTTTCTCTTGACTCCATGTCATCTTGTTGTTTCCAGGTGTGAGTGCTGTTACCGTGGTGACACAGAAGCCTCCTATTGTGGCTGTGAGGGGAGGAGAGACAGTCAACATGGACTGTAACCTGGGGACTGTGACAAATCAACCAGCTTACTGGTACAAACAGATTCCTGGAGGAGTTCCTCAGCATGTTGTGAGGATGTATCACAGCTGGAGCTCTCCAAGCTATGGCTCTGGTTTCTCCTCTCCTAAATTCACCTCCACTCATCAGTCACAGACAGATTATCGTTTGACCATCAGCTCTGTGGAGGACGGAGACTCTGCAGTTTATTACTGTAAAACATGGGACAGCTCTAGCACTAAGGTCGTATCACAGTGATTTACACCATGACAAAAACCTCCTCACTCTCACTTCTGCTTTTTTAGTCTCTGACATATCTACTAATGCTCTCACTAACTTCACAGGATTCAACTCTTGTCCTTGAACAAACAGAGTGATCTAAAATCATCACTGTAGAGATGAATTCTTCTCCTCTTGAAGCACATTAGATATCAAGAGGACTCTTCATTTACAGTCGAGGAAACATAAGAGGATATTCTGTCTTATTACTTCGTGCACATAAATCTTACTTTGTCACAGAATTAGAAATTTGCCATTAAAATTGAATATAGATTAGACTTCACTTTGCTAAATGTGTTTGTAGAAAGTCAGACGAAACTTTTAAACCACTAAAGAAGGTAAATATTTGTGTTTATATTGTGACAATTTGATGATTTTATGAGACCAGAGGCCTTCATAACAGTCCATAAAACAGAAATAATGTTTTTAATCATCTTGATAAAATAATCATTGACTCAGATCATTCATGGAGTGATCGATTATTCTCTTCAATCAATCCTAAAAATGGTGGAGCTGAAGAAAAAGGGAGCTCCAGCTCTGCATGCTGATCCAGTCTTCATTTCTCTTCACTCACTGTGCAGCAGTCACTCCTCCACACATGCTCACTCTTATTTCCTCAAGTCTCCAGCTGTTCTCATCACCTGTCACATCTTTCCAACAGCACCTCAGCTCACCCTCATTGTTGGCTGATCACATGATCTAAAGCACACGGAGCAAAGTGAATCAGGGCCTGTCCGACCACATGTTGATAGATAAGAGGCGCACAATCCTGGTGCTCAGAGAAGCTCAGGGCCCAAAGAGGTTCAGTTCCGTCCCTTATGTCCCCAATCAGTCTGTCCAAAATCAATAAGATCAAATCAAATAACCTGAAATTCACTTCATCAGGAAAACACAGACACTTTGTTGTAAACTCTCTGTGTTTCTGTGTCCTCATGTCACTTTGTGCCTGACCACCTCTCTGAATCCAGACTGACACACCCATGGGCGCTTGTCCCTGAGTGCAGACTGACAGGACCTGGGTTTGATATGATGGGTTTGTTCACATGGTGTTTATCATTCATATAAAAAGAACAAGAGTCTAGTTTTCATTTCAGGATCTTCATTGTGTCATGCTGCTTGAGATAAATTGAAGATGTTGTTTTTAACCAAAATGTGATCAAAACTAAGATTGATGAAGGTTTTAAGAAGTTGGTTTGGGCAGTGAGTGTTGAAACTCCTCCTCCTCCTCCTCCTCCTCAGGGTCTTTATAAGCTTCAGTCTCTCTCCTCCTCCTCACACTCCAACCCTGCTCACCTCTCAGCTGGACAGTAAGGGACGTTTACAGCACACACTGACAACATGCTGGGGAGCCTCTGCACTCTCATCACTGCTCTAACATGTAAGAGATTCTTCTCAGTCCTTTACCACACCATCATTTCACACACACACCTTTGACTCTTGTCTTTTTCTCTGTGTGTGTTACAGATGTTGATGCAGTGATCGTTCTGACCCAGACTCCTGCTGTCCTCACAGTTTCTCCAGGACAAGAGGCTGTTCTCAGATGTAACATTCAGAGATATGATAGTAATAGTGTCAGATGGTACAAACAGGTTCCTGGTGAAGCTCCTCAGTTTGTGCTAAGATTTTACCATCATGACAGTTCACTCAGCTATGGATCAGGATTCTCCTCAGACAGATTCAACTCTAAATCCACATCAAACATAGATTATCAGTTCATCATAAAGAGAGTAGAGGCAGGAGACACTGCTGTTTATTACTGTCAGACATGGGATGACTCTGCTTCTGCAGCTGTATCACAGTGATTTACACCATGACAAAAACCTCCTCACTGACACTTCTGCTTTTTGAGCGCCTCACGACTGTGAGCGACTCACACTCTCTGTAGCTACACTGCCTTCAGACATCATCTTGTTTTCTCTTAAAATTCTCATTTTGATTCAAATTAATCTTTAGCACCAAAGTTTTTTAAGAGATTCAAAAATATTAAATGTCTGTGTTTTTTAATTTTCCCATTTATAAATATTTTTAGCTCATAAGGAAACATGACAGAATAAAACTTTGTAGTGATTTTGTCTTTAAAATCATGAAGTTCATCAACACAGAAACTTTAGCAGCTCTTTGTTAAGTCAAATGTCCCTCTGTTTGATCTATCCAGCTGTGTTTTTCCAACATCTAGACAATAGATTTCCAATAAAAATCTATATTTTTTGAATGTGTGTCTACGGCACCAAAACAGCATATACAGGTGCATCTCAATAAATTAGAATATCATGGTAAAGTTCATTTATTTCAAGTATTTCATATTTTTTTTTCCTTTAACTGTAATGATTGTGGTTTATATTTAATGAAAACCCAAATTCAGTATCTCCAAAAACTAGAATACTGTGATAAAGTTGACTATTTTAACCTCATCATGTCTCACTCTAATCAGCTAATTAACTCCAAACACCTGCAAAGGTTTCCTGAGCCCTTAAATAGTCTCTCAGTCTGGTTCAGTAGCTCCACTATCATGGGGAAGACTGCTGACCTTACAGTTGTCCAGAAGACAATCATTGACACCCTTCACAAGGAGGGTAAGGCCACAAAAGTTCATTGCAAAAGAAGCTGGCTGTTCACAGAGTGCTGTATCCAAGAATATTAACAGAAAGTCGAGTGGAAGGAAAAAGTGTGGTAGAAAGAAATGTACAAACAACAGGGTTGATCGCAGCCTTGAGAGGTTTGTCAAGCAAAATCGATTCAAGAACTTGTGTGAAGTTAACAGAATAACACCATGGAATATTTCAGTTTGTGTGTCATTGTTCTATATCAGGTTATGAGATTCACATTTTGAACTGAACTTTTCCATGATATAATAAAATCAAAGAGCTGAGTGTGAAAACTCCTCCTCCTCCTCCTCCTCCTCCTCCTCCTCTTCTCCTCCTCAGGGTCTTTATAAGCTTCAGTCTCTCTCCTCCTCCTCACACTCCAACCCTGCTCACCTCTCAGCTGGACAGTAAGGGACGTTTACAGCACACACTGACAACATGCTGGGGAGCCTCTGCACTCTCATCACTGCTCTAACATGTAAGAGATTCTTCTCAGTCCTTTACCACACCATCATTTCACACACACACCTTTGACTCTTGTCTTTTTCTCTGTTTTTTTACAGATGTTAATGCAGTGAAAGTTCTGACCCAGACTCCTGCTGTCCTCACAGTTTCTCCAGGACAAGAGGCTGTTCTCAGATGTAACAATCAGAGAGATGATGGCCAGTATGTCAGCTGGCACAAACAGGTTCCTGGTGAAGCTCCTCAGTATGTTCTGAGATTCCATCATTCTCACAGTTCACCCAACAACTATGGATCAGGATTCTCCTCAGACAGATTCAACTCTAAATCCACATCAACCATAGATTATCAGTTCATCATAAAGAGAGTAGAGGCAGGAGACACTGCTGTTTATTACTGTCAGACATGGGATGGCTCTGCTAATGCAGCTGTATCACAGTGATTTACACCATGACAAAAACCTCACTCACAGTCTGACTACAGTGTCTCTAAAATCTGACCACATTAACTCAAGAAAACCAGAAAAACTTCAACCAAAGCAGAAAGATCACTGAATAAACTCTTATAAAATGATGAAATCCTCAGATTAAAGTCCATCTTTGTTTTGATAAAGTGATCAGAGATGAAAGATCGAGACGTTGAGAGTGAAAGTTGGTCTCAACAGGATGTTTCAGTTCCTCTCCCCTCATTAGTGAGAGTCAGGAGGTTTTTGTACGGCCATGTATACAAACTGAATCACTGTGGTATTCGGACAAGGAACCAAGCTGATCGTCTCAGGTAAGTTCTTTAAAAATCATCTTTAAATAGGATTGTTTCTCTGATTCTGACAAAATATGGCACAGTTATCATGTTAATAACTCTTAAATGAACATTTTCAGTAAATAATAGACATAATTTTCTCTGTTTGATGTTTATTCCCTGTTACTTGGCAGCATGTTGGTTCTTCTCAAAGAGTTTGAGGCTGAGACGTTTTTAACTTTAAAGAAAAAGTGAAACACACTGACTTGATATAATTCATTATTGTTTGTATGGGTTAAAATTTCACAATAACATGTTCAATAATATACAAGTATAATCTGATTAAGTTACTGTAGAGCAGTCTGTGAGACTAATAACAGAGATAGAATAAGTTACTGTATTTTTGGATCATATCAAATTTGCTGAATTGAAGTTGCTTTTTCTGGTTTCATGTAAATCTGATTCAGTTTTAGAGTCTTTGTCTTTTATTTTGTGAGTTTGATCGGCTGTAAAAGCAGATGACGACTTATAAATGGTTTATGATTTCAAGAGCTCTGAACTTGGAAAATTACAGACTGAGTCTTTAAAAAGTTAAACTGGTGTAATTTTAGTTTCTACAGGCTGATGTAACATGTTTTCACTTTTTAAAAGGATGTAGTCAGACCGGGTTTATTGTGAACACTGCACATTGATCTCTCTTTTTATTATTGACCTAATCTGTGACTGTCGTGTGTGTTTGTGTGTTTCAGGCTCCAGCCTCTCTCCTCCCGTCCTCACAGTCTTCCCTCCGTCCCGTGCTGAGCTCCAGTCCAACAAAGCCTCTCTGCTCTGTCTGTCCAGTCAGTCTGTGCCTTTTGCAGATGTGAGCTGGTTGGCTGCTGGGAGTCCAGTGAGCAGTGGGGTCTCCACCAGCACGGCTGTTCGGAAAGCGGACCAGACTTTCCACATCAGCAGCTCTCTGTCCATCACCCCCTCTGAGTGGACCACGGGCAAAGTCTTCACGTGTAAAGTGTCTCTGGGCTCTCAGACTTCACAGAAAGAGATCAGCAAGTCCAGCTGTCCCTCTGCAGAAGAGTAGAGGAGCACAGAGAGCATTTCCAACCTGCTTCTTGACTCTTTGTGCTCTTTGCTCATTACAAGCTTCACATGCTAGAAAAGATGAGTCTGCATGCTCGGAGCTAATGTTGAGACAGTTAGCTGGAGGAGTCGGATCAGCTTTGCTGCTGCTGCTGCTTTTATCAACAATCCTTCAATAAAACATTTGAAAGCCTGCAAATCAAAAAGTGTCTTTCCCTCTTTGTTTTTATTCTCCTCCTTTTGATCATTTTCTTTCATGTCTTTAAATGTTGATTTTAGTGTTTCTTAGAGCCAAAGACTCACAGCTCACAGACATATTTCTCTTCAATAACGTCTTTAGTTTGTATTTTTTCATTCAAATATCAACATTAATTTTAGGTGTTGAACATATGGATTTATATCAAGCCAGTCTTTCTGCTTTTAGTCTGTAGTTATGATGACAGAGAAGTCAAACAAATGAAGAATCAACTGAAACTGAGTTTTCATCCTCCATCAGTGAAGCGTCACCTCTCTGCTCCTCCTCCCAGGATGCACCTGCAGACCTGCTCTCTGTATTTAAAGTAGCATGTAAATGAAGAGGTCAAAGGTCAGCTCTGTGTTAGATCATGTGACATCTCTTCAAATACAGTTTTCACTTCCTATGATTGAATTAAACTTAAATGTGCAGAATCAAAGTTTAAAATGAGGTCTGAAGAAGATTTATCATCAAAACTTTAAACAAGAAGAAGAAAAAGACGATTTAATAATGATCCAGAAAAAACATAAATTTATCTGAATTTAACAGAGGAACAAATCAATGATAACAAAACTGACTAAATTATTTATTTTATTAAAGATAGTTTCATGTTTTGTTTGGATTCAGGACTTCAGCATAAAAAAATCTCTCCACAGAATATTAAACAGAAATAAATGATTCAAAGTCTGAAGATGAAGGTGAAGCTCCTCCTCCTCCTCCTCAGTCTCAGTGTTGTATTAAATTGCTCCTCCAGCACCTCCTCTCCTCATCCTCAGATCTGTCAGCAGTCAGCTCACTTTCCAAGTTGTAAGGACGTTTACAGCACACACTGACAACATGCTGGGGAGCCTCTGCACTCTCATCACTGCTCTAACATGTAAGGAGGCTGACTTCCTGCAGCTTTCAGCTCATGTTGGATTCATCAGTCTGTGTGTTTCTCTTGACTCCATGTCATCTTGTTGTTTCCAGGTGTAAGCGCTGTTTTTGTGGTGACACAGAAGCCTCCTATTGTGGCTGTGAGGAGAGGAGAGACAGTCAACATGGACTGTAACCTGGGGACTGTGACAAATCAACCAGCTTACTGGTACAAACAGATTCCTGGAGGAGTTCCTCAGCATGTTGTGAGGATGTATCACAGCTGGAGCTCTCCAAGCTATGGCTCTGGTTTCTCCTCTCCTAAATTCAACTCCACTCATCAGTCACAGACAGATTATCGTTTGACCATCAGCACTGTGGAGGACGGAGACTCTGCAGTTTATTACTGTAAAACATGGGACAGCTCTAGCACTAAGGTCGTATCACAGTGATTTACACCATGACAAAAACCTCCTCACTCTCACTTCTGCTTTTTGAGTCTCTGACATATCTACTAACGCTCTCTGCAGCTTCACTGAATTCAACTCCAGTCCTTGAACAAACAGAGTGATCTAAAATCATCACTGTAGAGATGAATTATTTTCCTCTTGAAGCACATTAGATATCAAGAGGACTCTCCATTTACAGTCGAGGAAACATAAGAGGATATTCTGTCTTATTACTTCGTGCACATAAATCTTACTTTGTCACAGAATTAGAAATTTGCCATTAAAATTGAATATAGATTAGACTTCACTTTGCTAAATGTGTTTGTAGAAAGTCAGACGAAACTTTTAAACCACTAAAGAAGGTAAATATTTGTGTTTATATTGTGACAATTTGATGATTTTATGAGACCAGAGGCCTTCATAACAGTCCATAAAACATAAATAATGTTTTTAATCATCTTGATAAAATAATTATTCACTCAGATCATTCCTGGAGTGATCGATTATTCTCTTTAATCAATCCTAAAAATGGTGGAGCTGAAGAAAAAGGGAGCTCCAGCTCTGCATGCTGATCCAGTCTTCATTTCTCTTCACTCACTGTGCAGCAGTCACTCCTCCACACATGCTCACTCTTATTTCCTCAAGTCTCCAGCTGCTCTCATCACCTGTCACATCTTTCCAACAGCACCTCAGCTCACCCTCATTGTTGGCTGATCACATGATCTAAAGCACACGGAGCAAAGTGAATCAGGGCCTGTCCGACCACATGTTGATAGATAAGAGGCGACAATCCTGGTGCTCAAAGAAGCTCAGGGCCCAAAGAGGTTCAGTTACGTCCCTTATGTCCCCAATCAGTCTGTCTAAAATCAATAAGATCAAATCAAATAACCTGAAATTCACTTCATCAGGAAAACACAGACACTTTGTTGTAAACTCTCTGTGTTTCTGTGTCCTCATGTCACTTTGTGCCTGACCACCTCTCTGAATCCAGACTGACACACCCATGGGCGCTTGTCCCTGAGTGGAGACTGACAGGACCTGGGTTTGATATGACGGGTTTGTTCACATGGTGTTTATCATTCATATAAAAAGAACAAGAGTCTAGTTTTCATTTCAGGATCTTCATTGTGTCATGCTGCTTGAGATAAATTGAAGATGTTGTTTTTTAACCAAAATGTGATCAAAAGTAAGATTGAAGAAGGTTTTTAGATGGTTTGGGCAGTGAGTGTTGAAACTCCTCCTCCTCCTCCTCCTCCTCCTCCTCAGGGTCTTTATAAGCTTCAGTCTCTCTCCTCCTCCTCACACTCCAACCCTGCTCACCTCTCAGCTGGACAGTAAGGGACGTTTACAGCACACACTGACAACATGCTGGGGAGCCTCTGCACTCTCATCACTGCTCTAACATGTAAGGAGGCTGACTTCCTGCAGCTTTCAGCTCATGTTGGATTCATCAGTCTGTGTGTTTCTCTTGACTCCATGTCATCTTGTTGTTTCCAGGTGTGAGTGCTGTTACCGTGGTGACACAGCAGCCTCCTGTTGTGACTGTGAGGAGAGGAGAGACAGCCAACATGGACTGTAACCTGGGGACCTCAACAAATACTGTCTACTGGTACAAACAGATTCCTGGAGGAGTTCCTCAGTATGTTGTGCGGATGCGTCACAGCTGGAGCTCTCCAAGCTATGGCTCTGGTTTCTCCTCTCCTAAATTCACCTCCACTCATCAGTCAAAATCAGATTATCGTTTGATCATCAGCTCTGTGGAGGAGGGAGACTCTGCAGTTTATTACTGTAACACATGGGACACCTCTGTCAATGAGGCCGTATCACAGTGATTTACACCATGACAAAAACCTCCTCACTCTCACTTCTGCTTTTTGAGTCTCTGACATATCTACTAACGCTCTCTTATCTTCCTGACAAAGGATTACAAAATAACCACCTCCTATTTTCTCACTGTCCTTTTGATTGACTAACAAACTCACATTTTTCTCTTTATTTCAATTTATCACTCATCCACATTGTGACTTTCTGCTGATTTAATTCTCACATTTGAGGCTTTAAGTTTCTGATCAGCTCATAAAACAGAATCAACTCTGTACAGTCAGTTTAATGAAACAGTTTTACATTGAGATTGTTTCAGACTCTTCAGTCAAAAGTTTGTTAGAAATAAATGAACAAAGAGAAGAAGTTTGAAAAGTTCAGCTGAAACAATAAAGAGTTAAACTTAGAGGACTAACAGCTTTTTGTCTTCTTGACTGTGACCTTTGACCTCTCCTTAAAAAACAAAACAAAGCTCACCTATGAAATTTTTGACATCAGTTGAGTTGTTTTCCATCCAGACATTGATTCTTAATACTTTCACAACTTAAATAATAGAATAAATTGGCAGAAGAATGATCCTCATATTTTTAAACAATGTCATTTATTTGTTCAACCCTTTTTTCATCATGAAGAGAGGGGTCACAAATTCAACTCCTCCTCCTCCTCCTCCTCCTCCTCCTCCTCTTCCTCCTCCTCCTCCTCCTCAGGGTCTTTATAAGCTTCAGCCTCTCTCCTCCTCCTCACACTCCAACCCTGCTCACCTCTCAGCTGGACAGTAAGGGACGTTTACAGCACACACTGACAACATGCTGGGGAGCCTCTGCACTCTCATCACTGCTCTAACATGTAAGAGATTCTTCTCAGTCCTTTACCACACCATCATTTCACACACACACACCTCTGACTCTTGTCTTTTTCTCTGTGTGTTACAGATGTTGATGCAGTGATCGTTCTGACCCAGACTCCTGCTGTCCTCACAGTTTCTCCAGGACAAGAGGCTGTTCTCAGATGTAACATTCAGAGATATGATGATAGTAATGATGTCTACTGGTACAAACAGGTTCCTGGTGAAGCTCCTCAGTATGTTCTGAGCTTCTATCATTCTTACAGTTCACCTAACTTTGGATCAGGATTTTCCAGCAGAGCCAAAATGGGATGGCTCTGCTGATGCAGCTGCATCACAGTGATTTACACCATGACAAAAACCTCCTCACTGACACTTCTGCTTTTTGAGCGTCTCACACACTTACTCTTTCTTCCTATAACCACATGTAGTCTGCAGCTTTAAAAACATAACCAACTCTTTTCATCATTAAGAAGAAATTTATAATAATATATTTTTAAAGAACATGCTAATTTTTTTTAGTCTTTGTTTTTTTGGGCTTATTTCTCCTTTAATATGCAACACTGAGCAACGCGTGAAAAAACTTCTGTTTAAGATCAACATTTAGAGGATTTTTTTCCCCTTTTTTAACATGTCAGATATTAAGGTGAACTTTATTAAAAATGAAAAGCTTTAATATCTGAGACCACAGGCTTTCTGAACAGCTTATTCATCAGATTGACTTTTGTTTCTTCAGCTTCATAAGCGCTTCTTCAAGAACAATATTCCTCATCCTTCAAACACAAAGTCTGTCTGCACAAAATGATCAAAGAGAAAAAACAGGTTAATAAAGTTCAGCTTAAACACAGCAGAAGAAAATACTGAATCAAACTGTTGAACTATACTGTTCATTAAAGAATGATAGTTTTTAAATAAGTCTATATGAACTCATTGCACAAATAATTCAGCAAAACAGCAACAGAAGCAGATTTTTTTTTTTAAACTTCATCAACCAAAATGGAAAAAGAATCATTTTATTGTTAAAACATGTGTTTGCACCAGAACAGATGTGTTAAGAGAATATTCAAGTCTATTGTCAGACCAGAGTCAAGTTTAATAAAGATCCTCTTTAGACTGGATTTAAAGAAGGAATCCGTGTCAGCAGATCAAACTCTAAAAAGTCGACTATCTCAGAGCGAAAAAGTGTCCCAGCAGAAAATGTTGGATCAGGCTTAGTTTTTAGTCTGGACTCTGGACCAGTCAGCAGGTCTAACCCTGCAGATCTGAGAGGACTTACTGAAGAGGAAAGAGTAAAAGTTCACTCTGGTCTGAAAGATTAAAAAGGATTTTAAAAGAAGAAACAAACATAGGGAGATTAAAATTTGGTCAAAGTCAGGAGTCAGTCAGCAACTTTTTACAGTCTGAATAATGACTACAACTGAAGCATGAGGAAAAACAGTAATAAAGGTTTAAATACAACTGAGAATTGAGACTGTCAGTAAAAAAAGGAATAACAACAGAGTTAAGAGGGTAAACTCCTCCTCCTCCTCCTCCTCCTCCTCCTCCTCCTCCTCCTCCTCCTCCTCCTCCTCAAGGTCTTTATAAGCTTCAGTCTCTCTCCTCCTCCTCACACTCCAACCCTGCTCACCTCTCAGCTGGACAGTAAGGGACGTTTACAGCACACACTGACAACATGCTGGGGAGCCTCTGCACTCTCATCACTGCTCTAACATGTAAGGAGGCTGACTTCCTGCAGCTGTGAGGAGAGGAGAGACAGCCAACATGGACTGTAACCTGGGGACTGTGACTAATTATCAAGTTTTGTGGTACAAACAGATTCCTGGAGGAGTTCCTCAGTTTATTCTGTATAACCATCACAGCTTCAGCTCTCCACATTATGGCTCTGGTTTCTCCTCTCCTAAATTCACCTCCACTCATCAGTCACAGACAGATTATCGTTTGACCATCAGCTCTGTGGAGGAGGGAGACTCTGCAGTTTATTACTGTAGCACATGGGACAACTCTGTTGATGAGTACGTATCACAGTGATTTACACCATGACAAAAACCTCCTCACTCTCACTTCTGCTTTTTAACACATCTACTTTGTAACTTCAAGCATCAGACATAAAGTCCTTTCCAACTTTAAGATCTTGTCATATTTTCTTTAAAGGAAAAAGATAAACCTCACAAACCTTTTTATAATACATATTCTACATTTGTATTTTGTCTTCACTTTTGCTTTCTTATGAAGTGATCATAATCATTAATTAAACTGAGAGGATCTTTGAAGGTTAAAACCATAGACTGTTTAGAGTAAGGACATCATGACTCCCTTCTTTGTACAAATTTGAAGTAGAAATTGCTCTCAGTATTTCCAGGATTTCCTTAATTTTTCTGAAATTGTTGTTACGAAGCTCAGCTCAAACAGCATATTCCCCAGGATGTCCTACAAGACCTTCTTGTGCCTCTTGACTGTATCCAAGTGTCAATCAAAGAAAATATGATGTCATATCCTGTTTTTATAACCTCTAATAATTTAAAACATTAAACTGCTCAGAAAAAAGAGACTTAAGCACAAACCAGTCTAATGATAACTACATGTCCACTTCACAACCAGGGTGAGAAAAATTAATATGAGTTATATTTAATTTTTAAAGATTGTCCACAGGTCTATTCATTTTGCTGAAGAAGGCGGGGTTTATGTCCTATACTGCAACCAGTCACTAGGGGGTGCTGTTCTCATCCAGCATGGAAGCAGATGACGTCCATTCTAGATACAGTCTATGAGTAAAACCAAACATACCATTTTGTTTTTAACATCCTTCATATCAACAAGTAAACTAAATAATTACAAACGTTTCCAGCTCTAAACTTCAATTCAAGTCCACTCTGTTGAAAAGTTGTGGAGACGGATCAGACAGAGAAGTGTTCAAATGCAAAAAGGAAATAAACGTTTGTGTTCACTCTGTAACTTCCTAAAAATTCAATGTTCATTTCTTAGAGTGTGGACTTCTAAAACAGATCATGAAACGAGTCTGAACTTGTGTCTTGTCTTTCTGACCTGTTTCTTGTTTCCCATGTAGTCTACGTCTTTCTCTCTTTCTTTGTTGGTTCATTGTCTCTGTTGTCTTTGCCATGTGAACCCTACCTCGTGTTTACACTGTGAATTTTGTTTCTTTGGATTTCTTGCTCCAGGTATTTTCTTTTTTTTGCATTTGACTTTTCAGTTGGACATTTGAAAATATAAGTTTTTGCTATTCTGGTTAAGTCTTTTGTTTAAAAAAAAATTCTGAGCTCTGGATGCGGTTCTCCTCTTTTGTTTAGTTCAAACATGACATGAGGATTACAAAGCTGAATATCCAAACTCCTCCTCCTCCTCCTCCTCCTCAGGGTCTTTATAAGCTTCAGTCTCTCTCCTCCTCCTCACACTCCAACCCTGCTCACCTCTCAGCTGGACAGTAAGGGACGTTTACAGCACACACTGACAACATGCTGGGGAGCCTCTGCACTCTCATCACTGCTCTAACATGTAAGGAGGCTGACTTCCTGCAGCTTTCAGCTCATGTTGGATTCATCAGTCTGTGTGTTTCTCTTGACTCCATGTCATTTTGTTGTTTCCAGGTGTGAGTGCTGTTACCGTGGTGACACAGAAGCCTCCTGTTGTAGCTGTGAGGAGAGGAGAGACAGTCAACATGGACTGTAACCTGGGGACTGTGACAAATCAAGCAGCTCAGTGGTACAAACAGATTCCTGGAGGAGTTCCTCAGCATGTTATTAGTTGGTATCATGGCTGGAGCTCTCCAAGATATGGCTCTGGTTTCTCCTCTCCTAAATTCACCTCCACTCATCAGTCACAATCAGATTATCGTTTGACCATCAGCTCTATGGAGGAGGGAGACTCTGCAGTTTATTACTGTAAAACATGGGACAGCTCTGGCACTAAGCTTGTATCACAGTGATTTACACCATGACAAAAACCTCCTCACTCTCACTTCTGCTTTTTGAGTCTCTGACATATCTACTAACGCTCTCTTTAGCTTCCTAACACAGGATTAAAAAATAACCACCATCTTTTTCCTTACTGTCCTTTTGATTGACTAACAAACTCACATTTATCTTTATTTCAATTTATCACTCATCCACATTGTGACTTTCTGCTGATTTAATTATCATATTTGAGGCTTTAAGTTTCTGATCAGCTCATAAAACAGAATCAACTCTGTACAGTCAGTTTAATGAAACAGTTTTACATTGAGATTGTTTCAGACTCTTCAGTCAAAAGTTTGTTAGAAATAAATGAACAAACAGAAGAAGTTTGAAAAGTTCAGCTGAAACAATAAAGAGTTAAACTTAGAGGACTAACAGCTTTTTGTCTTCTTGACTGTGACCTTTGACCTCTCCTTAAAAAAACAAAACAAAGCTCACCTATGAAATTTTTGACATCAGTTGAGTTGTTTTCCATCCAGACATTGATTCTTTATACTTTCACAACTTAAATAATAGAATAAATTGGCAGAAGAATGATCCTCATATTTTTAAACAATGTCATTTATTTGTTCAACCCTTTTTTCATCATGAAGAGAGGGGTCACAAATTCAACTCCTCCTCCTCTTCTTCCTCCTCCTCAGGGTCTCTAACATGTAAGAGATTCTTCTCAGTCCTTTACCACACCATCATTTCACACACACACACCTTTGACTCTTGTCTTTTTCTCTGTGTGTTACAGATGTTGATGCAGTGATTGTTCTGACCCAGACTCCTGCTGTCCTCACAGTTTCTCCAGGACAAGAGGCTGTTCTCAGATGTAACATTCAGAGAGATGATGGATATTATGTCAGCTGGCACAAACAGGTTCCTGGTGAAGCTCCTCAGTATGTTCTGAAATTCTATCATTCTCACAGTTCACCCAACGACTATGGATCAGGATTCTCCTCAGACAGATTCAACTCTAAATCCACATCAAACATAGATTATCAGTTCATCATAAAGAGAGTAGAGGCAGGAGACTCTGCTGTTTATTACTGTCAGACACGGGATAGCTCTGCTAATGCAGCTGTATCACAGTGATTTACACCATGACAAAAACCTCCTCACAGTCTGACTACAGTGTCTCTAAAATCTGACCACATTAACTCAAGAAAACCAGAAAAACTTCAATCAAAGCAGAAAGATCACTGAATAAACTCTTATAAAACGATGAAATCCTCAGATTAAAGTCCATCTTTGTTTTGATAAAGTGATCAGAGATGAAAGATTGAGACATTGAGAGTGAAAGTTGGTCTCAACAGGATGTTTCAGTTCCTCTCCCCTCATTAGTGAGAGTCAGGAGGTTTTTGTACGGCCATGTATACAAACTGAATCACTGTGGTATTCGGACAAGGAACCAAGCTGATCGTCTCAGGTAAGTTCTTTAAAAATCATCTTTAAATAGGATTGTTTCTCTGATTCTGACAAAATATGGCACAGTTATCATGTTAATAACTCTTAAATGAACATTTTCAGTAAATAATAGACATAATTTTCTCTGTTTGATGTTTATTCCCTGTTACTTGGCAGCATGTTGGTTCTTCTCAAAGAGTTTGAGGCTGAGACATTTTTAACTTTAAAGAAAAAGTGAAACAAACGGACTTAATATAATTCATTATTGTTTGTATGGGTTAAAATTTCACAATAATATGTTCAGTAATATACAAGTATAATCTGATTAAGTTACTGTAGAGCAGTCTGTGAGACTAATAACAGAGATAGAATAAGTTACTGTATTTTTGGATCATATCAAATTTGCTGAATTGAAGTTGCTTTTTATGGTTTCATGTAAATCTGATTCAGTTTTAGAGTCTTTGTCTTTTATTTTGTAAGTTTGATCGGCTGTAAAAGCAGATGACGACTTATAAATGGTTTATGATTTCAAGAGCTCTGAACTTGGAAAATTACAGACTGAGTCTTTAAAAAGTTAAACTGGTGTAATTTTAGTTTCTACAGGCTGATGTAACATGTTTTCACTTTTTAAAAGGATGTAGTCAGACCGGGTTTATTGTGAACACTGCACATTGATCTCTCTTTTTATTATTGACTTAATCTGTGACTGTCGTGTGTGTTTGTGTGTTTCAGGCTCCAGCCTCTCTCCTCCCGTCCTCACAGTCTTCCCTCCGTCCCGTGCTGAGCTCCAGTCCAACAAAGCCTCTCTGCTCTGTCTGTCCAGTCAGTCTGTGCCTTTTGCAGATGTGAGCTGGTTGGCTGCTGGGAGTCCAGTGAGCAGTGGGGTCTCCACCAGCACGGCTGTTCGGAAAGCGGACCAGACTTTCCACATCAGCAGCTCTCTGTCCATCACCCCCTCTGAGTGGACCACGGGCAAAGTCTTCACGTGTAAAGTGTCTCTGGACTCTCAGACTTCAGAGAAAGAGATCAGCAAGTCCAGCTGTCCCTCTGCAGAAGAGTAGAGGAGCACAGAGAGCATTTCCAACCTGCTTCTTGACTCTTTGTGCTCTTTGCTCATTACAAGCTTCACATGCTAGAAAAGATGAGTCTGCATGCTCGGAGCTAATGTTGAGACAGTTAGCTGGAGGAGTCGTATCAGCTTTGCTGCTGCTGCTGCTTTTATCAACAATCCTTCAATAAAACATTTGAAAGCCTGCAAATCAAAAAGTGTCTTTCCCTCTTTTTATTTATTCTCCTCCTTTTGATCATTCATTTTCTTTCATGTCTTTAAATGTTGATTTTAGTGTTTCTTAGAGCCAAAGACTCACAGCTCACAGACATATTTCTCTTCAATAACGTCTTTAGTTTGTATTTTTTCATTCAAATATCAACATTAATTTTAGGTGTTGAACATATGGATTTATATAAAGCCAGTCTTTCTGCTTTTAGTCTGTAGTTATGATGACAGAGAAGTCAAACAAATGAAGAATCAACTGAAACTGAGTTTTCATCCTCCATCAGTGAAGCGTCACCTCTCTGCTCCTCCTCCCAGGATGCACCTGCAGACCTGCTCTCTGTATTCAAAGTAGCATGCAAATGAAGAGGTCAAAGGTCAGCTCTGTGTTAGATCATGTGACATCTCTTCAAATACAGTTTTCACTTCCTATGATTGAATTAAACTTAAATGTGCAGAATCAAAGTTTAAAATGAGGTCTGAAGAAGATTTATCATCAAAACTTTAAACAAGAAGAAGAAAAAGACGATTTAATAAAGATCCAGAAAAAACATAAATTTATCTGAATTTAACAGAGGAACAAATCAATGATCACAAAACTGACAAAATTATTTATTCTACTTGAGATAGTTTCATGTTTTGTTCTGCTTTGGGATGTTGCGGTTCAAAAAAAATCACGAGTCAGCATAAAAAAATCTCTCCACAGAATATTAAACAGAAGTAAATGATTCAAAGTCTGAAGATGAAGGTGAAGCTCCTCCTCCTCCTCCTCAGTCTCAGTGTTGTATTAAATTGCTCCTCCAGCACCTCCTCTCCTCATCCTCAGATCTGTCAGCAGTCAGCTCACTTTCCAAGTTGTAAGGACGTTTACAGCACACACTGACAACATGCTGGGGAGCCTCTGCACTCTCATCACTGCTCTAACATGTAAGGAGGCTGACTTCCTGCAGCTTTCAGCTTATGTTGGATTCATCAGTCTGTGTGTTTCTCTTGACTCCGTGTCATCTTGTTGTTTCCAGGTGTGAGTGCTGTTACCGTGGTGACACAGCAGCCTCCTGTTGTGACTGTGAGGAGAGGAGAGACAGTCAACATGGACTGTAACCTGGGGACTGTGACAAATCAACCAGCTTACTGGTACAAACAGATTCCTGGAGGAGTTCCTCAGCATATTTTGTATTACCATCACAGCTACAGCTCTCCAGATTATGGCTCTGGTTTCTCCTCTCCTAAATTCACCTCCACTCATCAGTCACAATCAGATTATCGTTTGACCATCAGCACTGTGGAGGAGGGAGACTCTGCAGTTTATTACTGTAAAACATGGGACAGCTCTGTCAATGAGCACATATCACAGTGATTTACACCATGACAAAAACCTCCTCACTCTCACTTCTGCTTTTTGAGTCTCTGACATATCTACTAACACTCTCTGCAGCTTCCTAACACAATATCAAAAAATAACCACCCTCTATTTTCTCTGTCCTTTTGATTGACTAACAAACTCACATATTTCTCTTTATTTCAATTTCACACTCATCCACATTGTGACTTTCTGCTGATTTAATTCTCATATTTGAGGCTTTAAGTTTCAGATCAGCTCATAAAACAGAATCAACTCTGTACAGTCAGTTTAATGAAACAGTATTACATTGAGATTGTTTCAGACTCTTCAGTCAAAAGTTTGTTAGAAATAAATGAACAAACAGAAGAAGTTTGAAAAGTTCAGCTGAAACAATAAAGAGTTAAACTTAGAGGACTAACAGCTTTTTGTCTTCTTGACTGTGACCTTTGACCTCTCCTTAAAAAAACAAAACAAAGCTCACCTATGAAATTTTTGACAATCAGTTGAGTTGTTTTCCATCCAGACATTGATTCTTAATACTTTCACAACTTAAATAATAGAATAAATTGGCAGAAGAATGATCCTCATATTTTTAAACAATGTCATTTATTAGTTCAACCCTTTTTTCATCATGAAGAGAGGGGTCACAAATTCAACTCCTCCTCCTCCTCCTCCTCCTCTTCTTCCTCCTCCTCAGGGTCTTTATAAGCTTCAGTCTCTCTCCTCCTCCTCACACTCCAACCCTGCTCACCTCTCAGCTAGACAGTAAGGGACGTTTACAGCACACACTGACAACATGCTGGGGAGCCTCTGCACTCTCATCACTGCTCTAACATGTAAGGAGGCTGACTTCCTGCAGCTTTCAGCTCATGTTGGATTCATCAGTCTGTGTGTTTCTCTTGACTCCATGTCATCTTGTTGTTTCCAGGTGTGAGTGCTGTTACCGTGGTGACACAGAAGCCTCCTGTTGTAGCTGTGAGGAGAGGAGAGACAGTCAACATGGACTGTAACCTGGGGACTGTGATAAATACTGTCTTCTGGTACAAACAGATTCCTGGAGGAGTTCCTCAGTTTATTCTGTATTACTATCACACTCTAAGCTCTCCAAGCTATGGCTCTGGTTTCTCCTCTCCTAAATTCACCTCCACTCATCAGTCAAAATCAGATTATCGTTTGATCATCAGCTCTGTGGAGGAGGGAGACTCTGCAGTTTATTACTGTAAAACATATGACAACTCTGTCAGTGAGTTCGTATCACAGTGATTTACACCATGACAAAAACCTCCTCACTCTCACTTCTGCTTTTTTGAGCTTCAGGTTCATCTTCCAGAGCCCTCTGTAACTTACCTGATCAGACTTCAGACTAACTGCTTATATCATTCTAATACTTTTGATTTTCTTTGATGGGGAATAATAATGTTGAAAAACTCACAAATTTCTCTAGTTACTGTTCAAAGTGTTTTTTAGTTGTTATTTTGCCTGAAATCTTGGTTTATTCATGTGAGCTAACTGAACACACAACTGGTCAAGACCAAAAAGTGACAAATAAAGACAATCACTGAGATAAGGTTTTTGTTTCCTATAAAGTTGTAAAAACTAAGAGGACCTTAAGAGTAAAACAAACATACTTTGTTGTTTTTAACTCTGTTCTCATCAGAGGCCCCGGTCCTTGTGCAGGCTCCAAGGCCGGACTCGGTCTCTGTACCTGCTCCCCAGCCTGTTCCTGCTTCTGGTTTGGAGTGTCGCCCCCCTGAACTACTTACCTGCAGAGGTCACATGCCCTCCTCCCAGGCCCCCTCCACCCACCCTGCTTTGGTTCTGAGATTTCTAGGATTTCTTGAATCTTTCAGAGAGGGGTTATGTCATGATAGGCTCTTGTTAGTTTCGTTTATCCTGGTTTTATATTTAGTTTAATTTCTGAGTCTGTTTCCTCGTCTTTCTGTTTCCCTGTGTTCATTATTCTTCTGTTCTTGTTCTATCTCACTGTTTTATTTTGTAGTAGTCAATCTCTGGGTATCAAGTCTAGTTTTACTTCCTTAGTTTTCCTCCTTTGTTGATTACTCAAGAGTCTCACCTGTGTCTTGTCGTCCATGTTGTCTCAGCCTCATGAACCATAATTCATGTCCTCGTGTTTTCCCTGTGCCTTTTTGTTTCTTTGCTTGTTTTTGGTGTTTTTGGTTTATTGCATTTGGATTTTTCAGTTCAAAGTAAGTTTTTGTTGTTTCAGTCTTTTGTTTGGTTAAAAAGTTCAGTGTCTAAAGTGAGGTTAAAGTCCATCTTTGTTTTGATAAAGTGATCAGAGTGATGGTGAAAGATTGAGACGTTGAGAGTGAAAGTCGGTCTCAACAGGATGTTTCAGTTCCTCTCCCCTCATTATTGAGAGTCAGGAGGTTTTTGTACGGCCATGTATACAAACTGAATCACTGTGGTATTCGGACAAGGAACCAAGCTGATCGTCTCGGGTAAGTTCTTTAAAAATCATTGTTCAACCTTCTTATTGTCTGTTTCTGATTCCTGTTTGATGAAACTCTTGATTTGACTTGTTCAAAACCTTCAGTGGTATTTTAGGACACATTTCTCTGCTTTAAAATCCAGTTTAGAAACAGTCCTGAGCTTTGCTGTAATCATCAAAACAAGATGAATATTCTGTATCTGACTGAAATCGATCTAAAATCATCTATACGTATGTTTCTGTTTATTTTGAATCACTGAACTTGTTCAGTAAAATTCAGATGGATTAGTTTAGATCTTCTTCAAAAGCTGACGTGATTTCATGCAAAGATAAAAAATCCGAATGAAGAGAATATCTTTGATATTTACTGAAAAAGGACAAAATATTTAATGGTTGATTTTATTTTTCTGACATTTAATCAAAATTGATCAAGTTTTGATGAATCATTTCAATTTGAATGGTGCGGTCTTTGTCCTAAACCAGTCATTGAAATAATTCTGTATTTTATAATGTGATAAAACTCAAAGACTGTGATTCTTATGGATGAACAAAGTCTGGCTGAGTGTTGATGTCTGGATATTATCTTTGCTGCTGGAAAAAAAAAGTGTTTTAAAATCCTGTTGGTGAAAAATAAGTGAGTTTTTCATTTTGATGATCTCCAACTTCAGATCCTATTTTGTTCGACACTGAGGGAGACTTTAGGAAACTGTTTCAACATGAACCTCCAAGTGACAGATCAAGTCCTCTTGTTATGATCTTGAGTACGGGGCTTGTGTTTTTATCAGCGTGTTGTTATCATGTCAAATGACCAATACTTGAATATTGATGATTTGTGTGTGTTTGTGTGTTTCAGGCTCCAGCCTCTCTCCTCCCGTCCTCACAGTCTTCCCTCCGTCCCGTGCTGAGCTCCAGTCCAACAAAGCCTCTCTGCTCTGTCTGTCCAGTCAGTCTGTGCCTTTTGCAGATGTGAGCTGGTTGGCTGCTGGGAGTCCAGTGAGCAGTGGGGTCTCCACCAGCACGGCTGTTCGGCAAGCGGACCAGACTTTCCACATCAGTAGCTCTCTGTCCATCACCCCCTCTGAGTGGACCACGGGCAAAGTCTTCACGTGTAAAGTGTCTCTGGGCTCTCAGACCTCACAGAAAGAGATCAGCAAGTCCAGCTGTCCCTCTGCAGAAGAGTAGAGGAGCACAGAGAGCATTTCCAACCTGCTTCTTGACTCTTTGTGCTCTTTGCTCAATACAAGCTTCACATGCTAGAAAAGATGAGTCTGCATGCTCGGAGCTAATGTTTAGACAGTTAGCTGGAGGAGTGGGATCAGCTTTGCTGCTGCTGCTGCTTTTATCAACAATCCTTCAATAAAACATTTGAAAGCCTGCAAATCAAAAAGTGTCTTTCCCTCTTTTTATTTATTCTCCTCCTTTTGATCATTCATTTTCTTTCATGTCTTTAAATGTTGATTTTAGTGTTTCTTAGAGCCAAAGACTCACAGCTCACAGACATATTTCTCTTCAATAACGTCTTTAGTTTGTATTTTTTCATTCAAATATCAACATTAATTTTAGGTGTTGAACATATGGATTTATATAAAGCCAGTCTTTCTGCTTTTAGTCTGTAGTTATGATGACAGAGAAGTCAAACAAATGAAGAATCAACTGAAACTGAGTTTTCATCCTCCATCAGTGAAGCGTCACCTCTCTGCTCCTCCTCCCAGGATGCACCTGCAGACCTGCTCTCTGTATTCAAAGTAGCATGCAAATGAAGAGGTCAAAGGTCAGCTCTGTGTTAGATCATGTGACATCTCTTCAAATACAGTTTTCACTTCCTATGATTGAATTAAACTTAAATGTGCAGAATCAAAGTTTAAAATGAGGTCTGAAGAAGATTTATCATCAAAACTTTAAACAAGAAGAAGAAAAAGACGATTTAATAATGATCCAGAAAAAAACATAAATTTATCTGAATTTAACAGAGGAACAAATCAATGATCACAAAACTGACAAAATTATTTATTCTACTTGAGATAGTTTCATGTTTTGTTCTGCTTTGGGATGTTGCGGTTCAAAAAAAATCACGAGTCAGCATAAAAAAATCTCTCCACAGAATATTAAACAGAAATAAATGATTCAAAGTCTGAAGATGAAGGTGAAGCTCCTCCTCCTCCTCCTCAGTCTCAGTGTTGTATTAAATTGCTCCTCCAGCACCTCCTCTCCTCATCCTCAGATCTGTCAGCAGTCAGCTCACTTTCCAAGTTGTAAGGACGTTTACAGCACACACTGACAACATGCTGGGGAGCCTCTGCACTCTCATCACTGCTCTAACATGTAAGGAGGCTGACTTCCTGCAGCTTTCAGCTTATGTTGGATTCATCAGTCTGTGTGTTTCTCTTGACTCCATGTCATCTTGTTGTTTCCAGGTGTGAGTGCTGTTACCGTGGTGACACAGCAGCCTCCTGTTGTGACTGTGAGGAGAGGAGAGACAGTCAACATGGACTGTAACCTGGGGACTGTGACAAATCAACCAGCTTACTGGTACAAACAGATTCCTGGAGGAGTTCCTCAGCATATTTTGTATTACCATCACAGCTACAGCTCTCCAGATTATGGCTCTGGTTTCTCCTCTCCTAAATTCACCTCCACTCATCAGTCACAATCAGATTATCGTTTGACCATCAGCACTGTGGAGGAGGGAGACTCTGCAGTTTATTACTGTAAAACATGGGACAGCTCTGTCAATGAGCACATATCACAGTGATTTACACCATGACAAAAACCTCCTCACTCTCACTTCTGCTTTTTGAGTCTCTGACATATCTACTTAAGCTCTCTCTAGCTTCCTAACAGAGGATCAAAAAATGACTTCTTTCTATATTCCCACTCTACTTTTGATTGACTAACAAACTCACATTTTTCTCTTTATTTCAATTTATCACTCATCCACATTGTGACTTTCTGCTAATTTAATTCTCATATTTGAGGCTTTAAGTTTCTGATCAGCTCATAAAACAGAATCAACTCTGTACAGTCAGTTTAATGAAACAGTATTACATTGAGATTGTTTCAGACTCTTCAGTCAAAAGTTTGTTAGAAATAAATGAACAAACAGAAGAAGTTTGAAAAGTTCAGCTGAAACAATAAAGAGTTAAACTTAGAGGACTAACAGCTTTTTGTCTTCTTGACTGTGACCTTTGACCTCTCCTTAAAAAAACAAAACAAAGCTCACCTATGAAATTTTTGACAATCAGTTGAGTTGTTTTCCATCCAGACATTGATTCTTAATACTTTCACAACTTAAATAATAGAATAAATTGGCAGAAGAATGATCCTCATATTTTTAAACAATGTCATTTATTAGTTCAACCCTTTTTTCATCATGAAGAGAGGGGTCACAAATTCAACTCCTCCTCCTCCTCCTCCTCTTCTTCCTCCTCCTCAGGGTCTTTATAAGCTTCAGTCTCTCTCCTCCTCCTCACACTCCAACCCTGCTCACCTCTCAGCTAGACAGTAAGGGACGTTTACAGCACACACTGACAACATGCTGGGGAGCCTCTGCACTCTCATCACTGCTCTAACATGTAAGGAGGCTGACTTCCTGCAGCTTTCAGCTCATGTTGGATTCATCAGTCTGTGTGTTTCTCTTGACTCCATGTCATCTTGTTGTTTCCAGGTGTGAGTGCTGTTACCGTGGTGACACAGAAGCCTCCTGTTGTAGCTGTGAGGAGAGGAGAGACAGTCAACATGGACTGTAACCTGGGGACTGTGATAAATACTGTCTTCTGGTACAAACAGATTCCTGGAGGAGTTCCTCAGTTTATTCTGTATTACTATCACACTCTAAGCTCTCCAAGCTATGGCTCTGGTTTCTCCTCTCCTAAATTCACCTCCACTCATCAGTCAAAATCAGATTATCGTTTGATCATCAGCTCTGTGGAGGAGGGAGACTCTGCAGTTTATTACTGTAACACATGGAAAGACAGCAAGGCCTTATCACAGTGATTTACACCATGACAAAAACCTCCTCACTCTCACTTCTGCTTTTTTGAGCTTCAGGTTCATCTTCCAGAGCCCTCTGTAACTTACCTGATCAGACTTCAGACTAACTGCTTATATCATTCTAATACTTTTGATTTTCTTTGATAGGGAATAATAATGTTGAAAAACTCACAAATTTCTCTAGTTACTGTTCAAAGTGTTTTTTAGTTGTTATTTTGCCTGAAATCTTGGTTTATTCATGTGAGGTAACTGAACACACAACTGGTCAAGACCAAAAAGTGACAAATAAAGACAATCACTGAGATAAGGTTTTTGTTTTCTATAAAGTTGTAAAAACTAAGAGGACCTTAAGAGTAAAACAAACATCCTTTGTTGTTTTTAACTCTGCTCCTGTTGGAGGCCCCGGTCCTTGTGCAGGCTCCAAGGCTGGACTCGGTCTCTGTACCTGCTCCCCAGCCTGTTCCTGCTTCTGGTTTGGAGTGTCGCCCCCCTGAACTACTTACCTGCAGAGGTCACATGCCCTCCTCCCAGGCCCCCTCCACCCACCCTGCTTTGGTTCTGAGATTTCTAGGATTTCTTGAATCCTTAAGAGAGGGGTTATGTCATGATAGGCTCCTGTTACTTTAGTTTATCCTGGTTTTATATTTAGTTTAATTTCTGAGTCTGTTTCCTCGTGTTTCTGTTTCCCTGTGTTCATTATTCTTCTGTTCTTGTTCTATCTCACTGTTTTATTTTGTAGTAGTCAATCTCTGGGTATCAAGTCTAGTTTAACTTCCTTAGTTTTCCTCCTTTGTTGATTCCTCAAGAGTCTCACCTGTGTCTTGTCGTCCATGTTGTCTCAGCCATATGAACCCGACTTCATGTCCTCGTGTTTTCCCTGTGCCTTTTTGTTTCTTTGCTTGTTCCTGGTGTTTTTGGTTTATTGCATTTGGATTTTTCAGTTCAAAGAAAGTTTTTGTTGTTTCAGTCTTTTGTTTGATTAAAAACTTTAAAGTTCAGGGTCTAAAGTGAGGTTAAAGTCCATCTTTGTTTTGATAAAGTGATCAGAGTGATGGTGAAAGATTGAGACGTTGAGAGTGAAAGTCGGTCTCAACAGGATGTTTCAGTTCCTCTCCCCTCATTATTGAGAGTCAGGAGGTTTTTGTACGGCCATGTATACAAACTGAATCACTGTGGTATTCGGACAAGGAACCAAGCTGATCGTCCCAAGTAAGTTCTTTAAAAATCATTGTTCAACCTTCTTATTGTCTGTTTCTGATTCCTGTTTGATGAAACTCTTGATTTGACTTGTTCAAAACCTTCAGTGGTATTTTAGGACACATTTCTCTGCTTTAAAATCCAGTTTAGAAACAGTCCTGAGCTTTGCTGTAATCATCAAAACAAGATGAATATTCTGTATCTGACTGAAATCGATCTAAAATCATCTTTACGTATGTTTCTGTTTATTTTGAATCACTGAACTTGTTCAATCAAATTCAGATGGATTAGTTTAGATCGTCTTCAAAAGCTGACGTGATTTCATGCAAAGATAAAAAATCCAAATGAAGAGAATATCTTTGATATTTACTGAAAAAAGACAAAATATTTAATGGTTGATTTTATTTTTTTAAGTTATATTTTTAAGTTTTAATGAATCATTTCAATTTGAATGGTGCGGTCTTTGTCCTAAACCAGTCATTGAAATAATTCTGTATTTTATAATGTGTTAAAACTCAAAGACTGTGATTCTTATGGATGAACAAAGTCTGTCTGAGTGTTGATGTCTGGATATTATCTTTGCTGCTGAAAAAAAAGTGTTTTAAAATCCTGTTGGTGGAAAATAAGTGAGTTTTTCATTTTGATGATCTCCAACTTCAGATCCTATTTTGTTCGACACTGAGGGAGACTTTAGGAAACTGTTTCAACCTGAACCTCCAAGTGACAGATCAAGTCCTCTTGTTATGATCTTGAGTACGGGGCTTGTGTTTTCATCAGCGTGTTGTTATCATGTCAAATGATCAATAATTGAATATTGATGATTTGTGTGTGTTTGTGTGTTTCAGGCTCCAGCCTCTCTCCTCCCGTCCTCACAGTCTTCCCTCCGTCCCGTGCTGAGCTCCAGTCCAACAAAGCCTCTCTGCTCTGTCTGTCCAGTCAGTCTGTGCCTTTTGCAGATGTGAGCTGGTTGGCTGCTGGGAGTCCAGTGAGCAGTGGGGTCTCCACCAGCACGGCTGTTCGGAAAGCGGACCAGACTTTCCACATCAGCAGCTCTCTGTCCATCACCCCCTCTGAGTGGACCACGGGCAAAGTCTTCACGTGTAAAGTGTCTCTGGACTCTCAGACTTCAGAGAAAGAGATCAGCAAGTCCAGCTGTCCCTCTGCAGAAGAGTAGAGGAGCACAGAGAGCATTTCCAACCTGCTTCTTGACTCTTTGTGCTCTTTGCTCATTACAAGCTTCACATGCTAGAAAAGATGAGTCTGCATGCTCGGAGCTAATGTTGAGACAGTTAGCTGGAGGAGTCGGATCAGCTTTGCTGCCGCTGCTGCTTTTATCAACAATCTTTCAATAAAACAATTGAAAGCCTGCAAATCAAAAAGTGTCTTTCCCTCTTTTTATTTATTCTCCTCCTTTTGATCATTTTCTTTCATGTCTTTAAATGTTGATTTGAGTGTTTCTTAGAGCCAAAGACTCACAGCTCACAGACATATTTCTCTTCAATAACGTCTTTAGTTTGTATTTTTTCATTCAAATATCAACATTAATTTTAGGTGTTGAACATATGGATTTATATAAAGCCAGTCTTTCTGCTTTTAGTCTGTAGTTATGATGACAGAGAAGTCAAACAAATGAAGAATCAACTGAAACTGAGTTTTCATCCTCCATCAGTGAAGCGTCACCTCTCTGCTCCTCCTCCCAGGATGCACCTGCAGACCTGCTCTCTGTATTCAAAGCAGCATGCAAATGAAGAGGTCAAAGGTCAGCTCTGTGTGTTAGATCATGTGACATCTCTTCAAATACAGTTTTAACTTCCTATAATTGAATTAAACTTAAATGTGCAGAATCAAAGTTTAAAATGAGGTCTGAAGAAGATTTATCATCAAAACTTTAAACAAGAAGAAGAAAAAGACGATTTAATAATGATCCAGAAAAAACATAAATTTATCTGAATTTAACAGAGGAACAAATCAATGATAACAAAACTGACAAAATTATTTATTTTATAAAAGATAGTTTCATGTTTTGTTTGGATTCAGGACTTCAGTATAAAAAAATCTCTCCTCAGAATATTGAACAAAAATAAATGATTCAAAGTCTGAAGATGAAGGTGAAGCTCCTCCTCCTCCTCCTCCTCCTCCTCAGTCTCAGTGTTGTATTAAATTGCTCCTCCAGCACCTCCTCTCCTCATCCTCAGATCTGTCAGCAGTCAGCTCACTTTCCAAGTTGTAAGGACGTTTACAGCACACACTGACAACATGCTGGGGAGCCTCTGCACTCTCATCACTGCTCTAACATGTAAGGAGGCTGACTTCCTGCAGCTTTCAGCTCATGTTGGATTCATCAGTCTGTGTGTTTCTCTTGACTCCATGTCATCTTGTTGTTTCCAGGTGTGAGTGCTGTTACCGTGGTGACACAGAAGCCTCCTGTTGTGACTGTGAGGAGAGGAGAGACAGCCAACATGGACTGTAACCTGGGGACTGTGACAAATAGTCGTGTCCGCTGGTACAAACAGATTCCTGGAGGAGTTCCTCAGTTTATTCTGTATAACTATCACAGCTGGAGCTCTCCAAAATATGGCTCTGGTTTCTCCTCTCCTAAATTCACCTCCACTCATCAGTCACAGACAGATTATCGTTTGATCATCAGCTCTGTGGAGGAGGGAGACTCTGCAGTTTATTACTGTCAGACATTGGACACCAATAATGCCGTATCACAGTGATTTACACCATGACAAAAACCTCCTCACTCTCACTTCTGCTTTTTGAGTCTCTGACATATCTACTAACACTCTCTCATGCATCTTCCTAACACAAGATTAAAAAATAACCACCTTCTATTTTCTCACTGTCCTTTTGATTGACTAACAAACTCACATTTTTCTCTTTATTTCAATTTATCACTCATCCACATTGTGACTTTCTGCTGATTTAATTCTCATATTTGAGGCTTTAGGTTTCTGATCAGCTCATAAAACAGAATCAACTCTGTACAGTCAGTTTAATGAAACAGTTTTACATTGAGATTATTTCAGACTCTTCAGTCAAAAGTTTGTTAGAAATAAATGAACAAACAGAAGAAGTTTGAAAAGTTCAGCTGAAACAATAAAGAGTTAAACTTAGAGGACTAACAGCTTTTTGTCTTCTTGACTGTGACCTTTGACCTCTCCTTAAAAAAACAAAACAAAGCTCACCTATGAAATTTTTGACAATCAGTTGAGTTGTTTTCCATCCAGACATTGATTCTTTATACTTTCACAACTTAAATAATAGAATAAATTGGCAGAAGAATGATCCTCATATTTTTAAACAATGTCATTTATTAGTTCAACCCTTTTTTCATCATGAAGAGAAGGGTCACAAATTCAACTCCTCCTCCTCCTCCTCCTCCTCCTCCTCCTCCTCTTCTTCCTCCTCCTCAGGGTCTTTATAAGCTTCAGTCTCTCTCCTCCTCCTCACACTCCAACCCTGCTCACCTCTCAGCTGGACAGTAAGGGACGTTTACAGCACACACTGACAACATGCTGGGGAGCCTCTGCACTCTCATCACTGCTCTAACATGTAAGGAGGCTGACTTCCTGCAGCTTTCAGCTCATGTTGGATTCATCAGTCTGTGTGTTTCTCTTGACTCCATGTCATCTTGTTGTTTCCAGGTGTGAGTGCTGTTACCGTGGTGACACAGAAGCCTCCTATTGTCGCAGTGAGGAGAGGAGAGACAGTCAACATGGACTGTAACCTGGGGACTGTGACGAATATTGCTGCCCACTGGTACAAACAGATTCCTGGAGGAGTTCTTCAGTATGTTGTTGGGATGTATCATGGTTGGAGTACTCCACATTATGGCTCTGGTTTCTCCTCTCCTAAATTCACCTCCACTTATCAGTCAAAATCAGATTATCGTTTGATCATCAGCTCTGTGGAGGAGGGAGACTCTGCAGTTTATTACTGTAACACAGGAGACCCCTCTGTCAGTGCACGAGTATCACAGTGATTTACACCATGACAAAAACCTCCTCACTCTCACTTCTGCCTTTTCACATGTTGATGCATCTTGATCTGAGAGAATCCGTCATTGTTATCTGCAACCTTGTATTTTCTCTCATTTTTTAATATTGAAACTTTAAAATCCTTTTTCTCCTGATTCTTAAATCCACTTTCACATCTGACTGGTATTGTCTGAATTCAATGAGGACAATAAAACCTAAAAACAAACTAATTATTTACTTGTGAGGTCAACAACATAAGCTCAAGCCTTTAGTCCATCACACTGCTAAAAAAAATCAAGGTTGACTTTAGATTCAGACTTTGGATTGACATTGAACTAATGATGATGATAAATTTTTTTTTATATATATATTTTCCTCACAAGGATTTAAACAAGTTGGCCAACAAATGAGAAGACTCTGCCAAAGTCCAAAAGATTTCTATCAGCTGTAACTGACTTCAAAATGTAGAAACATGATCATGTTAGCAAAAACAAAGGCCTGTAGGGGGCGCTCAGTGAAACATTTTCATTATTAATGAGAGAGAAAGACCAGGAGCTGAATTCACTGACACAGAGATTCAGACGAGCTGGAGGATGAAGTCGTCTGGTCTGTGGTGATGGAGTCTTCATGGATTTTGACAACAGAGAGCAACAATGTCCAGACAGGCTGTGACCCTGTGGATGATGAAGACATGGTGGGATGGGAGAGGAGTGAGAGGGATGTGGGGTCTAAGTTTGTGTCTATGCACAGAGAAGTGAGAGGATGTTGGGCCAATCCACAGATATCAAACCCGGCACTAAAACCACCTCACTGCTGCCTTCACTCTTCAGACTGACCTCTGATGGATTTGTGGGTCGTGTTGGTGCTGACTCACTAACATCAGTGTTTCCACAGAGAGTCTGAAAGTCTTGACTTTTCCATCTGTCCTTTTCTACATGAAAGAAACTTCAAGTCCAGGTGTAGGTGGGACTCACTGCAGGCTATAAGTGTCTAGAAACTGATTCTACCCTTGTCAGAAAATATCTTTTGATGAAAAATGTAAACAGCTAAATTTAAGTCCTTAAATGAGCATGTAAACCTGTGAGGTAAGTAATCTTTGTAAGCTAATAGGCTGTATCAAGTGTCAATCATAGAAAACATGAACCCCCAAATAACTTTTAAAAACTGAGCTGAACAAAAAAAATTAAAATTAAAATTCTGTGGAATAAATTTCTTAAGTTTATCCACAGCTCCATAGAAATGGCTGGAGGAGGCGGGATTTATGACCTATACAGCAGCCTGTCACCAGAGGGAGCTGTTTTCAGCGTGGCTTCTCCCAGTGAGGAGGTAGACGCTGTCAATTCTATATACAGACTATGGTGGAAATTCCTCCTCCTCCTCCTCCTCCTCCTCCTCCTCAGGGTCTTTATAAGCTTCAGTCTCTCTCCTCCTCCTCACACTCCAACCCTGCTCACCTCTCAGCTGGACAGTAAGGGACGTTTACAGCACACACTGACAACATGCTGGGGAGCCTCTGCACTCTCATCACTGCTCTAACATGTAAGGAGGCTGACTTCCTGCAGCTTTCAGCTCATGTTGGATTCATCAGTCTGTGTGTTTCTCTTGACTCCATGTCATCTTGTTGTTTCCAGGTGTGAGTGCTGTTACCGTGGTGACACAGAAGCCTCCTATTGTAGCTGTTAGGAGAGGAGAGACAGCCAACATGGACTGTAACCTGGGGACTGTGACTGGTACTGGTGCTCGCTGGTACAAACAGATTCCTGGAGGAGTTCCTCAGTTTATTCTGTATAACTATCACGGCCGGAGCTCTCCACTTTATGGCTCTGGTTTCTCCTCTCCTAAATTCACCTCCACTCATCAGTCAAAATCAGATTATCGTTTGATCATCAGCTCTTTGGAGGACGGAGACTCTGCAGTTTATTACTGTAACACATGGGACAGCGGTAAGGCTGTATCACAGTGATTTACACCATGACAAAAACCTCCTCACTCTCACTTCTGCTTTTTGGGTCTCTGACATATCTACTAACACTCACTCTAGCTTCCTAACACAGGATTAAAAAATAACCACCTTCTATTTTCTCACTGTCCTTTTGATTGACTAACAAACTCACATTTTTCTCTTTATTTCAATTTATCACTCATCCACATTGTGACTTTCTGCTGATTTAATTCTCATATTTGAGGCTTTAAGTTTCTGATCAGCTCATAAAACAGAATCAACTCTGTACAGTCAGTTTAATGAAACAGTTTTACATTGAGATTGTTTCAGACTCTTCAGTCAAAAGTTTGTTAGAAATAAATGAACAAACAGAAGAAGTTTGAAAAGTTCAGCTGAAACAATAAAGAGTTAAACTTAGAGGACTAACAGCTTTTTGTCTTCTTGACTGTGACCTTTGACCTCTCCTTAAAAAACAAAACAAAGCTCACCTATGAAATTTTTGACATCAGTTGAGTTGTTTTCCATCCAGACATTGAGTCTTAAGACTTTCACATCATTAATAATCGAAAAAAAACTGTCAGTATAATGATGCCTATTTTTTTTTTACAATGTCATTTATTTGATCAACCCTTTTTTCATCATTAAGAAAGGGGCCACAAATCTAACTCCACCTCCTCCTCCTCCTCCATCTCCATCTCCTCCTCCTCTTCCTCCTCCTCCTCTTTATAAGCTTCAGTCTCTCTCCTCCTCCTCACACTCCAACCCTGCTCACCTCTCAGCTGGACAGTAAGGGACGTTTACAGCACACACTGACAACATGCTGGGGAGCCTCTGCACTCTCATCACTGCTCTAACATGTAAGAGATTCTTCTCAGTCCTTTACCACACCATCATTTCACACACACACACCTTTGACTCTTGTCTTTTTCTCTTTTTTTTTTTACAGATGTTGATGCAGTGATTGTTCTGACCCAGACTCCTGCTGTCCTCACAGTTTCTCCAGGACAAGAGGCTGTTCTCAGATGTAACATTCAGAGATATGATAATGTGTATGTCTACTGGTACAAACAGGTTCCTGGTGAAGCTCCTCAGTATGTTCTGTACTTTTACCATGGAAGCAGTTCACTCAGCTTTGGATCAGGATTCTCTTCAGACAGATTCAACTCTAAATCCACATCAAACATAGATTATCAGTTCATCATAAAGAGAGTAGAGGCAGGAGACTCGGCTGTTTATTACTGTCAGACATGGGATAACTCTACTCAAGAGGACGTATCACAGTGATTTACACCATGACAAAAACCTCCTCACTGAACACTTCCGCTTTTTTAGAGTCTCACACATTTACTATTGCTTCCTACAACCACATTTACTCTGCAGCATCACAATACACCCGACTCAATAATGTTTAATAATCCCACTTTAATCACACTTTTAACCTGGAGTAAGTGCAATTTAAACAGATATGTCACAAGTTTTTATCAAAATGGGAGTGTACAAGTATTGTATTATGCAAAAGTTTTTATAACCATAATTATTTCAACAATTCAAAACTGACAAACCCCATCCTCAAAAACTCCTCCAGAATAATCTGGAAGGTTTTGTCTGATCCAAATATATGCAGAGAGTTTTACATGACTAAATCCTACAGTGACAACAGATGAGCGCACCGACCTGACTGTAACATCACATGCTGATACTAACACAATGCAGAGACAAACTCCACACTGACAAAGATCATCTTTACACCTCCTTTTTTTTCTAAGCAGTTTAACACAAAATGATCGATCTCACAGCTGAGTATAAAGATTTTATCCACATTGATGCCATGATTGGTTCAGCTAATCCACCCGGATTTTGATCAGTCCTTTTTCTGAGTTTTCTGGACTGTTTGTGAGGAATAATGTCGCTTCAACTGTTTTTCTGTTTCTACAAAACAAACTTTATTCTAAGTTTCATTACCTTCGCTGCTCTGCGTAGGACCTTTACAGGTCAGCTGATCACAAGTACAGCCTCTAGTTGGTTGACAGTCCAAAACAAAGATAGCAGCCTCCGTTTCAGCAGTCAGCTAACAGCTCTCATGTAGATTATGTCATTTAAAGTAGTATAATCACATATGACTGTCATTTTAGAGTGATTGGATCTGAGTCAAGAACGACTTTGGCATTAGTCCGAGGTTAACGTCATGGAGTGAGGGACATAAAAGTGAGTAACATCATGAACCGAAGCAGAAAACTGATCATGAAAATGTTTCACTAAAGCCAAGTGAGAGAAGAACACAGACTAAGGCCCGGACTACACGTATATAGATATTTATTTATCAGGATATTTTTGTACTCCCGTCTAAATAAATGTATCTGTCCACACGTGTTCATTCTCAAAAACATCTGCGTCCACAGGTAGCCTTCAAACTCAACCCTATCTGGTGCCGCTTAAAAGAAATTCAGGAACAAAGCTACCTGATTGGCCGATGAATCGTAACAGCGTGATGCGTCATGCATTGTTTGCGGAAGCTACGCCAGTGCGTCGGGTCCATGTGACGGTGTGGCGGCTATAACGCCTCTGCGAGCTGACTGACTGGTGACTGTAACTGTATAAAACAAGGTTCACTTGCAAGGCTGAAGTTAACGCCACCAGGGCAAAACAAACGTAAAGAAGACCCTGTATGTCCACCATCTTTGTTGTTGTTTTTCTTTTTAATTAGCATGCGCTAGCTGCGGTTTGACGTCATCGATCCGTAAGAGTTCAACCACACGAATCCACTTATACGTATATTTTTTTATTTCTCCACTTGTTTTTTCGGATTCAGATTTATCCGGTTTGAGTGTTCCAAACTCCCGTTTTGGTGTGGTAGGGAGGCCTAATCGGACATAAATGTGTGCGGTTTGAAATACATCCGCATTCATGTAGTTTGGGCCTTAGATCAGGTGTGTCGTACACTAGTAGAGCTGAGTTATGAAAACTACTGAGACTAGATGAATCAGGTCTTGTAAGAGCATTCTCAGACCAGATCTAAAAGGAGAAACTGTGTCAGCAGATCACAAAGAGCTGTTATACAGTTATGTAAATTGTGACAAAAACAGAGAAAGAGAATCTGTAAAATTTGTGTCAGTATTGTGCAAACAGGAGGGAAACAAAATTTTATTTAGGTGGAACTGGCCAATACTACTGAGAGAAAAAAAAATGCTTTTATTAAAAAACACATGATGTTTTGAAAGTCACATTACTTCTTGTAAATATGCTCTACAGGTGAAAGAAACTATTGAACTGTTGTTGGGATTAGACTTAAAGTTAAGAAAAATGACCTGTTCTGGAAATGAGCATGAAAAAAACCACATGATGGATCAGAGTGGTATAACAATACAGCTGAGTGCCTGAACTCCTCCTCCTCCTCTCCTCAGGGTCTTTATAAGCTTCAGTCTCTCTCCTCCTCCTCACACTCCAACCCTGCTCACCTCTCAGCTGGACAGTAAGGGACGTTTACAGCACACACTGACAACATGCTGGGGAGCCTCTGCACTCTCATCACTGCTCTAACATGTAAGGAGGCTGACTTCCTGCAGCTTTCAGCTCATGTTGGATTCATCAGTCTGTGTGTTTCTCTTGACTCCATGTCATCTTGTTGTTTCCAGGTGTGAGTGCTGTTACCGTGGTGACACAGAAGCCTCCTGTTGTGACTGTGAGGAGAGGAGAGACAGCCAACATGGACTGTAACCTGGGGACTGTGACAGACAGAAGAGTTAACTGGTACAAACAGATTCCTGGAGAAGTTCCTCAGTATATTCTGTATAACTATCACACTCTGAGCTCTCCAGTTTATGCCTCTGGTTTCTCCTCTCCTAAATTCACCTCCACTCATCAGTCACAGACAGATTATCGTTTGATCATCAGCTCTGTGGAGGAGGGAGACTCTGCAGCTTATTACTGTAACACATATGACACCTCTGCTAATAAGTACGCATCACAGTGATTTACACCATGACAAAAACCTCCTCACTCCCACTTCCGCTTTTTTTTGTTATTTTTTCAGTTAATTTCACTTCTTTTCTTCCTTGGTGGTAAAGTTTAGATCCACTAGACCATCAGGACTACATCTGATAGGACCAACTTCTCATAGAGGTCATGTGTGCAGGATCTTAAAGGGACATTTTTAACACAACAACATACCAACCAGTGGAGCAGGACAGAGAGAAACAGTGACCCACTGATGATGAATATGAGATGAAGAAAATCATTCCTGCTGATTTGGAAAAATATACATGACAACATAAAACATTAAAACACTGAAACTTTAAAACTTTTTTATTTTCTTGAACCTGCAGAAAAATCTCCTGAAAGTGACAGAGATCTACAGACGACGAGGAAGCAAGAAGCATTTACAGTTTATGATTTCAGTGAACTCGACTTATTATCAGCAGAGAGAAGTCTGATTGACCTTCAAAGTATGAACACAGTGAAGAGCATGTTGAAAAAATAAAGGCAGAAAAAAACAATTTAGTGTATAAAGAAGAAAAGAAGTGTAAATAAAGTTCATTTGAGGAAGAATATGACAGGTAAACAGGACTATTGTTGAGAGAGAATACCTTAGTTAAATCTGTGAAAGAAACAAAAAAATTATGACGTGAAATAAAAACTGGAAAAGAGTAAAAAGAGAGTAGAGTGAATAATGTTTCAACAATAATGATAAAATGAATTTAAGAATGAATTCAGAGCTGAGAGTCAAATCTTCCTCATCCTCCTCCTCTTCCTCCTCCTCAGGGTCTTTATAAGCTTCAGTCTCTCTCCTCCTCCTCACACTCCAACCCTGCTCACCTCTCAGCTGGACAGTAAGGGACGTTTACAGCACACACTGACAACATGCTGGGGAGCCTCTGCACTCTCATCACTGCTCTAACATGTAAGGAGGCTGACTTCCTGCAGCTTTCAGCTCATGTTGGATTCATCAGTCTGTGTGTTTCTCTTGACTCCATGTCATCTTGTTGTTTCCAGGTGTGAGTGCTGTTACCGTGGTGACACAGCAGCCTCCTGTTGTGACTGTGAGGAGAGGAGAGACAGCCAACATGGACTGTAACCTGGGGACTGTAACAAATCAACCAGCTTACTGGTACAAACAGATTCCTGGAGGAGTTCCTCAGTTTATTTTGTATTACCATCACAGCTACAGCTCTCCAAGATATGGCTCTGGTTTCTCCTCTCCTAAATTCACCTCCACTCATCAGTCACAGACAGATTATCGTTTGACCATCAGCTCTATGGAGGAGGGAGACTCTGCAGTTTATTACTGTAAAACATGGGACCACTCTGGCACTAAGCTTGTATCACAGTGATTTACACCATGACAAAAACCTCCTCACTCTCACTTCTGCTTTTTGAGTCTCTGACATATCTACAAACGCTCTCTTATCTTCCTGACACAGGACTAAAAAATAACCACCTTCTATTTTCTCACTGTCCTTTTGATTGACTAACAAACTCACGTATTTCTCTTTATTTCAATTTATCACTCATCCACATTGTGACTTTCTGCTGATTTAATTCTCATATTTGAGGCTTTAAGTTTCTGATCAGCTCATAAAACAGAATCATCTCTGTACAGTCAGTTTAATGAAACAGTATTACATTAAGATTGTTTCAGACTCTTCAGTCAAAAGTTTGTTAGAAATAAAAGAACAAACAGAAGAAGTTTGAAAAGTTCAGCTGAAACAATAAAGAGTTAAACTTAGAGGACTAACAGCTTTTTGTCTTCTTGACTGTGACCTTTGACCTCTCCTTAAAAAAACAAAACAAAACAAAACAAAACAAAACAAAACAAAACAAAGCTCATCTATGAAATTTTTGACAATCAGTTGAGTTGTTTTCCATCCAGACATTGATTCTTTATACTTTCACAACTTAAATAATAGAATAAATTGGCAGTAGAATGATCCTCATATTTTTAAACAATGTCATTTATTAGTTCAACCCTTTTTTCATCATGAAGAGAGGGGTCACAAATTCAACTCCTCCTCCTCCTCCTCCTCCTCTTCCTCCTCCTCAGGGTCTTTATAAGCTTCAGTCTCTCTCCTCCTCCTCACACTCCAACCCTGCTCACCTCTCAGCTGGACAGTAAGGGACGTTTACAGCACACACTGACAACATGCTGGGGAGCCTCTGCACTCTCATCACTGCTCTAACATGTAAGAGATTCTTCTCAGTCCTTTACCACACCATCATTTCACACACACACACCTTTGACTCTTGTCTTTTCCTCTGTGTTTTTTTTACAGATGTTGATGCAGTGATCGTTCTGACCCAGACTCCTGCTGTCCTCACAGTTTCTCCAGGACAAGAGGCTGTTCTCAGATGTAACATTCAGAGATATGATAGAAATAGTGTCAAATGGTACAAACAGGTTCCTGGTGAAGCTCCTCAGTATGTTCTGTACTTTTACCATGGAGACAGTTCACCGAGCTACAGATCAGGATTCTCTTCAGACAGATTCAACTCTAAATCCACATCAAACATAGATTATCAGTTCATCATAAAGAGAGTAGAGGCAGGAGACACTGCTGTTTATCACTGTCAGACACAGGATGACTCTGCTTCTGCAGCTGTATCACAGTGATTTACACCATGACAAAAACCTCCTCACTGACACTTCTGCTTTTTTGACCCTCAGATTCATCTTCCAGGGCCCTCTGTAACGTACCTTATCAGACTTCAGACTAACTGCTTACTTTATTCTTATACTTTTGATTTTCTTTGATGGGGAATAATAATCTAAAAAACTCACACATTTCTCTAGTTATTGATCAAAGTTGTTATTTTGCCTGAAATCTTGTTTTATTCATGTGAGGTAACTGAACACACAACTGGTCAAGACCAAAAATTGATAAATAAAGACAATCACTGAGATAAGGTTTTTGTTTCATATGACATTGTGAAAACTAAGAGGACCTTCAGAGTAAAACAAACATACTTTGTTGTTTTTAACTCTGCTCCTGTTGGAGGCCCCGGTCCTTGTGCAGGCTCCAAGGCTGGACTCGGTCTCTGTACCTGCTCCCCAGCCTGTTCCTGCTTCTGGTTTGGAGTGTCTCCCCCTGAACTACTTACCTGCAGAGGTCACATGCCCTCCTCCCAGGCCCCCTCCACCCACCCTGCTTTGGTTCTGAGATTTCTAGAATATCTTGAATCTTTCAGAGAGGGGTTATGTCATGATAGGCTCTTGTTAGTTTCGTTTATCCTGGTTTTATATTTAGTTTAATTTCTGAGTCTGTTTCCTCGTGTTTCTGTTTCCCTGTGTTCATTATTCTTCTGTTCTTGTTCTATCTCACTGTTTTATTTTGTCGTAGTCAATCTCTGGGTATCAAGTCTAGTTTTACTTCCTTAGTTTTCCCTCCTTTGTTGATTCCTCAAGAGTCTCACCTGTGTCTTGTCGTCCATGTTGTCTCAGCCTCATGAACCCTAATTCATGTCCTCGTGTTTTCCCTGTGTCTTTTTGTTTATTTGCTTGTTTCTGGTGTTTTTGGTTTATTGCATTTGGATTTTTCAGTTCAAAGTAAGTTTTTGTTGTTTCAGTCTTTTGTTTGATTAAAAACTTTAAAGTTCAGGGTCTAAAGTGAGGTTAAAGTCCATCTTTGTTTTGATAAAGTGATCAGAGTGATGGTGAAAGATTGAGACGTTGAGAGTGAAAGTCGGTCTCAACAGGATGTTTCAGTTCCCCTCCCCTCATTATTGAGAGTCAGGAGGTTTTTGTACGGCCATGTATACAAACTGAATCACTGTGGTATTCGGACAAGGAACCAAGCTGATCGTCTCGGGTAAGTTCTTTAAAAATCATTGTTCAACCTTCTTATTGTCTGTTTCTGATTCCTGTTTGATGAAACTCTTGATTTGACTTGTTCAAAACCTTCAGTGGTATTTTAGGACACATTTCTCTGCTTTAAAATCCAGTTTAGAAACAGTCCTGAGCTTTGCTGTAATCATCAAAACAAGATGAATATTCTGTATCTGACTGAAATCGATCTAAAATCATCTATACGTATGTTTCTGTTTATTTTGAATCACTGAACTTGTTCAATCAAATTCAGATGGATTAGTTTAGATCTTCTTCAAAAGCTGACGTGATTTCATACAAAGATAAAAAATCCAAATGAAGAGAAAATCTTTGATATTTACTGAAAAAGGACAAAATATTTAATGGTTGATTTTATTTTTCTGACATTTAATCAAAATTGATCAAGTTTTGATGAATCATTTCAATTTGAATGGTGCGGTCTTTGTCCTAAACCAGTCATTGAAATAATTCTGTATTTTATAATGTGATAAAACTCAAAGACTGTGATTCTTATGGATGAACAAAGTCTGTCTGAGTGTTGATGTCTGGATATTATCTTTGCTGCTGGAAAAAAAAAGTGTTTTAAAATCCTGTTGGTGAAAAATAAGTGAGTTTTTCACTTTGATGATCTCCAACTTCAGATCCTATTTTGTTCGACACTGAGGGAGACTTTAGGAAACTGTTTCAACATGAACCTCCAAGTGACAGATCAAGTCCTCTTGTTATGATCTTGAGTACGGGGCTTGTGTTTTTATCAGCGTGTTGTTATCATGTCAAATGACCAATAACTGAACATTGATGATTTGTGTGTGTTTGTGTGTTTCAGGCTCCAGCCTCTCTCCTCCCGTCCTCACAGTCTTCCCTCCGTCCCGTGCTGAGCTCCAGTCCAACAAAGCCTCTCTGCTCTGTCTGTCCAGTCAGTCTGTGCCTTTTGCAGATGTGAGCTGGTTGGCTGCTGGGAGTCCAGTGAGCAGTGGGGTCTCCACCAGCACGGCTGTTCGGCAAGCGGACCAGACTTTCCACATCAGCAGCTCTCTGTCCATCACCCCCTCTGAGTGGACCACGGGCAAAGTCTTCACGTGTAAAGTGTCTCTGGGCTCTCAGACTTCACAGAAAGAGATCAGCAAGTCCAGCTGTCCCTCTGCAGAAGAGTAGAGGAGCACAGAGAGCATTTCCAACCTGCTTCTTGACTCTTTGTGCTCTTTGCTCATTACAAGCTTCACATGCTAGAAAAGATGAGTCTGCATGCTCGGAGCTAATGTTGAGACAGTTAGCTGGAGGAGTCGGATCAGCTTTGCTGCTGCCGCTGCTTTTATCAACAATCTTTCAATAAAACAATTGAAAGCCTGCAAATCAAAAAGTGTCTTTCCCTCTTTTCTTTTCCTTTATTTTTCAAGAGTGAAATGATATGAGTATACACCTAGATTTAGTCTCCCTCTTGTGGTTGACAGACATTATTGGTCACCTAAAGTTGTGGGGTTTTCCACATGTAAATAAAAAGCTATTAGTGTATTTTATTCACGCACACACTGAATATTCATGCATTTTTCTCAACCTGATCACAACAGAAATGTATAAAAAATATGGAGAGTGCAAGTGTGGTGCTGAGTGATATACATAACTTTGCTATGTAGGTAAAGCAAGAGCACATAGACTTATTTTTATAAAGTAGAGCTGCACACTGATCAGCACCTCTGCATTAGGTTAAAAAAAATCTTATAATGGATTTACTGTACACTTACTGCGTCTTCATACTCCCACACACGAGTTATAGACGGATTCATTATTGAATTAATCAGTTAATCAACTTCTTACTTATTGCAGTTATTCATAATGTCGGTAAAGATCAGTTTTCGTCCTTAATTCGCTAATCTTTGACAAAATACATTAGAAAAGGTTAATGTCTTGGATATAACATTTCAACAGTCTGATCAGAGCTGGTTTTCCCCTTTCTTACAGTTAGCTGACCTTTGACCTCTCTCAACGTGCAGCTCTAAATACAGAGAGCAGGTCTGCAGGTGCATCCTGGGAGGAGGAGCAGAGAGGTGACGCTTCACTGATGGAGGATGAAAACTCAGTTTCAGTTTCTCATCATTTACATGACTTCTCCGTCATCATAACTGCTCACTAAAAACAAAATAATGTGAATTTATTTTATGTTTTTTTTTGTTCTATTTTAACACCTAGAATATATAAACCCAGTCCTTTATTAAACAGAGTTATGTCCATGTTTGTACACACATTATTTCACTCAAGACAGAAAAGAAGCTGAATGTTGTCTGATAAAGAATGCTTTTATTTCAACAATTCACACACAATAGAGCAAAGCTGACATGTCCACACCGACAAAAGGTGAAATTTATACGTTTGAAAGCATGTTAAGGCTTAAGATCAGCACCAGCAGAAAAGCTGCTGATCATTTCAGTCGCCCTCTTCACTGCAGTCAGACACACTCAGGTTTTTCTCCGAGGTCTGAGAGCCCAGAGACACTTTACACGTGAAGACTTTGCCCGTGGTCCACTCAGAGGGGGTGATGGACAGAGAGCTGCTGATGTGGAAAGTCTGGTCTGCTTTCCGAACAGCCGTGCTGGTGGAGACCCCACTGCTCACTGGACTCCCAGCAGCCAACCAGCTCACATCTGCAAAAGGCACAGACTGACTGGACAGACAGAGCAGAGAGGCTTTGTTGGACTGGAGCTCAGCACGGGACGGAGGGAAGACTGTGAGGACGGGAGGAGAGAGGCTGGAGCCTGAAACACACACGACAGTCACAGATTAGGTCAATAATAAAAAGAGGGATCAATGTGCAGTGTTCACAATAAACCCGGTCTGACTACATCCTTTTAAAAAGTGAAAACATGTTACATCAGCCTGTAGAAACTAAAATTACACCAGTTTAGCTTACTAAAGACTCAGTCTGTAATTTTCCAAGTTCAGAGCTCTTGAAATCATAAACCATTTATAAGTCGTCATCTGCTTTTACAGCCGATCAAACTCACAAAATAAAAGACAAAGACTCTAAAACTGAATCAGATTTACATGAAACCATAAAAAGCAACTTCAATTCAGCAAATTTGATATGATCCAAAAATACAGTAACTTATTCTATCTCTGTTATTAGTCTCACAGACTGCTCTACAGTAACTTCATCAGATTAAACTTGTATATTACTGAACATATTATTGTGAAATTTTAACCCATACAAACAATAATGAATTATATCAAGTCAGTGTGTTTCACTTTTTCTTTAAAGTTAAAAATGTCTCAGCCTCAAACTCTCTGAGAAGAACCAACATGCTGCCAAGTAACAGGGAATAAACATCAAACAGAGAAAATTATGTCTATTATTTACTGAAAATGTTCATTTAAGAGTTATTAACATGATAACTGTGCCATATTTTGTCAGAATCAGAGAAACAATCCTATTTAAAGATGATTTTTAAAGAACTTACCTGAGACGATCAGCTTGGTTCCTTGTCCGAATACCACAGTGATTCAGTTTGTATACATGGCCGTACAAAAACCTCCTGACTCTCACTAATGAGGGGAGAGGAACTGAAACATCCTGTTGAGACCAACTTTCACTCTCAACGTCTCAATCTTTCATCTCTGATCACTTTATCAAAACAAAGATGGACTTTAATCTGAGGATTTCATCATTTTATAAGAGTTTATTCAGTGATCTTTCTGCTTTGATTGAAGTTTTTCTGGTTTTCTTGAGTTAATGTGGTCAGATTTTAGAGACACTGTAGTCTGACTGTGAGTGAGGTTTTTGTCATGGCGTAAATCACCGTGGTACACCTTCATTTGCTGAGGTATCCCCTGTGCAGCAGTGATAAACAGCAGAGTCTCCTGCCTCTACTCTCTTTATGATGAACTGATAATCTATGTTTGATGTGGATTTAGAGTTGAATCTGTCTGAAGAGAATCCTGATCCAAAGTAGAGTGAACTATCTCCATGTAAGAATCTCAAAACATACTGAGGAGCTTCACCAGGAACCTGTTTGTACCAGAAGACATAATATTTATCATATCTCTGAATGTTACATCTGAGAACAGCCTCTTGTCCTGGAGAAACTGTGAGGACAGCAGGAGTCTGGGTCAGAACGATCACTGCATCAACATCTGTAACACACACAGAGAAAAAGACAAGAGTCAAAGGTGTGTGTGTGAAATGATGGTGTGGTAAAGGACTGAGAAGAATCTCTTACATGTTAGAGCAGTGATGAGAGTGCAGAGGCTCCCCAGCATGTTGTCAGTGTGTGCTGTAAACGTCCCTTACTGTCCAGCTGAGAGGTGAGCAGGGTTGGAGTGTGAGGAGGAGGAGAGAGACTGAAGCTTATAAAGACCCTGAGGAGGAAGAAGAGGAGGAAGAAAAGGAGGAGTAGGAGGGGGTAAGGGGTTACTTCGGTGGTGGCTGGTGAAGTTATAGAGATATCCTGTACAAGGTGCAACAACGGATATTTCACACCGGTCAAACCACACACCAAATTAAGGCAAATGCTGGAACACCCAGAGAACAAAGTTGAACAAAACAAAAAAAGCTAAATATACCAGATACCATGTCGATCATGCAATAAAACGTACTTTGGGGAGACGGGGAGAAGCTTCAGCACACGGGAGAAAAAACATCAAAAAGAGAGTGAGAAAGAGACGGAAACAAGAAAAACAAGATCAATAAAAGAAAAAGCACAACAGGAAAACTACAAATCTGCCATAACCGACCACTGTGAAAGGGAAAATCCTTGTATAGACTCTGGTACGGCTACAGTATACAGTTTATGTGATTGTTGTATGTATGTATGTTGTATGTATTTTAGTTCTAAAGTAAATTTTTTGTGTTTTATTATTATTACCTCTTTTTTGTAATTTACTCTCTTTTATTGTTTGATTTTAAGACTGTTTTATTTCATTAACTTTTAATGCTTTATCACTTTTATTATATTTTATTATGGTTTTATCCCTTTAGTCCTAGATCCAGCGTTTCCTCATCTTTTTAACTCAAGACAACGTTTCCTCAGTCATCTGTGGCGAGTTGAAGAGTCCTCACCTGATCCTCTGAGTGTGCATCTGTGTGTGTGAGTGCTGTATGTGTTGAATGGGGGTTGTGAGGGCGGGTGGGGTTTGGCATTTGTATTTTTATTTATTTCACTTAATTGTTTTTTAATATCCTGCATGAATGGACAACACTTTGTGCTACATTCCACGTATGAAAAGTGCTTTAAAATTAAAGTTTGATTGATTGAACGATTGATTGATTGATAGAGTCATCAGCAATGAGGATAAAAAGCACCATCGTTGGATAAGAGAAGCCATTGAAATCAGGAAACGGGCCCCACAGACGATGAACAGGGCTCAGAGGGCATACATGCTCTCACACACCTGGAGCAGCAACCTGCAGAGGCGAACTGACAACGGAAGGTGTGACTGTCCTGCTAAAAATTGATAGGAGGGTCACGCCTCTGTAACATCAGCTGATATGACATGTCACACCTAACACCAAATGACACTTGGTGGTAGGTGTGAAGATTACGCCAAATATGTCAAGGTACGTGAAAAAGATTACATGTCTGAGAAAAAGGACAAAAGTAAACGATTTCTAAGAAACTGAAGACATAATGGACATCATTCAACACAACAGATATCTCAGCTCTGTATTAAATTCTACGAACTAAAGGTACTTACACCCATTTGCTTAGTTGAATGAACATCTTCCACATGGACCTTTGTTGTTTTTTCAATCTTTCTCTTTTCGTTTTTCTACTTTTTCTTATCTTTCCCTCTGTTTAATTTTTATGTACAGCTAAAAGTATAATGTACAGAAGTGTCAGAGACTCAAAAAGCAGAAGTAAAAGTGAAGAGGTTTTTGTCATGGTGTAAATCACTGTGATACGACCTTAGTGCCAGAGCTGTCCCATGTGCTACAGTGATAAACAGCAGAGTCCCCCTTCTCCACAGAGCTGATGATCAAACGATAATCTGATTTTGACTGATGAGTGGAGGTGAATTTAGGAGAGGAGAAACCAGAGCCATAAGTTGGAGAGCTGGAGTCGTGACGGTAATACAGAATAAACTGAGGAACTCCTCCAGGAATCTGTTTGTACCAGCGAGCAGCTCTATTGGTCACAGTCCCCAGGTTACAGTCCATGTTGGCT